AATACCTGTATATATAGTCCTCCTTTTAGCATCCTACATAGCTCTTCACTTGTAGATTCTAAGTACACAATCGGAGTCCTGTTTATACCCTTTTAGTCACAGTAAAATACAAAATATAAAATATAAAATACAAAATACAAAATCCGAGATACAACATATTATGGTCTCATTATTTATATACTCGATTTGTTACTAGAATACTATCTACTAACCTACGTACTGATGACTGTACTGTGAAATGATATACTCATATATGGTATTGAATTTTACTACAGGAGTGCAGGGAAGTAAACTAACAAAATGCCGCTATAGAAGAAAAGAACAAGGGTTTACCTAGATAATTCCTCACTTGTAACATGTAGAGATGCTAGGCTACTCGATTATACGAGTGTAAGCACTTCTTTTCAAAGATTCAAAAACAATAAGCTATAGCTAGCAATTTGATCTCATTTATGTTATGTATTCTCCCACGACGGAGCAGATAGAAGAGAAGAGAAGAGATATAAGAAATATGAAGATGATGAGATGTGTTAGAAGTAAATCCTTGCCCTTTTAGAACACCATTCATATCTTCGCTTTGAACTCCTGATCCAAAGAAGCCACTCGTCCATCCATCTTCCTCCACTGCATACCGGTATTCATATCTCATCATCGAGTTGTAGCTAGCCCTAGCTAAATTGCTCGCCATTCATCATGTTTCATCAATTTAAAGACTTCCTTTCCTGGGGTAACTGACACCCTCAACCGCCGCATTATCGACAAACCAACTACACCTCTCCCTCGCCCCTTCGTTAACCAATGCACAAGGTAATCCATTCCCTCCTTCGAAAATTGCCTTCATGATTTCCTTCTTTCCACCTCCGGTTGCCACAAAAGCTATCTTAACCGCATGAGTAACAACTGGTAATGTAAGTGTAATCCTCCTTGGTGGTGGCTTTGGACTATCTTCAATCGGCGCAACCCACGCATCCGTTTCCCTCAATAACGCATGACCAGGGAATAAACTACATGTATGACCATCAGGACCACACCCCAAAAGCAACAAATCAAAAATAGGCAATTTGACCGAATCTCTCGATGCAAAACTGCGTACAAGAAGTTGTTCATATTGATCCGCCATTTCTTGCACATCATCCAAATGCGCCGTATCGATTGGGTGGACGTTAGGTTTCCCCATGTTGGCGGGGATTTTATCGAGCAGTTCGCTTTTTAACAGAGCGTAATTGGAATCTTCATGATCGAGAGGAACGGCTCTTTCGTCTGCGAAAAAGATTTCCCATTTGGAAAATTGTATAACATCTTCGGGCCCGCTTGATGGGGTGAGTAGGGCTGCAGCAAGGGTTTTTGGAAGAGAACCTCCAGAGACGGCGATCTTGAAGGCGTTGTGACGGTTGAGACCGGCAGTTTGCGCTTGCACGATGTATTGGCGGAGAGTTGTGGCAAGGGCATCGACGGATGGGAAAGCGAAGAGGTTGGGTTGCGAGCCAACCATGTTTGCGACGTTAATTCTGGTGTGTGGGCGGGAGTGATTGAGTTGAGCCGTTGAGTTGCGTTTTTTTTTTTCGGAAAAATGTGAGTTATGGATTTGGAAGGTTTATGAATTGTGGGTGATGCGAGCGGAGTAAAGATGGTTTTGATGGTGGGGGTTTGATGTGTCGATAAGTGGAATTTTGTGTTTCTATCTGAAAGCGGCGTATTGATTAGATTGCTTGCAACAATAATTGATGATGACAATAATAATGATGATGATGATGATGATGAAGATGATGCTAAATGGAAACAAAGGGTTTGTTTGAATATATACTGAGAACGGAACTTACTTTATTTCATTTTCTTGCTGTTGAAGTAGAATGATAACCTGTTATTCTGCTTCAATACTGTTTGTTTGTTGTGTTGTTGAGATTTATTAAGTACAGTTTTCGTTTTCGAGAAGTTTAGAAGTGAGGTGATCGTCAAATTTTGTCGGAGATTACTTTCATATATGAATGTGAAAGCGAGCCCCGCAGAATGACAGAATGACGGTGTTTTCGATTCGACCCAATAGATAAGGTTATTCTTAATAAGTGGTTAGTCAGCAAAGGAAAACGATCAACTATCAGATCAATCCAAATCAAATCAAATCAAATCAAATCAGATCAGGATCAGATCAGATCAAACAAAACTAACCTTCAGACAACTTTGCAACTTTGTCGTGAGTTCGAATGAAATATGATTTGGGGTCCAAAAATCAAATAGATTGAAGGGAGATTCACTTCATTATATCTGATAGCTTTTAGCTAAGTACTTAAGTACTCAGGTAACCTGATCCGTATTCAATCGAAGCAAAAAGAAGGCATCCAAAACACACGGGAGAAATGTAACGCCAATATTCTCAATTTGTCCTTCAAAACTCCCAAAAGGAACATAACCGCCTTGAAGATCCGTGGTACATCATACCGATATATCCCTTTAATTTCTGCAAGCCTACCCGACTATGGTAAGTTTCCCTCTCTATTGGTATTCTGTGCTGCTCAGCTATCTATCGCCCGAGAAGTGGCAGATATTTGTTTGTCTACCAAGGTGCTGTGCGTACAACACAATTATTACTTGATGGTTGCCCAATTCATTTGTCGGGATAGTCAGGTTACTTGAAGCCCATTCATGCAATCTATGGATAGGGGGTTCTGACTCCTGACTCCTGAGCCTTGGAGAATGAAACAATTCTTTTCTTGGGAGGTGGTTTTGATTCATAATCTCCTTTGGTCTAGAGTGAGTTTGTAAGATACTCATTGGCTGACCGGTTCTTTCTTCTGGACAGCCTCAACTCATGGAAGTTTATGTCCTAATTGATTCCCATTCACGTTCTAGGAAATCAATCGTTAATTGTTGAGAAACTTTCTCACGCGGGTCTACCCCTCCATCGTAAGATATTCATTCTTTGGTGGGGGTTTGTTTATGTGGTCTGTCACATACAAGCAACCTCCGATTATGTCCCGCGTAAAAAAGGACAGCTGGGAGATCTTCAATGTATCTTTTCTCATTTTCTCAATCAATGTAGGAATGTAGACGTGTGAGAAGAGATTGCATTACCTTGAAAGTTAACTGAGACTTAATTCCATCCTATCCTATCCTATCCTATCCCATCTCATCCCGTTGTTCCGTCTCTTCGGATGTTCCTTATCAATTGTCTTGTGCTCCCGCCCCGGTCCGTTCGCCCTACGAAGCTATCCAAAAAGAAATCCCACTGCCGCAAACTTGGCGTTTCGTCATACCTGAACCTATCAGGTCCCGCCAATTGCGGGCTCGTACACACTCACGTGCTCTTGGCGGGGTTGATTTCTCGGACCTTGTCCGATATCTCCGATTGTCCTTAGATTTTGACTCAGAAGTTGAAGCCGACATTCATTCCTGCGCACTGAATTTCTATTGCACAAGAAACCTCCTCATACATATTCTTATTATGGCTTCACCAAAGTATCTTACCGGTGATAAATCCGCCATAAACGAATTCATCGATCAATTCGACGTGCGTTGAGTCAGTCCTACGGAAGCTTCAAAGCTTAAACATGTAGGGCAACGCTGACTTTCTTCGTTTTTCAGGTCTTCCTTTTTGATTGCGATGGTATTTTTTATAATATATCTTCCGCATGACTGCATACTAATGAATGAAAGGTGTACTTTGGTCCGGGGATCATATCTTCCCAGGGACCGTCGAGACTTTAGAATTATTGAGAGCAAAAGGTTAGATTGGAAACCCTCCTTGATGAGATCATTGCTGATGATAGATTATTCTAGGCAAAAAGATTGTCTTTGTAACAAACAACTCCACGAAATCGAGAACCGAATATCAGAAGAAACTTACTTCTCTTGGTATACCAAGTAATGTTGATGAAATCTTCGGTTCAGCCTACTCTTCTGCAATCTATATCTCTCGAATCCTCAAGCTTCCAGCACCCAAGAACAAGGTCTTCGTACTAGGTGAAATTGGTATCGAAACAGAGTTGAAGACAGAAGGAGTGGAATTCATTGGAGGAACAGATCCAGCTTATCGTCGCGATATTACACCAGCGGATTACACAGGGATCGCAGATGGTTCACTACTTGACGATGATGTTGGTGTAGTTCTGGCTGGATTGGATTTCCACATCAACTATCTCAAGCTATGCCATGCTTACCACTATCTTCGTCGGGGTGCAGTATTTCTGGCAACGAATACGGATAGTACTCTACCATCAAACCATACCTTCTTCCCCGGAGCTGGATCTATATCCATCCCATTGATCAACATGATTGGAAAAGAGCCAACGGCGCTAGGCAAACCAAATCAAGCAATGATGGATTCTATCGAGGGCAAATTTCAGTTCGATCGTAAGAAGACGTGTATGGTTGGAGATCGATTGAACACAGACATCAAGTTCGGCATTGAGGGTAAACTCGGTGGTACACTAGCCGTGTTGACTGGAGTATCCAAGAAAGAGGAATGGGAAGCTGAGAATGCTCCTGTGGTACCTGCTTACTATGTTGATAAACTGAGTGATCTGAGGGTTTGAGAGAGAGATGAGAGTGGAGGCATTGAGAGTGGAGGGGTTGAAGTAAAGATGTGCAGCACAGCATGGAAGCAATGACCGGTTCCGTACAGTAGAAAATGAAAGATGAGAGATGATAGACGGGAGATAGTAGATAGTAGATAGTAGACAGCAGACAGAAGACCAAAGTAGAATGATAAGAATGCCCAGAAGATGTCGGTGTCAAGGCGTACGAGTGAGTACATGGTTATCCACGGAACCCACGTATCACCTTTAGATATAGCCTGTAGTCCCTTCATAAAGGTTCTACTGTATTCAAAATTCAAATAGACTACATACCCGCAATCGCACCAGTTTATCTATGGATAGATAGTGTTGTGTAAATCGAAGAACCCATTTCATCGTAGCCTCCTCCCTCTTTGCAGCAATAACTTTACCGGATGAGTTTATTTTATTTTGATGTTATTTGCATGAAAATAAGTCTATAGCTAAAGATGGCTTGTTTAAATTCAATAACTCCTGTCAGAGATCATTTGTAGAGGGGAGGATGGGGATATGTAATAGCCCGTAGCCCAGACTCTCAAAGCCCATTCTTCCAATTCTTACAATTCTTATATTTCCTATTATTACCTCAATTAATCATGAGCGGAGTAAATACTCCAGAATCTGATCTTATAATCTTTTGCAAAACATTTTTTGTTCATTAATTATAGAGTGCTAATTTAGTAGATACACTAATTTAGGAGGGGGGCTTTCTGCCCTGCCAAATTTTGGTAGTACTCTCGCTTTCGTATCATCTACAGCAGTAGATAGAATCCTTGAAAAAAAAAACAAAAAAACCCCCCAATGCAATTGCAAATTAACCCCCACCATGTCTCCTACCTCTCACCCCCCGCCACAATCTAGGAGAAATAAAAGATTACTCGTGCGACATCCTTTTAATTTGGACACCCCACTCGCATATTTCTTTCATCCCAAGGTTCATGTCCCAAAGGATCATGTCCAGAGCCCCATGGATCGAGACAGCGACTTGGAGGATGATACCTCCATCTTTGTGGGGAGACGACATGAGTTGACTGAAAAATTGGAGGAGCACCCGTACGATTTATTACTTTACCTCGAGCGAGCGAGCGTCTATAGCGATTTGGGATATCCGGATTTGGCCGCCGGTGATAGTTATAGGGCTTTGTTGTTGTGTGATGAGTTGAAGGATGAGAGTTTTGAATATCATGAACAAGCTTTGGAAACGTTTAAATCACGACTTGCGGATGGCTTTTCGGACGGTTTGTTAAAAAGACATGTTTTGGGGTTGGCAGATGCAGATACAGATGATGATGTTATTGGAGGAAAGGGAATTGAGAAGCTTAATCTTGATGTGGATGAGGTGGATGATGAAGTTTACATGCGGATTGCGGATAAAGCAGCGTTGCGATGTTTTCGAAATCTCTCCTTGAGTCTTCTGCTTTGCGGATGCTTGAAGAGCGCTTATGATTTCTGTAGCAGGGGACTAAAAGTTGCTCCCGATGATGAGGAATTGAGTCAAGTGAAGGATTATGTTTTCAATATGGCGAAGAGAAGGTTAAAGACAGATGAGGTGGATATATCCGAGTTGCCAGATCAAGGCTTGGTACGACGCGAAATATATCCTTGGAATAACCACGAACCGAATCGTTTCTCGCAAGAAACTCTCGACTTTTTGAACCGGGAATTAAGAGCTTCATCTTCCAAGATTGAAGTGCGGGCTGTTGAATTACCTACACTTGTGGAAGTGGCTATTGTCACGGATGAAGATGGCAATCTACCAACTACCAAGCAGTTGGGACTATTCGCAACAGAAGACATACAACCAGGCGAAACGGTTCTTGATGAGGTTTCTGTTCTCACCGTTAATAATCGTCTCAAAGATGCACTTTGCGATGCCTGCAGCACAGTCTTACCACCATTGAGCAAAAATAGTACGGTAGTAGGATGTCCTGACTGCTATGACATCATGTTCTGCAACGAATCCTGTCTCAATCTCGCACTAGCGACATATCACCCCGCCACTTGCGAAACAGACGTCGACACCATCTCCAAAGATCCAGATCCAAAAGAATCACCCAATGCTCTCTATCTCCTCCTCCTCGCTCGCACCTTGGCCATGTCCGCCACTCAAGAAGTGCATCCTCTGGATCTCAAAGAGGTCAAATACATCTGGGGCGATTTCCTCGATTCCGATTTCAACGCAGTTCCCATCTCTCCCAGGTCCGAACCTCCACCCGTCTGGACTCTCCCGTTTTCTTTTTCAAGCAATATCTCGACTCCGCTTCATATCCTCGAAAAAATGGATATAGACATTTTCGCCGAACTCGCCTCCTATGATCTCTGGATCCTCAATACCTTGTATGGCAAATTCCGCGGCACGGCATCGGCGAGAGTTAATCCCGCAACAGGTATGCCGGAAGTGGCGGCGGTGCATCCGTTGTGGTGTTTGGCAAATCATGATTGCGATCCGAATGTGCAGTGGGAATGGGGTGGACGAATGAAATTGTGGTGTAGAGATGAGAGGATTGTGGGGAAAGGGGGGATCTCAAAGGGAGAGGAGGTTTGGAGTCATTATTGTGATATTGAGTTGCCTGTGCAGGACAGGAGGGAGTGGGCGGAGGGGAGTCTGGGGGGCTGGTGTATGTGTGGGAGGTGTAGGAGGGAGGCGGGGGAGGAGGATGGTGAGGTGGGAGGGGATGGGGATGGTGGGGTGGGAAAGAAAATGGAAAAGGAAAATGAGGGTATTGGATTTGGGAATGGAAATGGGCATGGTAGTGATGAGCCAACGGATTTGGATGGAAAAGTTGCAGGGAATGGATATGTAGGTGAAAGACAACTCTACCCACCCACGAGAAAGTAAATGGTGGGAAATAAATTGGATCTAGTGTCAGATAACGTGTAGATGGATGGACATGATGGTATCTTGATAAAAGTTTAGTTGCATTATTAGATAGTTGGATTGTTGGATAGTCGGCTAGTTGGAAAAGCAAAAGCAAAGGAATAAGAACATGAACAGGAACAGCAATAGGAACAGCAACAAAAGTTATATATGGATTTTTTGTATTGTATTAAAAGTTTTTAAATAAAAACAAATGAGAAGATAAAATTGAATGGTTATATTGTGATTGTGGAAGAGGTAAGAATGAAAATCATACTCGAGTGTACTGGTATAGTTTTGGTTTTTTGACGGTGGTTTGAAATGGAGTTGAGAGTTAAGGGTTGAGGGTTGAGTTGGTGGGTATTGGATATTGAGAATTGGATATTGAGAATTGAGATGATTTGGATATTGGATATTGGATATTGAAATTGAGTGTTGGAGATTGAATGGTGGATGGTGGAAATTGGGTGTGATATTGTGTGATATACTCGAGCTCTAGTGTAGGTAGGTGATTGATAATTGAGAGGTATAGAATAAAAAAAAACAGGTTATGAATGGAGTTAAAAGTTAGAGTATAAATAGAAATGATAGAAAGGGTGGGAGAATGAGATACTGGTATAAGGTTATAGGAGCTGAGAGGGGAGGTTAGAATAGAAGGTTGAAGGTGCGGATGGATATATTTATTAGAGTGTATATAGATGGTTGATAGTTGATAGTTGGAGATAAGATGGTTGAAGGTTGAAGGTTGAAGGTTGGGGTTGGGAGGTTGGGAGGTTGAGAGGTTGAAAGGTTTGGAGGGTTAAGAGTTGCGTGGAAAGAGGATGGATGGATGGTGGATGGAAATGGGATGGATGGAAATGGGAAGAGGAAGGACGGAAATGGGAAGGAAAGGGGAAGAGAAGGGAAAAGGAATGGAAAGGAAAGAAAGGGAGGGGAAGGGAAAGAGAAAGGAAAGAGCAGTGATATTGATTCATTCCCTCTCCTTTCCAATTCTGCCTTGTAGGATAGGATAGGCTCGCTGGTGCTTAAGGTTAGGAATAGATAAGGAATAGCTTAAATTAGGGCTAGGAACAGGAAGGAGTGTTCCAAAATACATTAAAATATCAAAAACAATTAGATATACTGTGAATTTTTAGTGCTGCTATCTCTGAAGATCTATTAGATATTCATAATAATGATTGTGTTAATATTAAAAGATGAGATTATTTCGAAGCTATAGCTAATATTTTGATTATATTACTCTTATTTATCCAATCATATACAGTTTGAGCTTATCAATTTATAACTATTATTATTTCAAAAAAAAAAAAATTTATCCCGTTACCTTTCTCTCAAAAAACCCTTCCCTTTCTTTCCTATTTTAGTTCTAAGGATAGGAAGGAGTACGATATTTCAAAGGTCAGGAGCAGGATAGGAAAGCTTCATTTTTCAGAGGTTAAGAGCGGGATATTAGGAGAGGAGGAAGAAGAAGGAAGCACGGAGAAGGGGAATACAATATTACTGGGAAAGGGGGCTTAATATGAGGCGATATAATATAATTACTAATTAGATGGCAGCAGATAAAGTGCGAGGCGGATGTTATCCGCGGAGGTACATTATCATGGGTGAGGAAAAGGAAGAGGAATTCTGGGTCGGGTAGAGGTGGGATGGGGAGTTGGGGAATTGAGGAGAAGAGGAGAATAGGGGAGGTGAAGAGGGGAACAGGCTGCTATACCATAATCCTGAGGTTTAGTGTTGTGTTGTGTTGTGTTGATATATATGGGGAGATATTAGGATTGTGAAAGATATATGTGGAGAGGAAGAGGGAGGTGGAGGTGGAGGTGGAGGTGGAGAGGAGAAGAAGAGGAGAGGAGGAGAAAAGGAAGATAAAGGGGCTTTAGTATTGGACTTGAATCTTGGGACTTGAAACTTAGGACTTATTGGAAGTATGAGGTACGGTATAGTGAAGTGAAGTGAGTGAAGAAGGCGGATTAGAAGAGAGTTGACCTAATGCATTGATAGATTGGTGGGGGAAATATTGGTAAGGGGTGCGAAGGGGGAAGTGCTAGTGTGCTGGCGTGGTGGAGACGCGAGGATAAAGATAGGGATATTGTGCTGAAGTAGTACAGTGCTAGTACTTTATATCAAGAGATAGCAATGCTGAAGTGAGGTCGAAATATTATTTTTGTAGCGGGGCGACTAGTGGTCAGTAAACGATAACGTGGGTTGGGAATGAGGAAATAAACAGATTGAGGGTTAGGGTTAAAGACTAGGGGAAGATGAAATGCTAATAAGAAGCTAGAGTCGGTTGGAATGCTTGAGGAAAGAAGTTACATAGGCAAGTGCACTAGAAGCTCAATGGTTAAGAAACATGCATATGTAAGCGAGTTAAAGAGCTGAATATCAATGAGTTGATTGATGATTAGATGTTTGTCAATTCGTCTATTTGTTTATATCTGTCTATGGTTTTGTCTATCCCAGGTACATTGAGAGATGTGTATATGAAGTAAAAGTTCCTACATGAACTGTTTTGACTCCAGAATATGATGAGAGAGATAGAACTGGACTGGAGAACGAATAAGAATAAGAATATATAATCATAAGAATACCATGCGTGAATGATGACCAGTGTGAAAGAGATTTAGCTCAATATAATTCCGATGGATTATAGTGGGGTGGTGATAGTGGTGCTAGTGTTGGGTCTTGTTTGATGTGCAAGGAAATATTGGGTTGGATTTTGAACTGAGATTGAAGGAGGTAGAGGTGTGAAGGTGCAGATAAAGAGCTGAATAGCTGGAGAGATGAATGACTAGATGTGTAAGAGATAAGGAACTTAATGTGGTGTAAACCGTAAAGAGTGGATGTGTAGATGGATCGCCGTCTTAAAGGCAGGCCACGAAGAATGTTGTTAGAAGAGAGGGGGTGGAGCGAGTTGGTATCAGCAGCTCATTGCGAGGCAGGATGCGCATATGATATGAAAAGGTGAGAAAGTGAGGAGGGTATAATCGAAGACAGATTAGCGAGAGGACAGGACCGATTTGATAGACTTGAGAGAGATATGGCGTATTTGGGTTACCTGGAGGTGATATGTATATAAACAATCATATCTTCGACGTAGGGGTATCTGATCTACTTTGATACACCCGGAATAGGTTCGCCAGTTTTTATCGTCTTCCAAAAGCAGTAATTTGTGACGCGTTGCTGCGTTTCGGTTGCCGGTAAGTTGTCTTTCCATACACACTTGCACCTTCCATAGACTTTCCTCTGCAAGTTTTCGTCATACATCCTGCCTTCGTTCTCGTTATTGCACTTATTTGATGCCATTAGCTACCGGATATTTCGGCATGGGTTTCAGCTTAAAGCTGGGGAGGGACTAACACTTAATAGACCTTCAGAACCAGGAAGCGTCTTTTGAGAGCAGACCCAACCTTCAGCCTTATTATCGGGGTCTTCTTCATAATGGACACAGATAGTCTGTGGTGGTGTCATGATTTAAGGTAGTTTGAAGTTTGTAAATATATATTCGGTGTGGATGTAATGGTTGTATGTAAACTTAGAGGGAAGATAAATTCTGAGTAGATTTTAAGGTAAAGTATTCGAAGTTCTGGATGTGATGTTTCTGATGTTGGGTAAAGAAAGGAAAGAAGGGTACCTGAGGGGAAGAAGCTGCGATACTTAAGCACATTTTTCTGGAGCTAAGAGTCTGGAAATAAGCATCCTATTCATGAATCTGTGAGTCGAGAAACGATATTCCGAGGGATTTGCAGTCATTTCATCATACCAATGACAAATTTCTAGTCAAATAATAAGAAGTTGAGAATGTGCCAGTCAGTTTGACTCTGAATGATAGGTAGAAAGTCAACAAATAATAATTTCAAGCATTTACTGTCATTTTGGGACATACATAGTGAGAATGAATACAGTCATAGGTATGTATTTGGGATTTATCAACAAACTAGTATGAGTATGAAGATGAATATCAACCATTTATGCTGTTATTTTGGGCCCTCTGTATCGGTAAACATGGGTGTGATATGACTTGGAGGTAGTCTTGAGCATGCTTTTGGACTCATAAGTACCATTGCTATGAGCCTATAGAATGAATTATGGATCTTGTGGTAGTCTTCCTAGCTCTTCAATGATAAAGCTGGAGCTATTGAAAGGACAGTGCTGGAGTTGGACTCTGAATGAGTGAATATATGAATGGAAAAGAATCGGTAAACGGAAAGGGATTGATGAATATTCTTTTGTGACTCGACTGTAATGACTGCCATGATGCATGCCATGATGAACATCGATAGAAGAATTTTGGGACTTATAAGCTCAAGAACGAAGCATTTTATTTCCTAACTTGGACTCGAACATTGTATTCGACAAATTCAAATAGGCTTCATCAATGTCCAAGTTGGACTTGAATTTAGGGGTAGATTTGGAACAATTTAGCTCCTTGATCACAGATAGAAGGTGGAAAATGAATTGAGATATCTGCAATATTGATTTTGATATTGCAATGACAAGAACGGATATGGGTAATGAATGAATGGAAAAGGATTGACGATCCTTGGTTGTGACTATGGTTGGAGTAGCATCAACAGTTCCAAACGCTTCATTAATATTTGGCTTGTACACTTCCGCCAAGTCATATCAAAATAGGATTCGGACAATATACTTTATGTCTTCAGATGAGATTTTACTGGCAAATAGGAGTCGGTATCTTCAACGCCGATCATAAGTGCTTTACTCTCTCATCTTCTGTTATCCTTTTTTCTAAAGCCCTCATCTTATCAACCTTTCTCTACGTAATATTTCCGAAAGTTAGAATAAGTTCCAGGCAACATTTTGCACAACTTCAAGAGTATTTTTGAAGATTTAAGTTGAACTTGATAAATACATGCATGCATACAACTTTTCGAAACGCCTCTCTCTCAGAACATACATGTGTGCGCACCGAATGATGTAATCTCGACTTTACACAATGTACGAATTGGATTCAAATTATATGTCAGGTAAAAGCTCTCAAACACTTTCTGGATGTTGGATCTTAATTCGAAGAAGTGATTTGCATTTTGGGGACTCTTTCAAGACGTGCAAGTACAACTGAGCGATGCATCTGATACAGTATGTCCAAAGTCTTCCCTTCAATGCTCAAGCTGGACTCAACCCAGATAATCAACATTTAGGAAACTAATCCGGGATATTCATGTCCAACGACAATGTGATATGTATATCCCCAAATGCTTGGCAAAATGTCCAAGTAGTCCTGAATATTGTATCTAATACATTAAAGCTCTCGTCTAATATCATCTCAAAGTTCTACCCCGGATTTAAAACTAAAAGAAAATTTTGTTTCACTATCTAAGTTTGGAAAAGCCATCCATTCAGTCTGTTTCTACTTGCACTTACAATGCTTCAATCTGAACTGGACGTTGAAAGAAGTTCGGCTAAATCGGAAATTATTCGGTATTTCTGTCCCACCGCGGGGTACCAATCTCCTTCCTCCATAACTTCAAATTCCAACGATAAAAGGACACCACATTCGTGACACTCTGAATAGAGGCATATTATAATTTATCATGGCTTCCCCCCGTTCTCCCAAGAAAATTGTACTCAAAGGAACTTCGAAAGAGGTAAATATCTTCGCTCCCTCTCCCTCTCCCTCTCCCCATCCTACGCTCATCTCCAAACCCCCACTTTAGAATGACTGACATCTCACCTTCATTAGATAGGACATCAACATGGCAGCCTTCTATCGTCTGAGATCAAAGATCAGATAAAGGTATATGAATCAATGTTCCAATCCACGTCCTCATTATCATGGTCCGAAGTCCTGGAAATCGCACGGGAATTCCAAACCACAATCCAGAAACTAGCACCAGATCTCTATGATGAGATGGTGGGTATAGCAGAGGGTGCAGACATTGATATCCTGGATATCGTGGCGCTCAATTGTAGGAGTGAGATTGCGTTGGGTAGGTTTACGGATGGATGCACGAGTTTGGGATGGAGGATGCAGGGAAATGAAGTGGAGGGAAAGATTGTGTTGGCGCAGAACTGGGACTGGACGGAGAAAGTTCAGGGAAATTTGGCCATGGTGGAGATAGAAAGAACTGGAAAAGAGAAGATCTGGATGGTTACTGAGGTATGATTCATTACTTTTATCTCTAACATTTCTCAGTGATGTGCCAGCCGTGGTATAGCAAAATAACGAAACACATAGGCGGGCATCGTAGGTAAGATTGGCTTCAACTCTGCTGGCGTCGGCGTATGTCTCAACGCTATCAGGGCCCATCCAACCGATACCTCCAAGCTTCCAATTCACATTGCACTGCGTATTTGTCTAGAAAGTAGCAGCGTGGAAAATGCTATAGCTTCAATTGAGGAGCTAGGTGGTGTGGCCTCAAGTCAGCACGTCTTGATAGCCGACTCGAGTAAAGTGTTGAGTATGGAACTTTCGCCTCTGGGAAACTGCTTTTTGGAGGTTTGTGATGATGGTTTTGTGGCTCACACAAACCATTTTATCAAGAATAAATTGGTAGTGGAACCACTTTGGCTTGTAGGAAGTTCGATAAGGCTTGATAGGATCAATATCTTGGCTAGCGAATTGGTTGGCGATTTGAAAATGGGACTGGAAATGAAAGATGGAGTTGGAAAAATGCTGAGAAGAAGAATATTTTCGGACACGTTCAATACTCCGCAAGCTATTTGTTGCCCTGGAGATCCTGATCGACCATGGCAAACTAGGAGTGTTACGCTGTTCAATATCACAATGGTATTGGATGCTGAAAATTCGTCTGCTGAAGTTGTTTTTGGGAAGCCCGGAATGACAGAGGGAGATGTGCTGAGAATGCCATGGATTTGAATTTCGTTTCGTCATTGCAGTGTGGTATTACTATACATCAGACACTGCATTTTTTGTGGATCGAACAACTTCAGGCTCCAGCCTACGAGAGCAGAAAAAACGAAGAATAGTGATCCATAATTTGATACGCTTGTAAGCGCCAGCACGGCGGTTGAGTGAGAGACCTAGATACCACACGTTAACACAAAAGGTGACACCAAACAATTATGAATTGATAGAAAGGATCAGCTCTGGGTCTAGTTAACATTGCTTACATAGTAAGCTATTGAAGCTGGGGTAACATCAGTTTTGCTTCATGTGTCCCACAACTTGCGTGTTTGCCTCTCTTTCGTCTTCCTCTTTCATCATCACTGCAGCATCTTCTCTGCGTGTTCATCTACTGAGTTTCATGAGTATAAAATAGCCTATAAAGAGCCAATTTTATTTACCAGGCTTCACTTTAGGAGTGTCTGAAAGTTCAGCTAAACCTCGCGAAATCACGGTGACATATTATGCAATCGATTTGTATAGAATGTTTGTTTCAAGGCGTTCCAGAAGATCTTGTTACCTCTATTTGAACTCTGTTCCAGTCTATATTGCGCCAAATCTTTCTATTTTTCTTTTCCTATTTTATGTTTGATAATACCGAGCGACAAAACTCAAGGAAACAACAGCAAGAAACCCTTGTGTAGATAGATACCATTGAAAAGATTTCCAGTATCCCCTTCAACCGAATTTTCTCGCAATCGCTGATATCTCACAGCCCTATCTCAGGAAGTTCCCTCATTTCTCACCATTTCCTATCTCCAATCACCACATGACAAGAAGCAGTATAACTTCCTTAGTCTTCCGTCCAGGTCTACGTTCTTTGGCTAGCACCACTGCTGCGGCTACCTCCTCCACCATTAGAAGAATGTTGATTGCTCCCCGTAGTCTTCTTTGGCGCCTTCAAAGTCTTCTTAGCTTTCTTGTTCTTCTTTTTTTCGCTATCAGAACTGTCTGTACCATGGTCGCTCACAAGGTCGGGAACCTGATCTTTGTCGGGAATACTTCTTGGCATTTTTATGAAAGGAAAGGCGGAGAGGTTTGTGTCGCGATTTGTGAGAATAGTTGTTTAGATGGGATGAATTTTGATAGTTCGGAGTTGAAGATGCAAGATGAGATGTGATGAGATGAGATGAGATGGGATTTGAGAATGGATAGCCAAAAGACTAGAGAGGTTCTCTTTATATACCACCACACCTCGCTCTAGACTTCCTCCAACTCTTCACTTGTTGGTTGCTATCGTCTAGAAAAATGGAACATGTGACCCTCAGCCAAATATACCGGCCGGTTATCAAGGCATCACCAATATTATCGGCCTCATAACGGTCCAGTCTATGAGATCGGGACGATACTTCGTGTGAATCTTGGCCAATATCAATATATCTGATATTTGTCCCGCAAGTGTAAATTCCATGAGGCATCAGTCCTAATGTTGGTATTTGTAAGGTCTAGGCTGCAAAATCTGGAACACACCTTTCGCGAGCCTTATTCGAGGCCCGGGAGGGCGCAAGTCAATTGCATCAAACCCCACGTTGTTCATTTCCTCATATCCACCTTATTCATGTATTCAGAAGACTTGAATATTTCTTTTTCGGCCTTATATTTGGCATGTGCTTCGAAATATTTGAGAACCTCGACTTCGCCACTAAGAGTTTTTGCACTGTCTAAAGGCCTATATAATTTCGAAACCCCCAAAGATTTCGCTAATTAGTATGGTCTCAAAGGCAGTCAGTTAGATCTGTAGCAGAAAAACTATCTTTCTGTCCAAATACTAGTACAATTGCTGGTTGATATTCTCCACAAATGTTCAAATCTCAACTTCAACTTCGCAACCGACCACACCTACAACCAGGCCAGATATCTGTCCACCAACAAACCCAATCAAGAAAAGTTTTCATTTCAGTTTGTGCATATAACAATAATACATTATTGAATCAGGAAATAACTTTTATCGTACTCGAGTGGCTGGCGGGTCAAATATTCGTTTGAGTAAACACAAAGTCGTGAACCTTGGGACACTGTGAATATCAAAAGACTTAAGAATTGTTCAACGCTCAATGAATAAGGAACAAGGTGATTAATACTAGAGAATATATGGGGAATTTGTATACCTTCCCAGTATGATTATCTTCTTGGTCAGTATCAAGTACCGTACTCTTGAAGTAGATGGCATTCCTGCCAATATACTTTTGGTCTTTGACTGCAAACTATACCAGTAGATTTCACTTTCTAATTTTATTTGAATTGCGTATGTGTTGATACTTCTCCCTTCTCGTTATCAACGATGGACTGCTTAGTCGAAAATGAGGTGAATATCCTATTTGTCACAAGGCACATGCATAATTAAGGAACTTTGAATTTTTGATACTTTATTCTTCTAGAAATGGAGTATAATTGATGATACAACAAGATGATACAAAGGGGACACCAACCGGGAGCAGGAGGGCCCATAGACTGAAGTATCTTTACTGTAAAATGTACCGGTCAGTGTCCCCTTCGTATTCGGATGACCAACACTCGCTACGCAGCACACATATATGTGCATTCGTGAGGGTCCTTGCAAGTGTTGGTTGTCTGGAAATGCTAGTTTCATATACATCGTCATTTCTTTCCAGCTCCTGTGGTCGAGCAGGCGCCGGCGCACGACAATAGGAGTCTCGGCTAGATTGTCGACTGTATTTATCCGTGCAAAGGAAGTGGGAGTTCCCTGAAAGGTTTGGTCAGTATGGCTTGATTTGTTGGAGGGAAGTGCGAGGCATGCATGTGAATTACTTGAGAGTGTGGCATAGTGAAGAATGGTGAGAAGAATTGAGGATGTATGTGAAGGAGATAGTTCTTACCCGAAGCCGGGCTGCCTTCGTCGGGTCTTACTGGGAGAGAGAAAGCAGGAGGTCAGACCCTCTTGTAGTATTGTCTACTAATTGGGCCACTTACTGGAAAGAGCTCATAGCAATTCATTATGATGTTTGGACTTTGTGAGTCGCCGTGATCGAGTATGTATGCTTTCGCTGTGATTATGCCTAGCTCCTCCATAATCAGCTCCGCCACCGAGGTGACGGGGCTGTTCTCAAGACTGGTGTTGGAGGAGGTGAGTAGGATGGAGGTAATTGTGGCCGAATGGTGAAAGATACTAGGTTTGGTCAGGACATTAGGCCGATATCGACTATTTGCAACATGATGAACTGACCCGAGATATTTTCCTCGCAGGTGTGTCATTTGACCCAAGTGGGCCATTTGATCTTGTACTTACATTGCTTATGGTGCGGCAGCTTAAATGACTGACCAATTTCCTGAAAAGAGGTGAATAGAGGCACGGCTTCGAATCTCCGGCTGAACCTCGTGAGGAGGTGAATTCTTGCTGGAAACGCCTCGGGACCAGAGAGTCCATCGATTCTATCTAATAAAGTAGAGAAAGACTTGGTGAATGTGTGTGGCGGTAATCATAACATAGTTTGAAGCAATGCTATCGAGACGCAAAATGGTTTCACCAAGACTTCTCCGCTCCGCTAGATAGAGGAGGACGGATCCCTTTTTAGAGAGTGTAAGTTGATTGAACTATTCGTTGAAGTGTCAGTTACATTGAGCCTGACTTAAGATCGAATTGAGAAACCCGACGTCAGAGTATGATTTCCATGGGTTCCTCTTACATTGCATCTTCATTGCCATTGGCGAGAGCAGATTTGACGCGCAGAGAGATCGATAGCTTGTAAAAGCAAGTTTTGACCCGTTTAGAGCGGTTGTTGAATCGTTGCAGCGCGAAGGTATTATTAATATTTAGAATAAACTGGAGCATTCGACATATCGTATGATATCTTGCTAATAACTGCGTGTTTGTGATGGAGAAAAGAAAATTGAAGAACTTGAGGAAATGATTATTGAAAAAGGGAAATCAGATTGAGGAGTTGAGGCATTCTCCGTGGGATAGTAAAGTAAATAATAAGAGATTAGGGCTCGCTTAACACTTCCGAGTCACGGGAAGTTGGTATTTTGGTAAGATTAGAAATCTAGGTTTTTCTAGAATACTTGAAAACTTCTCCAGACCTCGATATTTTCTTTCAAAATTTAAGTCACAGTTGCAACTCATACACAATAATGTTTCAATCAAATTGTGCATGATTGTGAGTATTATTTGTTGTGTCAGACTTTCTCCGGGTGGAGGACAAAATCGAGGTGGTCTCGGAAAAGCACACAGAAACTTCATTAAGGTGGGGATCCAATACACCACCTGTTTGTTTCAACCCATCAGGCTTCAAAGAAATCAACAGTAAAACACACTTTGTAAGTCCTTACTTGTTATTCTTTTGACATATTATCCATTCCAATATCTTTTACTATTTACCACGACTCCACCACAGTACCCGCTTTATTTTTGTGCCAGCCCAACTACACCATACACGATCTTCAGGTTTCTCGAAGAAAAAGTCGAGAGCATCGAGACTATGTATAGAACTGATATCTGCTACTGCCCATCTCGAAGATAATAACAGTAAGTATACTATCCCCGAACACAAACTGTCAATTGTGAGCTAACACAATTAGACTGGCAATCGCATGCTTCGTTGAGCCAAAGCTTTTCAGCGTGTCACGAATGGCAACGATACTAGCCTCCAATATCTCACGGCAGCAACAGCTCAAACTTTCCAGATCGAAGATACCTGCGAAGTTCAAAGAACAGAAAATGGGTTCAAACCGATTGCACACATAGAAGCTTCTTTTGGAGCTCATACGCGCGTTTCTGTTTTGAAGAACTTCAGAAGGAGAAGGCCATCCAAGAGATGAACCGCGCCGAGTATATTTGTCTCAACCTTTGTATTTTTGAGCACAAGCTAAGGAGCATATAGATTCGATGGTCGCACTATTCGTGTCGATAAGTTTCCGAGCGCTCCGGAAATGAACCCGTCGGTCATCACAAGATGAAAGTGAAAGATTCTGGTTCTACATGAACAGCGAAATGGCCGACATTCCGTCCGGCGTTTTTCATCGCCGATCAACTCATCTCCCGCATCGAATAGATTCATGCCAAATCCTTCATCCACCGTGATATTAAGCCTGGCAACTTCCTTGGGGATATTGGCAGGTGTAGCAACTAAGTCAATAGTATCGACTTCGGTTTGACCAAGAAGTACAAAGACCCAAAGACCCAGTGTGGCCAGCCGTTTCACACATACCGACTTCCCCTAATACATCTCTTGCTCTGCCTATCGCTAGGTCATAAGCCGTAGAAGGTAAGAGACCAATCTTATTATGGGGGTCTGAGTGCTGAAAATGAAGACAACTGTGAATATTGAGCCTTGCTAACTTCGTGAAACAGCGGTTTGAACTTCGTGGATGGGACTCGGATGATCGCGAATCGTCTGTCTTAAGACAGTAGACTTTATCGTCTTTAGATTCACAATCCATTGAGTAGAAGAGAAGGGCCACACGGTCAAGAATAAAATTCTTGCAAACGGCCGTCTTTCACAAGTCTTCCTAAAGAACCCGTACATGCCACCCAGTTGAAGAAAATACTTGTTGGTCTGCTTCCAGCTGCCACTTGTGATGCTGGAGCAGAAGGTATCAAGAACGCAATTAGTAGTCGTCGAGGATGCGGACACCGACTCTTCGGCATTCTAAGCAACCAGGTGTCAGAATGCCATCAGCTGCCTCGATGGCTTTCTTCGACAACCCAATCCAACATGCCACGAGTGGGAAAAGTCGAATGCACGATACGCATGTTACCATAGCTGAGCATCGACTTAGACAGCATTCCTGCTCCCAGGAAATGCTGTCTAAGGACTCTTTTGGCGGGACAAACTGGTTGCACACATAAGATAGAAAACCATATTTACACGAGAGTAGACACAATCATGCGATGTGTCTGCTCTCTGGGTTCTGGTAGATATTTCCTGATATTGTGATGGAATTACCAAATCAGGAAGCCAAGATGGTGCAAAGCTGCCATCACGAGATCCTTGAGATGTGTGAATGCTTTTTAAACATACGAACAGTCAGTTTTGATAGTAACCTAAGTACTCCTCTTGGTGGTGTCCCAAATCGGTCTTTTATGCACTTTTACAGCACCAATTCGGCGCCGAGCATGCCAATGGACAGGATACCCGGCGCTGAAAATTACCAGACTCTAAGATCGAGGAATAATCGAGGAAGGTTCAATAGAGGTCGCAGAAAGGAAGTTTCAGATATTAGGAGTTTCGGATCTTGAAAGATAACATGCAGAATGAGAATCAGACCTCCTCTGTACGATTTTCGGTAGATAGACGAAAGTATACTGATACTTTCTGTACAAATAGTATCGCGGAATGCATGGCTTTAAATTGCGATAATTTACTGTTATGGAAGCAATGTGTAGTTGTATGAACGAGAAAATCACTAAGTGTACTAATTTCCCCCAATCTCACTTGGTGAAACTTTCCATCTCCTCAGAAATTGCTTGTTGGAAGTGAAGAAGGGTGATATAATTCCTAATCCTGCCACCAGTAAATTATGTGGCTCTTTCAACAATGAGGAGTTGGCGCCTGTGATCAAAGCATTTGCTGCCGTAGAGTGACTGTGACGGTGCTGTTCCTAAGTTGACCCCTTAAATTTATCATTGATGCGCACAGTGCCTAGGAAAATTGCAGTAAGCAGCCTACTGAATGGATACTTGTAGCACCAAAGTAGAGAAGGCTGTGAATGACGAACGTGACGACACTTGAATGTTCATCAGATTTCAATCACCGCCGTAGTTGTAGACTGTGAATCGTGATGCAATCAAGGTTGAAGTAGAGCTTGTTGGCTGAGTCGATAGTGAATATGGGTTTGAGGCACGAGACGTGTTTGCGCCAGTACGTTTCCTGGTTCGCTGACGACTTATAAGCCTCGTTGGTAGATGGGCATGTGAGAGTAGTCGGTATCGAAACGTTCGGAAGGTGCACGACCTATGTAAATGCAATAACATCTGCTTTTTATAAGGCATGTCTTCACCAACATAAAGTCATCTTCGATCTGCTTCAATATGTCAACTAAAATAAGCATGTGAAGATAATACTGGCAAACTCAAAACTACCAAGGACATCGAAAATGACATTGCACCATAGTGGAGAATGTTGTTGGATCCTTAGACCAGAAGACAGGGTCCCAAGATCTGGGAGGTGGTATGCTTTAAGTCATACCTATGCGGAAGTAGAGGAGGTGATCATCGGCGAATTGCGGAACCCAGGAATGAGCGCGAGACTTAACGAGATTATGGGATTTTGGAAGAGACATTTGTTGTCTGACCTCAAGAAACAGACTGAGAAGTGTGATGGTGAAGAAATCGTGACATTGTATCACCGCATATTCAGTGATATGTTCTTTTCTGGAGCACTTGCACAAAGTCGGTGTGAAGTCCGATGGAAAGATAACTTCCAGCGCATAAGAGGATATACCAAGGACATGCGGCAACGCGAAAGTGGTGATGAAAGCGGGGAGGAAATTGATGAATGCGAAGAAGACCTTGATGACAATGAAGAGGGGGAAATCTTTCTTATTGCCGATGATGAGGGTGCTAGTCAACCAAACATGAGCAAGCTTGGCATGGCCCTCTCTGCGTGTATGAGAGATGAGATCAAAGCCGTTATCGAGATATGGCGACGACCCGATATTACCAACCGACAGGAACGCTTGCGGAGCTACTTAGAAACTTTGCTGCATGAGATGATCCATGCCTTTCTAAACATCTACACCTGCTTGTGTTCTAAATGCTCCCATGATATACCGAAGACTGTCGGACATACTGGACACGGTTTGCCATGGCACAAGATTGCCAACAGCATTGAGAGTTTCGTTAGGTCCAAATTGGATCTAAAATTGGATCTAGAAAGACGTGCTTCTCTGGCCATGGAGATACAGGCTAGTGGCTTGGAGATGCGTGATCAGATCGCAATATATCTTATGGAAGATTTGAACCTTGGGCCTTTTTAAATCAGCGGTCACATCAAGTAAAGGGACGCACAAATCAATCAGTAGATACTCATAACATCGCAATAGATTGTTGAGATGGAGAGGATTATAGAGGCAGTTCCAACTTCAATTACATGCTATCTTTGCCTTTTCAAAGCATTATTTCTTGGCATCGGCTTTCATGCCTGTCTGTATCCACTCTCTGCCCTTCTCAGCTGCAGTCTTCATTTTCGCCTCACGATCGGGATCCCTTTTTAAGGCTCCGATACTGTGCGGATCTGGGACATGTCGACCCTTTTCTACTGCAGGTCTCTTCTCCATTCTTTCATCCCATGCCTTCAGAGCCGGGAATTCCTCAATGTCAACTCCGCTATAGAAAGCAGAAGTCACCCAACCCCAGTGGGCAATGTCAGCAATAGTACATCTGTCCCCCACCACTAAAGTACTTCACATTAGTAACCATCCATATTAAGGGTTTGGAACAGATGAGAGCACTTTGAGCCAGATTGGAAAATGGGTTGTAAAGGGTACATAAGTGGATGGTTGAAAGGAAAAGTCAAGAAATTGATTATACTTACAATAACCAGAGGTGGACTTCTCGAGATGGGTATTCAAGACAGAATACAAACGCCTGGTCTCGTTTACGTAGCGATTGATACCATACTCAATCTTCTCGGGTGCATATTTGGTGAAGTGATTGGCTTGGCCTTGCATGGGACCTACCCCAGCGTTGAGAAAGAAGAGCTTGGTTACCATGTTAGTTTATCTTACTTTAAATATCGAGTGACTTACCCAGTTGTTGACCTCATAGTACTCTCTTGTTCCCTTTGGATATGAAATCTTGTGCTCTGCATCATATCTATCGACAAGGTACTGCTGAATGCTACCACTTTCAAATAATCTAATATTCTCGCCATCTGTGAACGTATCGGTCAAAGCGGGAATCCGTCCATTAGGATTGATCTCAAGGAACCATGGCTCCTTCTGGGTGCTCTTGGATATATCAACCTTGTGCACCGTGTATGCAAGACCAAGCTCTTCCAACGTAATAGACACTTTGATGCCGTTAGGAGTCTGGGTTGTGTAGAGGTGGATGTTCGATTTGGATGCCATTTTGGAAATAATATGAGAATGAATCTGTTTTAGACGTTTGCTCATAGATTGATTGCACTCTATGTATAGGGAGGGATGAGCGCAGGTTTTAAAGAAACTCGAAACTTTTTTGATTTGTAATATGTCTACTCGAGTATACTTTGGACATATACGATTACCCCACTTGTCATGATGATGATGTGCTAGATATCTTACCAAGCTGAAACTTACCGCGGCTTTTGGAATGCAGGATAAATCGAGTTGTCTTCCAATATCACATGATTACTAGGTACTCGACAAGATCTCTTTGTTGTGCAAATACTCGAGTACTCTCAATACCATCTTTGTTATCAAGCATGGTTGGTTGAGAGGTAAACAGTTCCCCGTGGTTTTGGTGCAAAAATGATAAAAGCACGTGAATCCGAGACCAAGCCAAATTCGTACTAGCTGTTTTTGAGTTGGTAGATTCCAGACTCTGCAATCTCCCGACCAATCTTTTATACATTCTACAACAACAAAAAGAATACTAATATTGACATTCAATACACACATCATTACATCATGGCGTGGAGGCAACAAGGAAGTACCGGATCGAACAACATCCCCTTGGGAAATCGTCGACGCTTCCCTAACGAGGGTGGAACTTCTCAAGATGAAGGCTACAGTCCTGTTCAATCTTCCAATAATCAACATGATTCCAGTATCAAGCGTGGACGAAGCCCTACTGTGAAGTGTAAGTCTCCTCTGCCTACTAGTAGTACTGTATCTCAATCATCTAACCATTTTCAGCTGAAGAACCTGCAGGCGATGGAGATGGATCTCGACGCCGCAAGAAGAGAAATCGTTGGGGTGATGCGACTGAGAATAAGGCTGCAGGTCTGATGGGACTTCCAACCGCGATTATGGCGAACATGACAAGCGAGCAACTCGAAGCTTATACTTTACATTTCCGTATCGACGAAATTACTCAAAAATTGAGAATCGATGATGTTGTTCCAGCGGATGGCGACAGGTAAGCAAACTTTATCCATGATGGCTTAACTACAACTAATCAAATTTCATAGATCACCTTCTCCTGCTCCCCAATACGATAACTTTGGTCGCCGTGTCAATACTCGAGAATACAGATACAGAAAGAGGCTCGAAGACGAGAGACACAAATTGATTGACAAGGCTATGAAAGTCATTCCTAACTATCATCCACCACAAGATTATCGCCGTCCCACTAAGACTCAAGAGAAAGTCTATGTGCCAGTCAATGACTACCCAGAAATTAACTTCAGTATGATTGCTAACCCTCTAACCTTTCTAACCTTATATTCCCATCCATATCCATTTTCATTTTTCGTGTGACATTACATGCCGCATTTGGGAGACAAGTGCACAGCATTGTCATCACTAACCTGTCGTACTCACTACCACTTTGCTCAAAGCTTTTGATCCTATACTAACACTTAGCTCGCGCTCTACTAAAGTTGGTTTACTTATCGGTCCCCGTGGCAATACATTGAAGAAAATGGAGACAGAATCTCAAGCCAAAATTGCTATCCGTGGAAAAGGATCCGTCAAGGAAGGAAAAGGTCGATCCGATGCAGCCCACACTAGCAACCAGGAGGAGGATCTCCATTGTTTGATCATGGCAGATACAGAGGAGAAGGTCGAGAAGGCAAAGAAGTTGATTCACAACATCATTGAAACAGTAAATTAATCATGATTCGCCGTTGATCATCACATACTAATATACTACAGGCTGCCTCTATTCCCGAAGGTCAAAATGAGCTGAAGCGTAACCAACTTCGTGAACTCGCTGCTCTTAACGGTACGCTCCGTGATGATGAGAACCAAGCTTGCCAAAACTGTGGTGAAATTGGCCACCGAAAGTACGACTGTCCACAACAACGTAACTTCACTGCCAATATTATCTGTCGCGTTTGTGGTAACGCTGGACATATGGCTAGAGATTGCCCAGATAGACCACGCGGTGCCAATTGGCGCAACGATGGTCCACCTGGTCCAGGTGCTGTTCCAGGTCAAGGCCGTCTTGGCTCTGGCGATGCTGTTGACCGTGAATATGAGGTAAGCAGAATTACCAGTACCAATTTTCTAACATTAGTACTTACAAATTATCTAGCAACTTATGCAAGAACTCTCCGGCGGTGCCCCTGCTGAAGGAGATGCTCCTCGTCGTATCGAATCTGGACCGTCTGGACCGTCTGGACCATCTGGACCATCTGCTTATGATCAAGGTCCTTCCAACGGTCAAGAAGATGTCAAACCATGGCAACGAGGCCCAACAAATGCTCCTGCTCCATGGCAGAAAGGGAATGATGTTCGCGATTCGGCACCTTCCGGACCGGCTCCATGGGCTCGACGAGGAGGTGACGATAGAGATAGAGGAGGCTATCAGAATGGCTACAACGCACCATCCGGACCTTCCGCACCATCTGCACCATCCGGACCATCCGCTCCTTGGGCAAAACAACAACAACAACAACAACAACCAGCCCCTCCAACTGGCCCATCTGCCTATCCTCCTGGTCAAAATGGTGGCTATGGTGGATATGCTCCTGGTTATGGTAGCTATCCTACTGAGCAACCCCCAATGGGTGCTCCCCCTGGTCTTAACATGCCCGGAGTTTCAACTGGAGCCCCACCTGGGTTGAGCAGTGCTAGTATTAACGCTCTCCTTCAACAATATGCCAATTCTCCGCCACCACCTCCTCCCTCCGGTGCTGCCCCTCCTCCACCTCCCCCAGGAAATGCTCCTCCGCCGCCGCCCAGCGATCAGCCACCACCGCCTCCACCCGGAAACTAACAAGCTTCCTTCCACCTAATCAATCACAGTCGTTTCTAAATAACTTCCCGTGGTTGCCGGTACGCAATATAAAAAGGATACTAACCTAGGGATCTCTTTATCCACAAAATACAAGGTTTCTTTGTGTTCACAAGGACAGTCTTTTTTATTGGAGCGCTACTTTCTGAGTTTATTAACTTTAAATACTTTCTTTTGATTAGTGCTTTGCTGCTACTGTAACCATAGGAAAATCCAATTATTCATGAATCTTTTTGATTATTTTCATTACCGTATGTGATTTGCTTCTATCAAGCCGTGTCGTACAAAATGGTACCAGTGATAGATAGATAGCACGTGAAACTAGCATAGCTGCTCGAGGCAGCAAACGGAGGCTACAGCCGTTATATTGAGGTCCTCTTCAACTGAACCTATATATCGGTAAACTGCGCCTCTCAGGTTCAATCAAATTCGGTATCGTATTCACGTCTTTATCTGGTGACATACGGAAGTACAAAAGGAAATAGGTTTCACTTCCATCTTTTAGTTTTGCCTTTTCAAGTGTTTTGTTAGACAAAAAGCAGTATTTGTAAAGGATCATCTCACACACTATAATAGCCCTGATATCAATATTGAGAATCGGGCATATCACATTTCAACTCTCAAATTTTATAAGAGTTCTCCTTTCCCGACCTTGTTGTCTAGAGTTTCTTTTTCTCTTTTCAGCATTTTATTTTGACCTCTTCTTTTCAACGGACTTCTTGCAGAATTTCGAAATGTAGTATCGCAGTACTGCCTGCTAGCACGGTAACACCTTCTTTCCACTTTGCGAGCCTTCATCTCGAATCTTTTGAATATATCAATTGTATGCCAGTGATCTTCATTCTCTTCGAAATATCGATGTTATTTCTTTGATTTAAGTTTCTGGGGTTATCAATATAATCGATCAGAAACTACAATATAAATCTCTTCAGCAATTACAGTGTCCGGTGGACTTGCTTTTTCCGGTCTTGAGTAGATCCCATTGGTGAGTGCCATGTTTATAGAGGAGTGATAGATATATAGAGCTTAGTAATCAGAGTATAGACTGTATAGTAGGTAGATATTTTCTGTTTTGGTATGTGTTTTCGAGGATCAAAGGTTTTGATGTTCGAAGAATTGTTTATTTTGTCTTTTGAGCGTATTGGATCTCTCAAATAAGATGAATTTTGTAACGAGTTGAAGTTTATGAAGCATCCATTATTGGTAAACTCAAGAAAGTGTTTTGTTTGAAAGGTTTGGGATTTACTGATATAGCTTAGACCCCGGTTTTCATTTGTCTACTTAGGTTTACCCTACCCATATATATATTATATATTTTTCCTCTTCGGACATCGGATGGTCTAGCAGGATTTATAACGCAACATGATTACATATGTTTGAAAACCTTGCACGGAAGATTCATCATCATCAATTTGTGTGTGCTTAGGAAAGTATACAATATATTGTGTTCCTAACTAATAACTAGTCATCCCAGAAAGAAACACGACCAGAACGCCCCCAACCTTTTGCTCCAACGAATTAAATACAGACCTAAAATTTTTAAAATGCGTAACCAACTTCAAACTGCTCTCTCCTAACTCTCTTGCGGTCATCCGATTCAAACATCGAAGGAGAAGGACTCCTCTTCAAACCAAAACTTCTTCCACTCCCCTCCGACGTCGCCAACTCATCCTCGGTATCCCCTAGCCCAAAAACATATTTCTCTTCGTCAAACGTGACTGTTGGTTTGGTGTCCAATTTATGAGTTAGGAAACTGGATCTTCGTGGTTCGGCTGCGAATATCGCACTCGCGGTTTCCACTTCGGTTACTTCTCCGCGAGTTTGTTCAGCTACATTTTGTACTGTCGCTGCTCCTCTTCCTCTTCCTCTTCCTGCTGCTCCTCCTCTCCCTCGCCCTCTTCCCGCTCCTGCTCCTGCTCCTGCCCCTCCTGCCCCTCCTGCCCCTCCTGCCCCTCCTGCCCCTCCTGCCCCTCCCCCTCCTGCTCCTCTTCCTGCTCCAGCTCCTGCTCTTGCTCCTGCTCCTGCTCCTGCTCCTACTCCTGCTCCTGCTCCTGCTCCTGCTCCTGCTCCTGCCCCTCCTCCTCCTCCTCCTCTCCTTCTACCTCTTCCTGTTCCTCTTCCTCTTCCTCTTCCTGCTCCTCCTCCTCCCACTTGATCATCGTCTTTATCATCATCTTGATCATCGTTTTTATCTTTCAATTCACTTTCAGATGACTCCGAAGAGGCTTCCTCCTCCTCCTCCTCCTCTTCCTCCTTATCTTCTTCCTCTTCCTTCATCTTCGCTGCATCATCCGCCTTTTTCTTATCCTCTTTCTCTTTCTCTTTCTTCCTATCCTCTTCCACCTTCTTCGCCGCGGCATCATCAGCTTTCTTTTGGTCTCCCTTCGCCTTTTTAGCCGCGCGTTGCTCAGCTCTCTTCTTGTCAGCCTCCGCCTTTTTAGCCGCGCGTTGCTGAGCTCTCTTCTGATCAGCCTCCTCCTGTTTAGCCGCGCGTGCCCCAGCTCTCTTCCTGTCAGCCTCCTTCTTTTTAGCCGCGCGTTCTTCAGCTTTCTTCTTGTCAGCCTCCTCCTTTTTAGCCGTGCGTTCTTCAGCATTCTTCTTGTCAGCCTCCGCCTTTTTGGCCGCCCGGTCTTCAGCTCTCTTCCTAGCAGCCTCCGCCCTATCAGCTTTCACTCGATCTTCTCCCGCCTTCGCGGCTGCGTCATCTATTACCTTATGCGCCGCCGCAGCATCTTTCTCTCTTTGTTCATCTGCTGCTCGTTGCCTTCTCTCCTCCGGCGTCATTCCTTGCGTTGTAGCGAGTGACCTCGCTCTTGCTCTCGTAATTCTGCCCGGAGAAGGAACTTTCGGTTCTGGTTTTGGTTCTGGTTCCTCCTCCTCTTCCTTTTCCTCTGCGAATTCATCTTCGCTTGATACCTTTTTATCTTCCTCCTCCTCTTCCTCCCCTCCTATCACTGCAAAAGCTTCTTCTTCCGCTTTTTTCCTCTCATCTTCTTGTCTCTTCCTTTCAGCTTGTCTTTCCTTTTCCGCTCGTCTCCTCTCTTCCGCTCGATCTCTCAATTCTCTTTCCCTTCTCCTTTCCAATTCAGATGCTGTTGGTCCCGGAGGAATTGTTACGTTTCCGGCTGCGACTTCAGCTTCTCTGGCGGCAATATTCCTGGCCTTGGTTGCTTTAGCCTGGTTGGCAATACGTGTCTTGATACGTTTCATTCCAAGCTTAGGACCCTCGCCCGCCACTAGAAGATTATGCGTCAGTTACGTGTGATAGGAAAGGAAAAAGAAAAGGGGTGAACATACTTGCGTCGTGCCTTGTCTGTAGATCAGCCATTAGTGCCTTGCTTCCCTCATTTTCTGCAATCGCTTGATCTCTCTGTTCTCGAAGAGTTGCGCCCGTTCCCTCACATGCATCAAGTCGCGTCTGGAGATCGGCAATTTGAGCCTCGAGGCTTTCAATCATGTCAGTATCCTCGGGAGCCGCGGCCGCGGCCGCGCCCCCTTCGTTCTGTGCTTCTCGAAGGGCATTTCTTTCTTTTCGAAGATCCCTTATTCGTGCTTCGAGAACTCCTCGTTGTTTTAAATTACCCGCCGCAGTTGCTTTCATGACGGTAACTTCCAGTTGAAGATCTCGGTTTAGCCGCTCCAATTGAACAATTCTGTCTCTCTGTACATTGATTCTTGCTATATGTTGCTTATTAACTTCTTCGTTTGAATCGAATGATGCCACACTTTCATCTCGGATTGCTTGATCCCTCGCAACATCTTCCACATTTTGTTGGTGTTCCGCTTCCGCCTTGGCTCTCTCCTCTTCCGCTTTCCTTTCCCTTTCATCCTTCAGTCTTCTCAAATCTGCTTCCAAGGTATCATTTTCATTTCGAAGCTCTTGTAGTAATTGGCCGACAGCATTATCATTTGCCGAAGCGGCAATACCTCCACCGGCGGCTTGACTGGCAACGTAAAGTTGTATTTGTTTATCCTTTAGTGCGCCTCTTCTTTGACAAGCCTCAAGCTCGCTTAGCTGATCTGCAAGAGTTATCTGATCTGCATTATGTTGTTTTCTCAAATTGGCCAAATTCTTCCTCAAATTTCGCAATTCTTCCGGTGAGATACCATTGGCGTTTAATCTCGCGTCATCAAGTCTTGCCTGAAGATCTCTCACTTGTTGTTCATGTCTGCCACTGTTATCGGCAATTCGAGCATCCAGATCCGCGATGCGCTGGTCCCGTTCCTCAAGCTCGGCATGGACTCGGGCAAGGGGGCTATCTGGGCCAACTTCTTCCGGACGAACTGCTCTCGCTTGCGCGAGGTTACCTTGTAAATCTTGGATGACTGTTGTCATGGCCGCGATCTCCCTTCGTAGGTCTGCAATCGTGATTCCAGATGCTAAAGCATCAGACTCAGGTTTTAATACCTCATTTCTTAGACGATCTAGCTCCGCCTTGTCTACTGGGTCAACTGGATCTGGTGCATCGGAGCCGTCTAAGTCATCTACGACTCCTTTGGCAATAATATCATCAATTGCATGCTCATAGGCGATAATTCTTTCTCTGAGGTCTTGGATTTCCTGTCGATCCCTGCTTGCACGAGTATCCCATTCAAGCATGACCCTCAAACTTCTAATTTCTTCGTCTTTTTCAACGATCCGTTTTCGGAGTTCATTCACGCCTTTGAATCTAATTATGGCTTCTGTATCGTAATCTTCGGCCATTTGTGCAAGCTTATCTCTCTCGGCCCGTAGCCGTTTCAATGCTTCTACTGAAATTACAGCTGCATCCTTCTTCAAGTCGCCCTCCACGTCCTTCACAGCTTCGAATTTTTGGACAGCTTCATCCCTTTGAGTGGTTAACTCATTTATTTGCCGTCTGAGCGCCCCTTCACTATCTTGGAATGATTTTTTATCAACGTTAGCTTTCTCTAATTGCCCTCGCAACTTGTGAATAAATTGATCTTTTGCTTGCTCGATATCCTTGGCCTTGGCTTTCTCAATTCGAAGCTCCTCTTCCATTGCCTTCCTCTGATCGTTAGTTGGATTATCACCTAGCTTTCCATAGCCTGGCGGAAGTGCAGCGTTTCTCAACCCGTTTTCGAGCTCCCGAACTCTGGCATTGGATGCTTCCGCATTCGCATGATAGCTTTCGAAATGTCTGCACATTTCGTCAAAAGCCTGATCGGATAGATGAACACCATCCGCTGGTTCTGCAGCTCCAGCGGCAGCTGCCGCCGCTGGTACCGTCTGACCTCTCGAGACGTTATCGATATATTCGCTTTGTTGAGCGTATTGTCTTCTGGTTTCAGCCAGGACCTCCCCCGCTATCTGCAGTTCATTCTCCAATCTCTCGTTCTCGGCTTTCTCTTTGGCACAATTCTGGCCAGGTGGAGGGGGCCCACGTGCATTGAAAAAATCTCGCTTTTCTCTCTCCAACCTCTCGACTTTTGCACGCTGCTCATTCAATCTCTTCTCAAGTCCTTTGTTTGCTTCAGTCAAATTATCGATAGAGGCTGGCTTAGACCCGGCCATTGCTCTCTGTCTAGACCTCATAATATCTGACATCTCCATAATGCCCTGCACAAGGTCACTGAATGGCTGAAGTGTATTGTGATTTGTCTTCAAATTAATGATAGGTTCCCCTTCATCTGAATCATATTCCGTGTCAATCACTTCCGCAACGCTCGCTTCCTCTGCCATCGCAATACGCAGACCCTTGAGAGTGGTGGACAGAGCAGCATGGAAATCCGCAACAGCCGTTTGAAATATTGCAGGATCCATTCGTTGCTTACTGCTATCGTTTTGGTTTGTAAAGTAGTACTGAGTGGCTCGTCGAAACTCCAGAAGATATTGCTCGGATCGATTTCGCAAGCCTCGCCACACACGACCTTTTGCTCGATACTGGAGAGTTTTCTCATGTGTTTTCACAATTAGGTCTCTCATCATAATAGATTGGTTTAGAATGTACGTCTCGCTCTGCTGATCGATAGCACCATCACCTCTTTCGTTGAATATCTTGAAAATGGGATTGTGCAGAGCTTTCCATTCATCGACTTTCATGTTTACTGTGGGCAATTTTCCTGGGTCTATGTGGTCGACATTGCGGACTGGGACCACTGCCATATTCCGTGCAAGCTTGTCTTCTATATCCAATCTTCTGGCCTGCTCCTCTTGCCAAAAGTGCTCGCCTGGGTTCGTCGAAGCAGCCATACTGAAGGATTTTCAGCTTGACAGCTGAAGGTTCGCACAAATGGTTTTTGCTGTGATGAATTGTTATTGAATTAATTGCCAAACGGTAAACTATGCCCGCGGTTCCTTGAACGTACCAATTATTTGTAAAATAATAGATGCTACTTATTAAATTGACTTTTTCTTTGTGGCTATCATATTCCAAAGCCCCGATGCAGCCAAAATTCGAGGAGAGTAGGGAAATCTTTGTTTGTCTTTGTCATATCGAGGTCTCTTTCAACCTCAAACACATTCTTCTTGAAGGAACACAATTGACCTTTAGTAGAAATCCGTTCTAGGAATTGAAGATGATATATGGAATAACAAACGATGAAAGGAGTTGCAAAGGGGGGGTTTCTTAAGGTTGATGAAAACGGCGAAAGGAGATAGACCTCTATTTAGTTGTGTTGGTGTATGGAGGACTTGCAATGGGCAATACGACGAAAGGTAGAGAATTGATTTGAAAGACATACATGATGACTGGGGTCAATTCGCCCTGATTTCCGATGGTTGGAATCTGCAGTGAACAATTGTATGCCAATTTGATCTTAATGAATTTTTAAGATAATTAACCTTCAGATGATAATGTACCGACTATTACACCCAAGGAATCACTGTAAAACAATGGGAAAATATTTCCTGATCTCATCCAAAAAGTAGTAGCTTGAATCAGTCGGGAAACTGCCAGCTTAAATATTATAATCTAAACCGACTGACAATTTGGATATATCAAACTAAACCGCCGGTTTAACCAGTGTGTAAGTTCAACTGGTTAACCACTGATTATGTTGAATCTCATTCCGAATACTGATGATTACAATCTACCGTGCCGTGACCCATCCAAATCCAATCCAATCCAATCCAATCCAATCCAATCCCAATCCAACCAAAACAAAAAATAACATACTCGAGTAATTCAGCATTTCTATCTCCTATCTCTTTACTCAACTAGTAGTAAAAAAAAACATGTACACGGTATATCTCAAGACCTCCAACTCTCCAAACACCAAAAACCTTCTAATATGAACCCAAACTACTAGCTACCTCAAACTAATGAATGATATGAAATCATCATATAACTTCAGAATAACAAATCTTCACCGTCCATGCCGAGCTACGTTCATTAGCTATAGTGATTTCTTACTAGAGTACTCACTATTTCGTAATATTACGGTCTATAATGAAATTCTATAGGATCCTTGAGCATATATACATAGGCGTCTATCTATCTTTGAGACTTTGCTGAGTAAGGTCAACGAGTAACTGAAAATACTAGGTAATTAAACGCGATACTATACTGAGAATCTCTGAGAAATCTACAATATCCATCTACAATATCATGGGAATAGCCAATACATATCTAGGTAGGTAGGTACATACAATACCCCCACGCGTTTCTATTCAGTCGTGACAAGCCACCCAAACACTTGTTTGGTATTTTGTATCATTTTGATGTGGCAAAACCAAAACCAAAACCATTCAACTATCCACGAATACTCATTCGCATTTACTCGTAATATTCCACGACTAAACAGAGCTAGGTGCATACCTCCACAATATACACAAAAACCTCACCAACCCCCCTCCCACACCCCCCTCAAAACCTGCAAATACCTCCCCCCATCCCCCACCATCAGCCCCACATGCCCCCCCTCCACAAACCTCTCCCTCAACACCCTATACCCCCTCTCCACCGCCTCCCCCGCATGCTCCTCCACATCCCTCCACCTTACCATGCGATCCCCCTCACTATAAACATAACATCTCCTTGCATCCTTCGCAAAGAGCCTCTCATCATTTAAATCTCTTCTTGCCTTTTCTATCGCATCTAATTTTCCCCACAGCGCATAATGCACTTTATAAATACCCAACAGAATCCTTAAGATGAAGATCCCCATGAATTGCACCAGCGGATTTTTAGGAAGCCCGATGGAAAATGCAAGGATGGTGGCATGGTAGTGGAATTTGCCGGGGCTGGAATCTAGGGTCATGGCGGTGATGGGGATGGGGATCCCTTTTGTACTTGCATATTCGCGCGCGAGAGATGTAATGGTAAACGCGCCTCCGTTGGAAAAAGAATGCACGAGGATTTTTGCATCGCCGGGTAATTTGTATAGAATATCGAGCGCAGGTAGGAGACGGGCGAGATTAGAGGATGAGGATGAGGATGTGAGAGTGTTGATGGTGGAAGTGGTGATGATGAGGATGCGGGAAGTGGGATGCTGAGATTTGTGGGCGCTGGTGTATTTGAAGATGTGTTTAAGAGGGGCGTTAAGCCAGGCGCAGATGAGTATTAGATCTGGGGATGTGGATGCAGGATTTGGGTTTTGGAGGGATATTGTGGTTTCTGGTTCGTGGATGAGGATTGAGGGGGTGAGATGGGTGAAGTGGTTTAGGTTGGACATTGTGTAAATTTTGGTTTAAGCCTTTGAGTCTTGACTTTGGAATCATGTATGCAAATAACGGGGTTTAGTCTTATATAGCCCTTTACGCCCGATATAACTTTCTAACAGTTTTCATATGATCCTGGTAAGTCTTACATTCATGTGCCTTTGGGGCGGAGGCGGGGGTCTGAATCTGGATCACTCCGAATTTGAGACTATCCGTCCCTTATTAGTTGTCAACCAATCGGGATGATGATGAATGTGTTGAGATTCGACAATAAGAATATTTGTTATTGCTGAATTAAATTTCTGTAATGACCCTTCACTCGTGTAAGCCGGTCGTGATTGACTAATAATCCAAATCTAAAGTCTCAACGACCTACGCTGTTCATTCATCATCTGTGCTACTGGTTCAATTGACAACACTGTTCATTCCCTTACCCTCTCCATCTCCAATCAATACCCTCTGTTGTAGCTCAAACCCAATTCCACAAACTTCCTTTCTCCTTCGCGCATACATTCCATACAATCCCAACCATATCGTCCTATCTCTACAATTCGTTGCCCCAAACCATTCACTCGCTCCGCAATTCGGCATATATTTATTCAATTCCTCCTTTGTTGCTCGTATCCAAGGTTTTGGTATCGGCCAATCCGAAAAGTGCATATATTTTGCTTCTGCCAATACCTTATCGGGATCCCAAACATCTTTCGAATTTCCCAAATATTCTGTATGCGATTTGCGGCGGAATTCTCCTGAAAGAAGGTTGTATGGGCGAGACGGAATAGCCAAAATATGAGGTGCGAACATTGTATTCAAAATATCCATATCATACTCGTTCGGCCCGGCATGCTGCACGGCAGATTCGAGTTTCTGAAATTGGTTGGTCGAAGGATGTAGTAATAATAGTTGGGAGGAATATGCCCAATTGGTTGGTGGACCAAAATAAGTATATGGCATAGCAACCGGTGCAGAAGGTAGGAGAAACAATTCATCCATATTCTGAATGTATTGAGCATCGGAGTCAAGATGTAATACTCGATCGTATTGTGTAAGGTTGAATGCGAGAAGTTTAGTATATGAATCTGCCCATGTTGATTGTTCCGTATGATTCTGATGTAGAACATCCACCGGTTGAAGTTTAACGTAGTAATCGGTCTGCGCTTGCTTCAATAGCCTGGCAATGGGCGTGAGAGGTTTGGAGGGGAGGGTATTGTCGGTTTCTTCCAGGGACCAATGGGAAGGATATAACATCAGTCGTTGAGCATGACTACCGATTGTTTCCACCTGAGACCAGAGCATAAGAGCACTACAAAGGTATTCGGGTGATGTAACGTATTGAATATATGCGAATTTGGACCAGTCAATCGCAGGATCATCAACCGTGGTTACCGGCCCCGGCATTGGTGGGACTGGATCGGGATCATGGTTATAAATGAGTACGATACGGAAGGCTAAAAGTATGAGTAAGAATATTAGAGACACTTGGACTGTAGTGGTAGATATTAAAACCCGTAGTCGGCGAGTGTAAAAGCGAAAACCTGCCATACAGACATTTCCAAATATCGATGTCGAATATAATAAAAGGACAACATCTCCATTCTTGATATTTCAAGTTAGAATATAATATTTGTTGATTTGTTGATTATTGATAGTCCTCTAATAGATACCAAGACGCTAAGTACTCTTGGCTCTTGACAAAACGGCTATACGGCTCCTTATATACCCGAGGAAGTCACTAACCATCAACCAACCGAACCGAATAGTTTTATATAAAAACAAAATGATAAGTACAGTATTTCTTATTGTAATAATTTCTATAGTGATTTGAAGCTTTTTACAACTTTTACAAAATCCTTTCTAGGGTAAATCTCTACCACATCAAACTCGGTCTCTAAGGGCAAGGTTAGATAGATATACTGATATATGCGGCTGATGTTCCCAAGTGATGTGGCGTTTACTGTTTAGGTAGGCACGGAAAACTCTAGTCAATATTCAACCTTTCATCTGAGCAAGTCTTCCATCTGAACTTCGAATTCATATATTCAAAGAGTACTTTTTATCTGATTTTCCACCTATATGGAATGGCAAAACCCTATCCTTGATAAAGGCTCTTCGAGGAAATTCTACAATGTACCATGAGGCTTTGGAAATATTCTACCAAACAATGACTTTTAGCCTTCTGGTCGAGAATGCAATATTTTTCACCAATCTCATACTGTAATTCGTATGTTGCCCAAAGTAATATTGTACGAACAATTCGTTCAATAAGATTGGAGGTCAAGTACACAAATCCTCCCTCACTTCACCGGTTTTGCAACCCCAGGAATTTACACCTCAAAGATACGAAACGTGAACAAATATCATTTTCTAATAACACCACAGGACAATAGCCATACAAGACTATCCAAGGTCGGCTATTTTACTCGTACGAACAATACCAATATCAAACCTCCTTTGGGATACAAAAGATCATCCGATATGGCTTACCTCCAATGTTTCCACGTATGAACTTGATGCCAGAAAATTGAGACAAAAAGAAGTCATCGAGTTTGAAAATCCATCTCAGCCCGGGCGGGAGTTGCTCAGGAACTACCTACGGTATTATACTCGTAAATAATGGGGTACTACATAAAGCTCCAACTTATTTTCCCGGCAAGATATCTCCCACCAAATAAGTTCTCCATTCCATTCTAGTCGGCATGATTAATATCATAGCCAATATCCGCTGTACTCTGATCATGCACAAGCATACAAAGATGCATGCCATAAGTCATCAATGGACAGCCAACAGTGCCCAGTCAGAATCTTACATGCATGGAGTGATGGGCTTTACTCGAGTATTTTCAAAGCATGCATGCCCAGATCCCCCATCTATCTCCGATTCCCCCATGGAGCAAGATGCAGTGTATTCTCACCAGGACACATATCCTCAGAAACCGATATACTGTACCCATTTCCTAAGCCTCAACCCTCGTTCTTGTTTCTGCTTTGCATTTTACATTTTGCATTTTACATTTTGCAGTGATAAATAAGATAAACTGTGTCCTTGCATTACATCATGATGATATCGACCAACTAACAGTAGCATTGAGTGCAAAGATATGGATAGGAAATGCGTATGGTACCGGATGCTCGCGATGAAGTATACTAGTATGGCTGACCATCATCCACCGAGAATTTGTAATGAAGTACCTTACTTATTTATCCCGACTTTGATCCATGATGTATATTACAGTATCTGTGGCTTTTAATATCTCTTCAGCGTTTTTTTCGTCAATATAGTATATAATAATAAATACATCACATACATACATGCTTGTGATCCAGTCATCCATCCTATATATAGTTCTTCTTCTTCTTCTTCTTCTTCCTCCTTCCTCCTTCCTGCATTCACATAATCCCATTCATTCCCGAACGGCCTCCTTTATATCAAAGAGCCTTGGCTCTTGGCTCTTGAACCATATGCGTACTGAGTACTCGAGTATATCTATCTATCTAATATCTAAATTAATCCACAAATTCCCCTTTTGGAAGTTTTGTGAGGAGTGCTAGTAGTAGTATATTGTATTCGCCTATTCTGTTGTGTACCGGGGTACCGGGACGGTAGTGCGGTTTCTTATTTGAGTGTTATTGATTGTTGATAATTCTATAGATTCTATTTCCTGTGGACCTGTGTTAATTTGGGATCTAATTTTTTGCTCCTTGTTACTCGAGTATTGTGTTATGTAATATGTAATATGTAATATGTGCGAAGGATTTAAGAATTTAACAATCTGGGGAGTGAGGAGTGAGGAGTGAGGAGTGAGGATTAGGGATTAGGAATTAGGAATAGCTGTAGAGGGGAGGGAAGGGGACTCGAAGGGTGGTTTGGGAATTGGGATATGGGAATTGGGGTTTGGGATAGGGACTTGTGGGGAGAGATGAAATGAGAGGAGATGAGATTGAATAGGGACTTGCGAGGAAAGATAAGATAGGAAAATTGAGAAAAGGCTATAACAAACTCAATAATTGAATAACTAACTGAATAGAATATCATAATATAGAATGGACGCGAATGAGAACGCAACTGAGGATGAATAAAGCAATACCTTAATAATTTAATAACTTAATAACTTAATAACTCAGGCAGTAAGAGATATTATAAATTTATAATAGATTGGAATTTTGAGAGTGAGTGTGCTCTGGTGTATGTATGTATATTCTTGTACTCGTAGATATATATTATAGGTATGTACTCGAGTATATAGGTATGTATATATGGGTGGGTGAATCAATAGTGATATGGATATCGATATCTAATTAGGGAAGAGGGAGAGGGAGAGGGAGAGGGGGTGAGAGAGGGGGTGAGAGGTACTATGGGAGTTTGAGAGTTCGTTCTGATACAGTATAGGTGGGTGAGTCAATATCCATATCCATATCGATGTCGATCACAAATCACAGATCACAAATCACAAGCAAACACAGTAAACACAAGAACATATAAATATATAAACATCATCAATTCCTCTCCCTTCCTCTCCTCCTCTACTCTCTTCCAATCTCCTCTATTCTCCTCTATTCTCCTCTATCCTCACCATCCATCATACTTCATCCTCATCCTCCCTCCCCCCCCTTACTCATCTATCCATCCCCTTCTCATCCACCCCTCCATCCCTCTACCACCTAATCATACAAAGCCACAAAGCCACTGAGCCACTGAGCACTAAGCCATTGAGCCATTAGTCGCCGAGTCTCTCATACGTAAGAGCTTCTTTCTCATTACCAGCCAACCACCAACAAACACAAAAGCAAATCAACCAAATAAAATTCGCACCACAAAATATAAACATAAAGTAACGTAACAAGTTCTGCCAGCAAGCATCCATCCATCCATCCATCCATCCAGCCCATGTATCTTTGAGATTCCCCTCCTTCCCTCCCATCTTGCCATCCTGAACACAAGAAGACAAGAACACAATATTTTTTAAAAAAAACGCCCCGTCTCATCTCATGTACTAATATAAGTAAGTATAAGATTTTTCCCTTGCTGAGAAATATTTATACCCCTATCCCTGCTCCTGCCCCTACCCCTACCCCTCTTTAACCCTACCCCTTTATCTTCATCATCAATAATACCCCTCCCACCCCCCACCAACTATTTCATAGTCTTCAAGAAACCCTCTAGATCAAAACTTTCCTCATACTCCTTCCCATCCCACAATTCTCCTAGATCATCCAACCAACCCTTCTTCCCCTTCTCTCTCACCTCTCCGGTTGCATCTACCATATCTTCTTCCCTTTCTGCTTGTACGCTACTATCTGCTGCGAGTGGTACCTCTGATGTATCGCCTAGATTAAAGAGATCGAGGATTTGATCTGTTTCCATTGTGCCTAGGCCTGCGTTTTGTTGATTGACTACTGTGGATGCTACGTCGATTTTGAATCTTTGAAGACTGTTTTATGGTGTGTTAGTATATGTCAATAGGAGATGGAGGAATTTGTGGTGAGTGGGGATGTCAGATGTGACTCACCTCAAGATCTTTTCTTCCAAAGTCCCCCTAGTAATCAATCGATAAACATTCACTACCTTCTTTTGACCAATTCTATGAGCTCTGTCCATAGCCTGTAGATCCTTTTGAGGATTCCAATCATGCTCCACAAAGATAACAGTATCGGCACCAGTCAAATTAAGTCCAAGACCCCCAACACTAGTCGTGAGAAGTAAGACATCATATGAAGGATCGGAATTGAACTTGTTGACGATATCTTGACGTTTATTGGCATCGACTGATCCATCCATACGTAAAAATTGTACTGATGGCAGCATCTTCTTGAGAACATCGTTTTGAACCATGTCTAACATTTCCTTCATTTGACAGAAGATTAAAGCGCGATGAGGAGAGACGAAAGATGTTTCGGTTGTAATTTCATTCTCGGAAGAAGGTTCGGTACCGATACCACAATCAACCAACAGATCTCGCAAGGCTGTTAATTTTGGCGCGTGGACTGGATCTCGAAGACTAGTTCCTTGTTTGGCAAGAAGACGTTGGGTATCCTCATATTGTTTGTGACCTTCTTTCATGACAAGTGCAGGAGAATTGCAAAGTTTGCGCATGTACTGTAGAGCTTGGAATATGTGCTGTTTGGCTTCTTTGTCACCCGATGAAGCTTTTTCAGCAAGCGTCTTACCTTCTTTCTTGGTGAAGTCCTCGAAAAGTTTCTTTTGTAGATCACTAAGATCACAGTAGTAGTTTTGCAAGATCTTGGGTGGCAAGTCGTCCAAAACCTCTTCTTTGAGACGACGTAGGAGGAAGGGTAGAACTTGTTTATGGAGAGCTTCGATGGCGAGAGCACCAGCTTCTTGTTCTTTCGAAGAAGATTTACTGAAACGACTGGCAGCAATAGGTTTTGCAAAACGGTCTAAGAACACCTTTTCGGCTCCAAGGAAACCTGGCATGAGAAAGTCGAAAAGAGACCAAAGTTCTAGAACATTGTTCTGGATTGGCGTTCCCGATAGAATAAGTCGATGATTGCTTAGTAGACGTTTGACAGCGATGGTGGTTTTTGCTCGAGGATTCTTGATTAAATGACCTTCATCCAGGACACAATAGTTCCAATTGAGTGGCGATAGAACATCGATATCGTTGCGGCAGATTTCGTAAGATGTAATGACAACATCGGTTTGGCCAATTTGTTCTCTGAAACGAGCTCGGTCGGCAGGAGGTCCAACATACGCTGTACAGGTCAGGAAAGGAGCATATGCCTTAATCTCTTGTTGCCAGTGACCAGAAAGAGTAGGAGGACAGATGATGAGAGATGGCATCCGTCTAGCATCAGGGGCTCCCGACTTTGTGAATTCCTCAGCTCGAAGGTGATGATCACTAGCGACAATACATAATGTCTGCAATGTCTTTCCGAGACCCATATCATCGCAGAGAATTCCATGAAGATGATATTTATTCAAAAAGTTGAGCCAGTTGACACCTTCTTGTTGGTAAGATCGAAGTTCCGCTTTGATGGCAACTGGAATTTTGAATTCTTCAACTTTGTGAGGATCGAGGAGTTGGCCAATAAAAGTACGCTCACGATCTCGACCCTGCAATAATTCTTGTGACAACCCGGGCGGATCTGGAATACCTGCCTCGAGAGGAACAAGTTTGACCAGTGTGGCGAAGGAAGTGGTAGCGAGTACTCGTACATCAGTATCTGAATCACTCATTCGTCCAAGAACAGGAACGATAAGGAAGATTACATATGGTAAAATATTATCACCCATAACGGCGATCAGATGGTAAATCGATTCAATTACACCTTGGCGAAAGTTGAGGTCGAGCGGATTGCTGATAGAAGGTAGAACCTTCTCCACCAGTAGAGTCATTGCTTCGACAGTGATAACACTGCAAACCGTCGCAAGACATTTTGCTGCCATGTAACGGAAGACTGAAAGTTCTGAGTGAAGGGCTGTAACGACAAGAGGAAGCAATTCCATGACGAAAGGATATAATGATCTGTCCAGAGTAGGTGTCAAGGCTCGAATTACAGACATACTATCAATAGCTTCTTGACCAGATGCCTGTGAGGGGTCAGTGCAGTCGCGTGGGAGCGCACCGCCGAATGCAAGTCGTAGTGGTTGTTCCATGAGGGCCCTGAGTGTGGGAACTTTGTTCAACAAGTCGGGTCCAAATATTCCAGAAAGTTGTTCCAAAGCTTCTTTAGCACCACGTCGGGTGATTCTTGCTTCTTTGGCTTCTCGTGCAAATTTTGCAGCATCTGGATGATCTTTACGGTCTTCTTCTTTTCGAAGAGATAGAATGGCAGTTGTGAGAGGAGCATTTGGCGCGAATTCGGGTGTCTCCGACGTTTCCATGCACATGAATTTGACCAGATTGGACACCACCTTCTGTGCTGGTCCAGTTCGACCACCTTCTGCGAAAATTTCAATGAGTCGAGCGATAGAGTATGCAGATCGTTGTTGCAATTCTAGGGTTTCCTCTTTTTTGACACTATCCATCATAGCCTTGATGATATGAGATGGCTTCTTGGGTGAAACCTTCATCGCGACCAAAGCACTTGCAGCAGCGGCCTTGATACGAGTATCTCGTTGCTCTTTGATGCTCTTAGCATTGTTAATGACCTCTGTCACATTTTCACGTGCCTCACTAAGAGCTTGCGTTGCAATGATACGCTGGCCAGGAGAAAGGATTTTCTTTAGGCGGTCGAAATCCTCGGAAACACATTTATCGGCAGTCACGATCGAGAAAGCATCTGGGCCAGCTTCAGCTTCACCAGCTACGACAACTGCAAGTACCGGCAGACGTCCTTGAGAGACTTTTCCGACATCGCGGAAGGTATTTAGGAGCTGCGAACATTGAGTTCGGACGAGGTGTGTGTAGCTGACCAAATCTCGGTAAGTAAGAGGCCGTTCCGTTTCAAGTATCTTTGTAAGAGATGATTCGAAACGTAAAGCATGAGTCTTCGAACCACAATTCTTGGCGTATTCATCGATAATGATTGATGCCGTTAGTTGGGTAGAAGAGAAAGCTGAACACAATCCTGGGACAATGCTGGCATCGTATGTTTTGAGGACAGGCGCTGGTACGAGAGACATCATCAGACCCATCGCTTTGGCGGCCGAGGCACGAGATCTGATCAAACTATCCATACCTACCAGGTCCACATCACCTTGCATCATTGGACCATCAACGTCATGTGATGATGATGATGGTGTAGGCTCAACAACCTTTGTCGACTTGCGACGTTTTTTCGTTGGGGGCTCGGGACCAGATGGTGTATTTGGACGAGCATGACTTGTGGGACCACTTGGTAGGGAGTACGAATTACCCGAAGGTCGTTGGAACAGGGTGGCGTTCATGGGTAATGGATGTCGAGACACACCGATAGGATGTAATGTAAGTTGCATGAGAGGATCAATATGCGCCGAAAATTCTGCAGATAGATGTCCTGGATCACTTGCAAGGAAAGTTACCAGTGCCTTCCAGACTTGGAGTGATAAGCTCAGGGTATCTGGATTCCTCTCAACCAATATATTTTGATAGATCAATCGTAAAATCTTCCCATCCATCCAATCTCTAGTCCCCTCGCCCTCAATGCCTACAAATGTCAACAGGGCTCGAAGAACTGCCGAGCGGACAGATGTGATGGTGTGTCGAAGGAATGGATATAATCTCGGTACTAAGAGCCCAAAGGACTGTTCGGCATCTCGAGAAGCGTTCTTCTTCATGGCTTCCAATACTTCTGGGAAGCTGCAAAGCTTTGCTAACAAATCCATGATCTGTCCCGTACTGGCACTCAAATCATCGCCAAGGTTCGAGAGGCATTCCCAAACAATGTTGATAAGGCCGTCCAGTGCTTCGGGTCGCAAGTTGACAAATTCCTTAGCAATTGGAATAAGAGTTGCTGCACTAACAGAACGAACATCATCATCCCAATCACCTAACCCTTTCATCACGGCGCGAATAACTCCATCGATCAGATCACTGTCTTCCAGTAGTAAATCATTTCGCACTGCGACCAAGTAACGGAGACCTATCATACCACCATGACAAATAGCCCAGCCTGGCTTGTCAAGTTCAATGTCATTTTGCATAACGAGGCGATACAATATGTGATGAACTGAATAAACGACAGGCGGCGGGAGGTGAATGAGTAAAGCACCTAAGGTTTGGCCGACTGTTTCTCGAATAGGTGCAACAACAGTATCTGAAACGTAGTCGCCAAAACGATCCAACATGAAAACGCAACAGAGCCGACAAGAAAGGTCATCAAGCCAGCGTTGATTCAACATATTGTTCTCGGCACGAGTCTTTCCTTGCTGTCTCCCAGCACCAGCCCCATGGACACGTATAATATCCCTTAAACCCATTGCAGCACCATGTCGAGTTTCCCACTGAGGATCGAACAAATCGACCACAAGGAACTCGCACAGACGCTCGTAAGGCCATTCTAGTCCCTCTTGTTCACCTTCCGCTTCGAGTTCAGATTTTATTGGCATGACTGGACCCTTGAATTCAGACACGACTTTGGAATCTTCATCTACGTCATTAGATCTTTCCGTTGAGAAGTAATCAGCCATAGCGTTCTTGGAATCCTCACCAGCGACATCTGGCATGGAAGTATCTGTCTCACTTGCGGTGTTTTGACGTCGTACTGAAAGATCTACCAGTCTGCTTTTGCTACCAGCAGACATGGCTTCTCGTTTTCGTTTGCGCTTCAGTTGATTCAATTGCCTCGCACTGAGTCCAGCTTCTTCCGAGGGCGTAGATGCACCTTTATTGTTATCTTGTCGCGAGAAGCCATTTGAGTCCTCACGTGCCGATGGAGTACTGGATCCATTCTGGTTGGAAGCTGGAAGTTCGTATTCGAGTTCCTCTTCAGAAAAGACACCAAGAAGACCGATTCGTCCAGCAAGCGTCTTTTTTTGATGGGCAAGACGTTGAGCCGGGTCCAGAGAAGCAAGAGCCCAATCATGACCTCTATCTCCACCACGAACAAGCTCCTTTCCGTGTTTGAGAATGGATACGATATCGAGCGTGTCGAGGCTCAGCTGTCCTTCGGCAAGTGGTATTGGCTCTATAGCTTCTTCCTTCTTGATTCCAGATTCCTCTTTCTTCGATTCATCTTTCGCTGACTCATCTTCACTATTTGGCTCATATTTTTCTGCATTATCAACAATTCCAGCTAATGCTTTGGAGGCAGCTGTTCGTGTATCCCAGGTTTTATGTCGAAGATATGGTACAACTCTTGTTAATAAATTGAAAAGTTCTTCAGGGTGTGCTTTCTGTACATCAGCTAATTGTTGAGCTGCAGTATTTCGAATTAATGGAGTGCTTCCTGTTTCCAGTAGCCTGAATTAAGATGTTAGTATATGATGGATGAAGAAAATGAGAGGCTCATGGTTTGGAAGATCTTCAATGAAGATCATTGGTGATCATTTTGTATCAACCAAACAGAGAAATGTAGTAACCAAGAATTTGGAGAAGAGAGTACTCACGTGACAAGCCGATCCAATCTAATTCCAACGTAATGATGTCAGCAAATGCAAATGCGCAATTAATTACCGAAATGCACCACCACCACCACCACCACCACCACCCAAATGCAATGCGGCCGCAAATGATCACAGCTTAATGCTAATGTTGGGGTGTGTGGGAGTGGGAGTTGGAAGTGGGAGAGGTGAAACATTACCTTGAAGCCATTTTCGACACGCGTGTGGTTCATTATCTGTTATGAAAGGAATCAAAGGGAAAACGCCATATATGCCAAGAAATATGCGAAATGTGTTTCGTGAAATTCGTTAATCCATGCAACTTCAATTATCGTTCTGGTCGTTTGTCTCGAAAAGTATGAATAGAATTTATTAGATGCGTAATCGCGAAATGTAATAAAGTATTGTACTGTACTGTACTGTACTGTACTGTACTGGTATTTTTTAAAGCTTTCAGCCTTGAACGCGAGGCGGGATTTGATGTTTATACAGCAGCTACTAGTATAGCAATATTAGCTATTACCCGTATTTTGAATGAATGGCTGGGGTTGGGGCTGGAATTGGACTGGACTGGACTAGGTGGCTGATTGGTTGATTTAAAAAAAAAAAAAGTAAAAATGTACCTACCTAGGGTATATGGATTACACTTTTCTTTTGATTTTTTCCCTTTTTCCTTTTCCTTTGGGGGGGTAGTAGTGGTGTTTTGGTTGGTTGGTGTTTGGTGGTTGGTAGTTGGTGGTAGTTGGTGGGGTTGGGTGATATAGTTCGTTGGTCTCGTTGATTGGTTGAATTTGGCGTTGTGTGGATTTTCGTGGTTCTTATGGTAGCAGCATGCTCGGTCGGGGAGTCGCCATCCTTTATGGTCCTTAAGTATTCAGAAAAACCCAATAATTTTCTCGGTTCGCTTATTGTTACTTAGCGCCGAACTGTATCCCTGTTGCAGTTGAGTTGCTTCAATTCAAATGAGAAGATCACGAATACTTGTAGTAGGTAGGTATGGCTGAGAGTGATAGTGAAAGTGAATGAAGCCTTGGAATATAGTGAAGATAGAGAAAGAGAAGAATAATAAGAATAGTGAATAATAACAATAGCAGAATATATATTATATAATGATAGTATAAATGATTCATTCAATATTATTCATGAATTATCTATTACTATAGATTCGACTCATCATCTAATAATTACTTTAAAAACATTCACTAATTCGATCTTCTCTTGAATTATATCTATTATTATCTTGAATCTCTTTCTATCTCCTTATCAAAAGATGTTTTTCTTTTTTTTTTAAATATGAATATGATTTTCTTCAACTTCCATTTTCCTTCCGTCGGAGATTAATTTTCATAGATTTTCATAGGTTGGAATTTCAATCATTCAAGGCAAGTAGCCTCGATACCTGACTAATCACTCATCCATCATTACCGGTAATTCTAGAACATCATCGTCATCCAATCAAAAGGACAGATCGCATTTGCATTTTCTATATCAACGGGTCTTATGGCAAATGGCAATAACCATGGGAACTAATAAGATAGCGAGCTGCTAGAAAAGTGATGGCTTGCGACAATTACAATGATAAATATTAAGGGTATATATATAAGTGGTATAAAAGTGACGGGTGCAGTATGGTATCAAAATTGTTCTATAAAACGAACATGTATAAAAGATATAATGGTGATCATGCCAAGCAAATCATATCAATATCAGAATATGGGGATGGAAAGAATGGAATCAGAGATAGCATAGGTCCGGACTTCCGGCTTCATGAAAATTCCATACTACTCTACTAGTAGTCAATTATCTATCACTATTCAACCATATTATTCATTGTCTTTCACTCATAGAAGCTGAACACTTATTTCATAGTAGATAATCTCTGCTAATAGGTGGATTGAAGTGAAGGAGGAGGCTTTCTTGATAAGGCTGGCCGAGTTACACAGGGCAACATCTGAAAGGATAATACAGTATCTATAAAATGAGAAGATATAAATTTATTCGGTAATTCTTAATTAGGTTAGATAGCAAGCAAGTACATCATCTAATTGGCATGGTATTCCTCCCACGAAATCGGGGAATTATGGAATTATATGTCAAAGCACCCAAAAAAGTTTATATCTTTTTTGATATGAGATGGATTATTTTTCGATGTATATTGATATTCTTCAAATCGAGTAAATCACTCATCATTCATCACTTATCAACTTGTTACTCAATCACTTGATATGATGATGACTATGCCTACTTACTACTGTGTTCACACGCTCCTTTTATATCTCCCCTATGATGATATTCCATACGAGCAGGTGATCTACAGTAAGACACGTTCCCTTCTCCTTTTAATTGGTTGATCGGTGGTCGGCAGAATAAAAAGGCGGTCAATTCACATTCAACGCTAAACCATGGCATCAATGCCAGCCTGGATATGCCCCGTTCATCATTCTCGAAGCCCTATGCAGTCAAAGTAGCTTGATTAAACGTTGGACGTTGACCGTTGACCGTTGACTCCTCAATTTTAAACACCTTTTAAGCATTTTGTAAAGCTTCAGTTATATCATTTTAACTACTTGCATCATTGGAGAGCCAACACATTTCCCTCAATGCGGTGACAACTTCTAATCCTAGCTCTACACTTTCCTCGTCTTGCTCGACATCTGCCACATCAACCATGGCATCTCACAATGTGCCATCGACCGCTCCTCGACCGGCGGCTTATGGGGGATCGGTCCCAATAGTTGATCCTTCGGCACCTGTTGGAACCTTTGCACCAGGAACAAAAATACAAGTCGGAAGTCATAAGGTCGTCATTCAGAAGTACTTCTCGGAGGGAGGTTTCGCCCATGTCTACCTTGTTAAGATGCCGAAACCCATCGATGGGACAGATATTGCGGTATTGAAACGAGTCGCGGTCCCCGATAAGGAACACCTGGCAAATATGAGAACCGAGGTAGAAACAATGAAGAAGTTAAAGGGACACCGCCCAATCGTCACGTATTACGATTCACATGCGTCACAACTAAAGGGGGGAGGATATGAGGTATTCTTACTTATGGAATTCTGCAATGGGGGTGGTTTGATCGATTTCATGAATACTCGACTTCAAAACCGGTTGACCGAACCAGAGATTCTGAAGATATTCTCCGACGTGGCAGAAGGTGTGGCATGCATGCACTACCTCAAACCCCCCCTTTTACATCGAGATTTGAAAGTCGAGAATGTTCTCATAACTTCCACTGGTCCCTCTCGAAGATACAAGCTTTGCGATTTTGGTTCCACCGCACCTCCTCGACCCGCCGCTACGACCGCTGCGGAATGCAGATTGATCGAAGATGATGTTCAGAAACATACAACATTACAATATAGGAGTCCTGAAATGATAGATGTATACAGGAAACTATCAATTGATGAGAAATCAGACATCTGGGCATTAGGCGTGCTGCTATATAAGCTGTGCTATTATACCACACCATTCGAAGCTCAGGGACAACTTGCTATACTGAATGCAAGCTACAAATTTCCCTCATATCCAACATTTTCGGACCCCCTAAAGAACTTAATAGGTATAATGAATCCCGCGCTCTTGTATAAGGAGGAGAGGAGCTAACCAAGTTTAGCATCCATGTTGAAAGAGAAACCAACATCTCGTCCCAATATATACCAGGTGTTACGGGAATCATGTCTCATGCAAGGGATCGAGGTTCCGATTAAAGATGTATGTTTCACAGATCCTCTCTCACCACTAAAAGCTCACCGTCCTAGATATATGCCGGAAGAACCGAATCAGAATCGCGGCGACACCAGCAATTACCAACCACCGAATCCTCGGCATCACCTCCAATTGTGGGAGCGGTATTTGCGGCGCCGCCAACACAACATCAAACAGTTATCCCTGATGTCATCCCGATGCGAAGGGGTAGACCCACGGGAGGCTCACAGCCACAACCCACAAAACCCAGTCCATCTCCGATGAGGGGCACAGCTAGTGATCCATTCGCTGCTTTGGATTCAAAAGCTCCTGCTCCTATTGTGGACGAAATTTCCAATCGATTTCCAAGTTTAGATCAGTTCTCATTACTCCATGATGGAGGTAAATTTGACTTTGGATCAAGCTCGCCAGCAAAGGCATCCCAGCCCATTGGTAAACGAGTTACAGAAAGATTAGCTGACGATGCTTTTGCCATGCCAATCCTGCCGGGGTCATCAACTTCGACCACCAAACCATCTCGTGCTCAACAAATTCTATCCAGCAATACACTAGAGCTTCAGACATCAGACGTACCAGCACCCTTAACATATCAACCCACACCTACTCACCCTAGCGTGAAAGCATCCTCGTATGTATCCCAAGGTACCATGACGACACCAACCCCACCACCTTCAAGTATACGACCGCCTACTTTCACTGCTTCGCCACGCCTTCTTCCATCTGACCATCATCGATCGGCTAGTTTACCACGAAATCAACTTGCAACTCCATCTAGGACACCGACTCTAGAACCACAGGAATTTTTACCAGTGCAACCTGTTTTGCCTCGAAATTCTTCATACAATCCGCAATCCAATCATGCAAGACATTCGTCGTCGTCCAGGCCGTCGCTCGAAATGAGTAGACCAAGCAATGAGGCACTCGAAAGCACAATTTCTCGAACCAAGTCGGGTTTGAGTAGATCACGTCCATCTAGTCAATACTTGGACTCCAACATGGATTTCCTTCGAGAAAAAGAAGGTCGCCCCTCAATTGATTCACAGAGACGTCCATCATATTCAAGAGATCTTGCCGTTACAGATCCAAATGACGATGATGTTCAATCGAATGTTGATTTCCTCAAATCAATGGAAGATCATGAAAAGACCAAGAAAGATAGACGTCGTAGCAGTGGTTCAAAGCCATCTAAACGTTCCAGTATGCCATCTATATCATTATCTGGCACCAAAAATCTATTGGCTGGCAAATTTGGGGATGCTTTCAAACGATTTGAAAATAATGCCAATGTTCCACCTGGTCCAAGGACTCCAAGTCCATTACATGATCTTGACCGACATGACCTAACACCGATAGCTGGATCCGAGGCCACAGATGATAGAAGTGACGATGGGAAGATGGACGACAATATGACACCAGAGCAAAGACGAGAGGTTGAGCGACGAAGGTTATCAATCGAAGAGAAACGTGTTAGTGATGCAGCAGCCGAATATCGGAAGCGATTTGCAGATCGTGGTGGCGCACCTGCCCCAAAGAGTATCGGTGGTGTGACTCGAGCTGCAAGTATCCAACACAAAGTCAAGAGTCTCTTAGACGAGAATAGCCAACAACCTTCCCCAAAGAAAGTAGCAGAAGGTTATGGAAGATATACAGATATACCAGGCCAGCCCAATCCATTACCAACCGGAAACCCCTACGCCAAACCTTCTGTGATACGCAAACCGGCCCAAACTTCTATTCCATCATCTGATCTCAATTACATCAAACCTCGTCCTCAACAAACTCCCTCTCAACCTCAATTACCAATTACCAAAACAGGGCCAAGACCAAACGCTCCTCCTAAACCCACACATCTCAACAGTATGAACACGGGAGGTAGTTTGGGTATCCAAGGTTCACCGCCTAAGTCATCATATTTAGCAAGTAGAGGGGAGAGCGTTGTTCAACCAAGACCTGACATGACATCACAAGAAAAAGAAGAATATATTGCGGATTTTAGTAAGAGATTTCCGAGTTTAAGTAGTATTGAGATGGTAGAGAGGGAGATTGATAAGGAAGGGGAGCACGGAGGGCGAATGGGTTTAGGGATGGGTGTGGGAGGAAGGAGAGATGATAGGCCGAGAATCACGAAGGATCTGTAGATATTTGGAGGGAGGTAAAATGAAGTTGGATGTTAGGTTTCAAGGGGATATGAGACTCGAATTGGTGATGATGTGGATAAATGGATTGGTGATAGGGTGAATGTGAATGAATGAATGAACGAACGAACGAATAGTTCCGTTCGTTCTGTTTGTAGAAACAATCAGGAAAGATAAAGTAATGGAATATAGAACTAGAAATAGATTATTACTATTACTCTCTATCTACAGTATAGTTTCAAACACACACAAAACACAACACAATAGAAATACAATACAATACAATACAATACAATACAATACAATACAATACAATACAATACAATACAATACAATTCCATCAACCGTCAACCATGAAGCAGCAATATCTTCTTCTGCTGATCTGATAAGCTCTCCCCCCCCATTTTGTGGTGAGAATGAATCTCTACCAACATGCTGACTGACTGGTGAGTGGTGAGTGGTGAGTGGTGCTGTGCTTCTTATCAATTATTTGTGGTGCATTAATACTTGAGTACATTAATTGTACGAGTATATCTAGATGTTGTTTGTAGATATACATGTGTCGGGTGTAGGGTGTAGGATGTAGGATGTAGGATGTAATTTGGGTGTAGGATGTTGGATGTTGGATGTTGGATGTAGTTATAGTTAAGGATAGGTAGTAACCAAAATTTCAATTGGATGTTCAAATTGGATGGGGAGTTCGTTCTGGGATGGCTATGTGGTCATGTGGCTGGCTATGGATGGTTATGGATGTTTATGGATGGTTATGGATCACAGCCAGTGAGTGGCAGTGCTAGGCTGGCTTGAGAAATAAAGACAAGGTGAGGTGAGGTAAGGTAAGTCTTACATAGGTAGGTAAATTAGGTTAGATTTTGTATTTACTATTTACTATTTACTATGGCTCGTGGAATTGGTTTAGAATAGCTTTTCTAGAATTGGTTTAGATAACTTGAAGCGTTATGCGAGTATTATGTTATATTATTTTATATATAGTGAATATCTTTGGTGGATTTATTATTATAATAGACTGACTTGGAATAATCTTGCTTCTGGTAATTAGTGTATATATTCTCTAGGAAATTGGGAAATTAAATGCTACTAGTAATAGATAGGAAAAGAAATAAATGAGTGTTATTTAGATATCCAATATTTAGAGTATTAATGAAATCCTCTTTATTGAGAATTATAATCTATTTAATAAGGATCTTATATATCCATTATTCACAACACAGAGTTATCCCCTTGGTTATATACACTCGAGAATCGAGAAATTTTATTCGGAGGAACTATGATCTGGTATTATTATTATATATACTGACTATATATTGTGGCAAAATGACTGCAAAGCCATCATACTCGAGTAAAATGATACTAGTACGAGAGGGTATCAAAATAGATACTGGTATATTGTGATATTGATATTAATATTGATATTTACAAAGCCGGTAAAGAAAAGAGAAGGAATTTCAGGAGAGTTTCGTTACTCAATTACAAAAGTTGGATATTAATTACTCGGAATATAACTACTGTTTGCATCTCGTGTTTCAGCGTCTTATATACGAAATGCCCATTTGTTTACTTGTTTAATTGTTATTACCTATCAATTTATCAACTCAAACTCAAACTCAAGATCTAGCTCTACAATTGCGTTTCTCAAAGATCATGAATTTTAACTATGTATTTAATCATGAATTTAATCATATAGCTTTATACAATTATACTAGAGCTCATAGTGTCACTCTATTACTCTATCCCTCTATTCGGGGAACTTATAGGACATCTTAAAAAAACGTATATTAATACTTCTACGAGTAAAACCGTTTTGATTTATTATATTTTCTACTTAAGTAGTTGGTTTTTCTTTGAGATAATTACTAGGTAGATGAATAATACGAGGAGATAAATAGATAAATAAATGTAATTAAAGCGAGGCAGCTCTATAGAAGAATTTAAATTTATACAAGTATTTTGAGAGAGAGGGCCTATAATGTATACCCAGTTTAATAACGTATTTCCAGAAGAAAATTAACTTTTTGCGATTTTACATCTCAATCTCAATCTCAAATCAAATTTTTCGAATTTCAATCTCTAATATCTTTATCAAAATAGCTTCAATATAGAAAATCTTTTCGATATAATTAAATAATTGATTATTAGAATCATTTCAATCATTTTTGAATATTGAAATAATTCATTTATTAAAAAATGTTATTTTACAATTAAAATGAAAAATTGAAAAAGGTCAAAAATCGCGAAATCTTTTTGGAAACATATTATTAAACTGAGTATAATTAATGTTTTGTGTAATATCGATGAATTGCTAGAAAGATAATTGAATATTAGAAACTGGTCAATGTGACCAAAAGGGTATAAACAGGACTCCGATTGTGTACTTAGAATCTACAAGTGAAGAGCTATGTAGGGCGCTAAAAGGAGGACTATATATACAGGTATTGGGAGCCATAAGGGCTAGGCCTAGAAGAGTAAAAGAGTCCTAGAGATAAGCATCGTACGATGCCTAGGTCTAGAGCTATAGAGCTAGGGCTCCAAGGTGTGAAAGGAAGGCCCAAGAGAGCCGTCGTATCATGCTACGTACGTAGTATGAGCCAGTGGGTGGAAGAGAGCCGTCTGTTCCGTTACAGTCGAGTATATCGTTAGAGCGAACTGTATTCTATATATAGTCATTGCTATTTGTATGCTTCTATATTATTTCTAATCATCGATATCAGATTCTTAAACATATTCATCTAGACCAATAACTGTTATTTCAAAACATTCTGTTTCGCTTCTTCAAGATGACTAATACAATCCGATTAGTTTTCAAATCCCCGTTTATAACCGTTAAGCGAGATTTGGCGATTCTCCTTTCTGGCAGCTTGAGTATTAAACACATTCACCCCTAATATATTATTATATTAGCCGATAGGCTCATATCTCGCAGTATAAGTAAACGAGTATTCAGATGATCGGGAGAGGTACTAACGATTGAATACAAAATTGTTTGATTTGATGTTGTCTGGGAGTTTTGTAGAATTGAATTATTAAAAGCTACATCGCTTCATAAACAAACACTAGTAGCTATACTTCTTCCTCCCCCACATTTCATACAGTTTTACGCGTATTGAAGATTTAATTCATAGGGACTCATCGGAAAATGGTATGAAAGTCGTATTTTGGAGATTGAGATGAGGTTGTTTGCTTGATGTCATATCAGAGTTTGCAGATGCCAGATGGTGAGTCTGGTGTTCGAGCGAGGGATTTGGGTTCTGGGGGTAGTGGGTCTTGACAAAATGGCGTGAGTTAATCGAATGCATATGATTTTGTATACAAATCCTTTTTGTAGTCTTTTTGATATATTGTAGTAGATCATTCACTTTGACTCTCTTAATATTTTACGCTTTTTCCAATATTTTATTCTCATAGATTTTCTGATATCATCGTGACTTCAAATATTCACGAATCGCCGGAATCAGCTCATTTCATACTTAATCCGAGACTATACGGAATATCTGATCTTGTTTTACTAAACAATTGGTCATTTGCTATATAAGAAATCTTCGATGATGTACCAGCAATAGAAGATTCTTCCCATCAAGCCCATTCACTAATTCATCAAGTCATCCTCTTTTAACTATAATTTTGAATCACATTATCTTCAAATCTCTCTTGTTCCAAACCACATACATCTTCCTATAACAAGTCCCTCCTCTACGAAACTACACAACTATCATATATATCCAAAGTTCGACCCCTCATCAAATCAAACTTCAATATGAACACCAACAAACCAAACGCCAACACGGTACCATCTTCAACTTCTTCATCTCCATCTCAATCCATAACCTCGCAATCAAAATCCAACTCAACGCCTCACCTCCCAATTTCCCGTCCAAAATGCATCTATCTCCTTACCGCCTATACCTGTTCGCATTTCGTGCAACCATTCACTAATCCCACAAATATCATTCATACACCTACGTGTATGGCTCGATATGGAGGCATGTGTTCGAGTGATGGGTATCGGTATGAGTTTTTGAGGAATGGAGGAGAGGTTTGTGGGGAGTGTCGGGGTAAGGGGAGGATGGAGGGGGAGGAGAGTGAATATGAAAAAGAAGTGGAATTTTGCGAGCAGAAGACGGTGGAGTTGAGAGAGGAGATCGGTAATGCCAAGAATGAAGACTATGAGGATATGAGAACAAGAGGCAATGGAAGATTAACAGCACCCGAATTCCTAATCAAGGAGAGCCGAAGTTTGACAGAAGTGGCATCTGATTACCGTTCCATGAAAAGTGAACGAAGAAGCCAGAGAAGCATGATATTTGAGTATCAGCGAGCAGTTCCGTCACGAAGACCTACGATTGGTGAAAATAGACAGGTGTCAACTGTGATTGAGGAAGGTTGGGAATATAATGGAGAGAAATATGAGATGGCTAATTCTAGATGTATGGTGGGCAAGGGGAAGAAACGATGGGAGGACTTGTGGGAGAAGCTGAAGAAGCTGTAGGTTATTGGTATGTTGGGGAAATTATATACGATGAGCTGTTCCCCTGGGGGTTTGTTGGTTTCGTTGGTTTCGTTGGTTTTTCCTTCCTGTTTTGATGTGCAAGAGAGATATTTCCTCAAATGGGAAAGAGAGGATGAGAAAAAGCATCTTAGTGTTTTCTTTTCGGTTATTGAGCATAGAAATTCGGCCTATTGCCATTCGCAAGGTATTTTCCAAGTTCAACTTGTCAAGGTCGAATGAAATACCGACGTTTATTATACAGAAGTTATTCTTTTCAAATCAACTTGACACCTTCCATTCTGAAGCAACCAACATTCTTTGCTAAGTCTGAGAGACATTCTTGACGGGTTTCACTAATTTTCTGGCTTCGAGTGTATTTCCTAACATCAGTTCCCCAACAAGAGCCACAAGTTGCCCGATCAGACTTTTGGCGGTACCAGTAATACAAAGATGAATTCAATCGCTGAGGCATAATGATGGCGACGATTGGAACTGGGAGAGGCTTAGATGTTGGTTGGAAAAAGAGGCTAGAATGTGGTATATTGAACAAAATACCATCTCTTATTCCACACAAAAGAATTGAAAAGATACATTGCGATGGTAATTCGTAGCGAGTATGAATGTTGGATGGACTATCATCTGCCCCGGCAAAGTACGACGAGATAGAGATTTCTAAGTAGAGAGGAATAATCAAATCCTACTTTGCCTTAAATATTAGAAATCTTTTTTCACCAAACAAAATCATCAAAATCTATCATATAATATCTCTTCACCTCTCCCAAAACAGACCCTATTAACCCGAAATTTGAACCTTCTAACTAATACACTACTGATCAGCGAGAATATGTCCTCGCTGACTAATTGAACACTTTTTATTCTATCAATTGACTAACTTACCTAGTTACTGCCAGTCAGCGCTATTAGCGAACTGACTGATTGACCACTTTGATCACAAACAAGCATTGAGAGACCGTATCCCAATATATGCATATACCAACCCAGTAGTTGGTTTCGAGTGGAACGAATGAACATTCACGATACATACGGCAGGACATATTCGTACAGTTGTGTGATTATGTATTGGTCGTGAATCATCTTCATTACAGCTGTTCACCCGTGACATCTGCAGTACGGTTTCTACATCAGGAACTCGTTTACTCAGGACCGCAACTATTTAAGAGATATCTTTCAAGACCAGAAAGCGAAATCTCTACATCTCTACAATATCACAATACAATCTCTACATCGCATAGTTCCTTATTTACTTTCATCAAGATTCTGATTTGGATATTTTCAACAGAAAGATCAAGAAATTCGACGTAGAAAAGATAAGATGTCGTCATTACCCAAATTTACATTTCCAGAAACTCTAGGTGGTCGTCATGGGACCACTTCACCTACTCCACAGTCTCCACCTACTTCCCCCAGCTCAGCACGAGCTCCCACAAGTAAGCAATGTATCTTCGTCGTACAAGGTCAGTCATGAATAACCATCCCCATCAAAAACCCCACCCACCCAACTAACACCTCCCTAGCCTACCTCTGCTTTCACCACCCCAAGCTCTCCGCTCCACACCTCCTCCACCGCTCTCCCTGTCCACAAGCCCTACTCCCTCCTGCTCAACAAGTCAGATGCGAAAACTATTTCCGTCGTGATGGAGAACTACTCCAAGTAGTACGCTACGACAAAGAACGCGGTTGCATGGAATGTAAAGCCGAAGCACGAACACGCCGCGATCAGGAAGCTGCCGATCATGTGGAGATTATTGAGAAGATGAGGAGATTGGGTTTGGAGAGTGAGGCTGAGAAGCAAGTCATCAAGTTCGAAGGAAAAGCCACGATCGCAGCACAAAATCCAACTACGAAGAGTAAGAACATCGATCTCGGAAAGAAGTCTGTCACCGTGGAAAATAGAAAATACCTCACACCAACCAAGCCCAAGATCAAGGTCAAACAAGAAAAATCCACTCTTCCAAATCCAACTCCAACTCAGCCAAAAGACAAATCCGATAGTGACACTGATGATAGTTGGGATTTGGCCAAGGAAAAAGAGAAGAAATGGGGAGAGGTAGCACTTGCACCTGGAGAGACTACTGCGGGTCGGGATGCGTGGGTTGTTATTGGGAGTTGGGGAGAGGATGAAGAGGATTGGCATAAACTGTAGGGCTGGGTAGGGTTATGTAGTTGGGGTGGTGGTATAGGGAAGTAGGCATTTTGGGGCGGGAACTTCGTTGGTTTTTGAGATGGTGTCATGTTTTAGTCGCTCATCAGATATGAAGAATAGTGAATGGCAGTATCTGTTTTGAAATATTGAAGCTGCAGTCTGGTGTATTTGGCCATAGGCAGTGTAGCTAGTTTTCAATCAATCAGTTGATGTGATTTAGTAGATTTTGTTTGTTTTCCTGTGAATGTTAGTATCATGATCAGCTCGCTAGAATATATCATTAAAGAATATGAAACTCAGCGTCTGACACCAATCAATTTCTATCTCAAGCCAGTAGTCCATGCAGAAATCTTTTAGTATATTTAGGAATGCACAAATAGATCGATCCATCGAAAAGAAACTTTCATGAATAACTTACAAGCAGAGAAATCAGTACAAAAAAAAACAGTCTCACACAACCAAAGTCTCAAGTGATTAGCTGTGTAAAAGAAGCCTAACTACAATAGTTATTACAGTCCATTGAAGAAACTGTCCAGAAGCCTCACATTTGTAACATCCTCTAGAGATTAAGTGATCTTGAAGTATCCCAGAGTAACCTATAATGATGAAATCATACAGAAACTATAGTTTTATCTTTAAGTTGAACAGTCATGATGCATGCGGTGGGCTTGTTGAAATCATTTGAAGAACAACCTCTTTTGTGGCGACGAGTGTACGAGTAAGTGAATGGTCCAACAGGGACTGGTAGTAAGGATTAGTCATGTATGAGAAACAAAGTGTATTGTAACTCTCCTTTTGAGATATATCATTGATAGATATCCCATATTTCACACCTCGCACCTCGCATCACCATACCCCTGTCACACCGTGACCGGATTGAAACGAGTTTGTCTGGACCAGAACGAACCGTATTTTCAAAATATGTGCAGCAGCTGCATTCAACATCGGCCTATATAATAAAAAGAACAGTTGACCAAGATCCATTATCGACATAGGACGTAATAAAGAGGTGTTTAGCGAATGCGACAAATCCCATTACAGAAATAACAAGTCTGATGTTAATACTCAGTAGCTAAAGGTGATCTTCGAATGACTAGTGAACTATCCCCTCCCCCAAATAGAGCGCTACTCACCAGCTTCCTGTTAGAAAAATGAAAAAAAAAAACCGCTCTTCGTCCTCGTGAGACATTGGACTTCCATATTGTCGGAAATTCGGAACAGAGAGTATAAAAAAGACCACACATATCTATTAGCATATTCAGAAACCCATAACAATGGTCTTCAGCTAACGGCTTAACTATTAACCAATTATTCCCATGCGAAATACTGGTAGACCGGCGAACTATGCTATGAGAGTACGTATCGATAGGTATATTGATTAATACGCTAGTTTCTCGTAATAAGGATAATTCCCGTAATACAACATCCGAAACGAAATTCTTTAATCGCAACATTTTTGAGGCATGGAGTTACTACATAACAGCTAGTTTGGAAATACAATAAAATGAACCAGAACTTCTGGTGAACTCATGGTAACAGCAATAAGGTATGACTAGCCGCTCGCGTCGCTGTGCTGTGCAGTGGTGTATATTCACTTGTTATTGTATAAAATAGGGGTAGCGACTATCATTGCCTTATATGTGAAATCACATACACACACAACACATCCCTATACTTTCATACTCTTAAACAAAAAACAAACCCATAACAAGCCAAAACATCATCCCATCCCATCTCAAATAATTCTCAAGCCTTCGAGTTCACAAACCAACTTGAAAGGGTGATGAAAATTGTATCAATAACAATCCAAAACACTGATATCAATGAGTCTAGTCTTGTCTATGTCCTAATACTCTACTCGAGTATATCCATCTAGGTAGTTCTAGTACTTTTGATATTTTCAAAAAGAAGTTTAAAGGTCTTTATAAGCCATGACTGCTATTGCCATCATGATTATATGATAATAACTACCTATAGATACTCTAGGAATGGTATTTCAAATATTACCCACACTATATTAGGAGAGACATGAGATAGATATCATATATTTTTGTGATTTGATATGATATGATTTGATTTGAGTGTTTTTCAAGGAACAGAAGTGGAAATAGATAGTAATGTAGGGAGAAGAAAGGAGCTAATAATAAGAGATGATATCTATATCTATTGTGAGGATATCCTTGGGGTAGGATGAGAGAATGACTTATTGAATGACGACGACGAAAAATGAATTGGAAAAAGGGGAAGGGAGGAATGATTCTTGAGGTATATGAGACGAGAATAGGGGACAGAAATATCAAAATAGACGGGTGCAACTGTACTTGAGTAAAAAATAGATCACGAGTACCAGGACCAGTCCAAGTTCAAACACTGAAAATCTGTAATTGGTCAACTTTATGTAAAGAAGGGGATTCATTCAACCTCATTATCGTATATAGGACCATTCCTCACATATCACATATCACATCCAAACCCCTACTCTTCCCCCTCTCTCCAACCAATTAACCATTATTATTCCCCGTAGCCACACCCCAAAAGTACGCACACCACGAACCCAGCACCAACACGCACAGCGCTCCACAACACAACTTCGAAACCAACCTATTCCTCCTCCCATTTTCATTATGAAATTTTTCCTTACGATCAATAATCAACTGGCCATTTGCAATTCGCTGTTTGCGCGTCCATTGCAAAATGCGAAAATCAATGCAATAATACGAGAGTGCTATCATGATGAGGGCGACTACTGCTGATGCGGCCGAGAGGGCAACGTAGAGGATTGTGACTTTGCCGTAGGAATTATTGTCGGCGTCTTGGATTACTCCGGCGACTATGCCGACGATGATACTCATGCTGTTTGTTGGTTAGTGGGGAGTATGCGAGAGGAGGAAAGGGGGACGGGGACTGACGCGTTGTTCATGGTTATTTTGAGGGCGTATGCGGAGCCGAAGACGGATTGATGCCACATTGAAGTTCTGATGCTATCAATGATCAATGTTGGACCGAAACAGTATGCAAAGGCGTATATTCCAAATGCTGCATCGGTACCCTGGCTTGAAGGGGCCCAGTTCACAATGCTCATTGCGGTTAAGACTGCAAAGCCAGTGACGGCAACTGAGAAGGTTATAAGCGTGAGGTTTATGTTGAGTGAGGATAGTCATGCTTACAGAGAGTGATTCTATTTCCCCAAATATCGACGAATATTCCAATTAGAGGAACGAAGAAGAAACCTGAAAAGATCAGTATCATTCTACTAAATTTCTGGATGTCATGAATGATGAGATACTTACCACCATATTGAATAGCTGATGTGTACCACCCAGCTTTCACAGATGATACATTCAATCTCTGCTCGACCATCTCTGTAGCATTGCTTGTAAACAGACCAGCAGTCGAAGTCTCAAACAAGGAAAACGCCAAAACAACCCAGAAAGTCCAAGGCAATTCAAGAACTTTGCGAAATTCAAACTTTTTGTTACCTTCTGTAAGCTTCTCTCCAGTCGCTGGATCGGCCGTAGAAGGAAACTTCTTATTGGTGTAACGAGTAAAGATGTAAAAGCCAAGAGTCATCAAATTACAAAAGAGGTTCATGGCCACCGAGACCCAATAGACATTGGCAAAATTTCCTGTGTTTTTGGAGATAATGTTTGCGGAGGCTTTCCCAACAAATGCACCAATTTTACCAATTCCTAATTCGAACGCAAGCGTCGAAGCAAAACCATGATTGGGTGCAAACCATGACGAGAAAACTTTGTATCTGAATACATATGTCAGTGATATTGAACGATCGGATGGGCATTTCTACGTACTGTGCAACTTGAGTCGCAATATCTCCGAAAGCCTGGACAACTGTACCACCAATCATAAACTGATAGTTCCTAGTTTGGGCAGCACCGGCGATGAGAATTGACCCAATTGTGAAGATGATGTTGCCATAAAAGATTGCACCTGATACTTGTGAGTAAGTCGAGAATTGTGAGAAGTCCGGAGTATCGTACCTGCTCCCCCTATCCTGTCCGTCACAACACCACTCACTAACATCAAAGCCGTAACCATGAAATCCTGACTAGCACTCAAGAGCGCATATTGCTTATTATTGATATTCATCTCCTTCTTGATTGTGGACTTCATGGCACCCGTGATACCTGAACTCCAGTGAGATCCAAAACCAATCATTGACACCAGGAGAATTGAAGCCAGTTTCCATTTCATCGGTATATTGTTCCCTGTGAGACGTTCATTATTGGCGATGTCCGATTGTTCCTCATTATCGCTCGCTGAAACTGCTGATACGGTAATTCCATCTTTCTCCTTGATACCGAGATCTATCGTCGGCGTGTTGGGTGTAGAATACACATTCTCAACTACCGGTACGTGATTACTTGACATGACCGAAGTGTTGCCTCGAAATTTGAGGGAAGCCTAAGACAACAGGAAGAATAAAAGCATTCGTAAGTTGAATCGATGGGAAAAAGGAGAGACAAACTCCATTTTGAGTTCATCTTATCTTCTTTATAGAATTCCAATGCAACGGTTAAAGGCATTTTATGACCAACGTGGACACGACTACGCCCCACACGTACCATGTTCTCCGTTGAAGAAATTGGGAAGTTGTGGAAAAGAAGTCCGCATTGTTTGCTTGGCACATCAGAATTTTTATCAGATGGTTCGAAATCCTTCGAGTGACAAGGATGTACATCTGATAAGCATCCTTGGCCCGAGAATGGAGTCAACATCTTCCCGATACCGCATTCTTCTACGGAGCGGAGAATGTACTGAATAAAATTAGACCGTCTTTCTAGATAGACAATCTCGGAACCGAATACGTTGTAATGCAATGAAAAACCAGCGGAAGTGTTGGCGAATAAATAGTTGGTCAATCCAAGTGCTTCTCTTGATACTAGGTGTACCGGTAATTCTTCAAATATCGTCTAGACTCCTTCTACCTACGAAGTTATTACTACCCTACCAGTCATCATGTAACTTCTATATCCGACCTTATAAACGATAAGAAACAACAGAACTCGAACTCGGGTTCAGATTAGTCACGTGAAACTCGCATGAAAAGACATCGGGATAACTAGTATGAAGACAGTAAAATGGCTGAGAGGTTAGAGGAAATAAGGAGGATAAATTTTGATGTACGAGACTGAGTCAGAAGGAGCATTAGGTATGGTAATCGGGGGCTAATCGTATATAAATTGACTTAAACATTTCAGTTTCGCCCGGCCAACATAAACACTGCCATTCGATAACGACAAACAGCGTACACTCTCGCTTTGTCAGATCTCCGAAATACTTCAATATATCTTGAAGTATCCAGGCTGCAGCCGGATGAAGACCCCATCCGGATCATACTTCTTCGAAATCCCAATCAACCTCTCATGGTTTTCTTTTCCATACCCCGGAAATACATCTTGTTGCAGCGCTGCATAGTTTTGGTATAACCACCTATGCCACAAATTACGCTCTTTTGCCAAAGTAGTAGATCGTGCTACGCAGTTCTCGGCAAAGACCCTTATCCGAGAATCGTCGGCGATGTTGGTCCATTGGATCGCGATGTTGACGACTAGAAGTCATCAAATTGCCGTTAGACTAGATATATCACAATACTGAGCTTTTAGAGCATTTACTTACGGATCAATGGACCGTCTTCTGCCGTTATACCAAGAGCATTCCCACCATTCTTACTGGAGTGCGAAATCATGGGCTCTGAAATGGGTTGGAAAATGATGGCGGGGAGTACATTCGTCGCATTGGTGATGCTCTGTAATTCTTGATCAAATATCTTGCAAAGATCCTTCATCAAATCGGCGTCATTGAGTATGGTAAGAGTCCAATACGATTCTCTCAGCCCTGATGGTTGCGCCTCTTCCGTTCCATTGATCAAAGTTGTAAGATTCGTGATTTGAAAGGTAGAAGATATGGTAGGCAAGCTTGTAAAGTTGCCGAAAATAGGAGGATTTGCAACTGGTTTTCCATAATCTAATGTAGCACTGACAAGTGTTATACCGGCCGCAGGTAGATAAGCATATGCCAGAAAGACTGCGGCAAATGGATCCGAAGCATGATTGATATTGAGGTAGGCTAATGCCTCAATGTAATTAGGAAGTTCAGTCGCGCTCGATATCGTTGTTCCGCCCCACATATCTCTCTGTTCGAACGAAGCCAGGTCGAATCTCGTTACGATGCCGAAGTTATTACCGCCTCCTCTGAGTGCCCAGTACAGATCTGGGTACGATTTTTGATTCGTATTCCTAATGGAACCATTGGCAAGAACGACCTATCGATCTAGGTAAGCCTTGAAATATGAACACACAGAAGGAGATAATACTTGATAGTTGTTAACATTATCACAGGCGAACCCATACCTTCCCGAGTGGAAAGATATTCCACCCCCTAATGTCAAGCCCCCAACTCCAATTCCGACAACTCTACCACCTATAACTCCAATCCTTGCCTTATCCATGACTGGATAGAGATTGGACCATTGTGTTCCTGCCCCGACGGACACTTCTGTTTTATTGCTTGAGATTTTGATTTGGTCTAAATTGCTCAAATCTATCACGACAGCATTCTCAATGTTTGATGCACCTGCAAAACATGCATGACCACCGCTCTTGACGGCGAACTGGCAATCTTGAGATTTAAGCACTTTTACTGTGGCAGAAACATCCTCGGCGGATATTGGCGTCACTCGACATGCAGGACGAATTATTGCCTGCTGACTTGACCAATACAATTGCTCAGATTCATAGATGGCACTACCAGGAAATGATACCCGCCCTTGGAGAATTGACGAGAGAAATTGGCACTGAGGGGTCAAGTTAGTACTGGTCAATTCAAGATCTATATAGCAAACTTACAGAATTCCTGCATCTCTCTTGCGAGAATGAACGGTATTGCTTGAAGTTACCGGCATTTGTAGTGAGTGCAGCACAACGAAATATATGCAATACAAATACAACAAAAGTCAATGATGAGAACATATCGAAAATTGCTGATTTGAATATGAACGATGGAAAGAGAACGAGGAGAAGTAGGTCTTGCAAGTCTGACATGTCTTGAGCTTGAACACTGACACCCGTATTATCGGAAGGTGAGACCACACGGTGATCAATCAGATCAGAGAATTCTGACCAGTAGGTCGAGTAATCCACAGCACGCCACAGGCTGACGAGTACATATTGCAAGCTGCATACAGACAGGTAGTATCAATTACTTGAGATTCGGTGTGATATTTTAGGTAATTTCTACCTAGGAGGATATAGATTTGAAGCAAACGAAAAAGCATCCAAACTTAAGGTCGTGCAATTAGACTACCAGCCTCATCTTGAAGTAAAGATAGATGGTAAGTTAAGATAGTTAAGGTTATTAAGTACTCACATGTCCATTCAACTATTGTGTCTCATGAGAGACCAGTAAAGAGTCACAAAGGCCATAGTGTTTGATAAGGGTCGATCGAGTCTTTGCCATGCGTTTTTGTCGTCACAATACTTGCCCCCACCTTCCTGTACCCATACCCCGCGCTCTCCCAGTTAATGTTTATTAGTCACTCCCTGACTGCCCAAGAGAAGTTCTGAGCACCCGGTGAGCTCTCCCATTGAGCTCGCCTATGAAAATCGATGTGCTCACAATTGTGAAGGGGCAATATATATTTTTATCGAAATTACGTTTCTGTCAACGACAATGAATAGCAAGTATTATTACCCTTAGTTATCAACTAACTTCGTTTCGTTCACGATACTATATTAGTGCAATTAGTTTGACTATGATTAATAATAGTTATCGTTATGATTCCAATGCATTCATTGTTAGTTTCATGTTCACACCGAGGAAGATCGCTAATCCTTTTTCCACTGCCATGACCGGGTGAATGATGTTACCAACATTCGCTGTTGGTTTCCCTTGGATCTAAATTGCTTGGATATTCTTCATCCGTCGTTCGATTGTAGTAGGTTGTTCGAGAAGAATAAAATGAAGTAGTGATGTTCTCCTGGTAAGATCTTACCATTCCATATTCAATCGCTGACGACGGATAGACCAGTATGAAGTTGAGCGAGGCAGTTGGAATATTGACCTGCTCTCTCAGTATCCATCCCAACCAACAGTAAACAAAATTAGGTAATGTAACAGCCCAAGAACATTTGCTGGGCCTCCAACAAATCAAAGTCTCCAAATTCAGAACAATAACGTGAGATGCTATACTTGTGCGGGTCTAAATGTTCGAGACTATATCGTGTTCAAGCTCTTCGAACCCTCGGCGAGCAGGTCCAAACTACCCAATTCGTATCGTTCGTATCCTTAAAACACTTTTAGGGGGAAAAGAAATATTGGGAGTAGACATTCATCTAGCAGAATCCACTCGGACGATACTTGTCTAGTCTTTGGATATGCAACAATGAGGTGCCAACAAGCGGAATAGTGGAGAGCCTCGGTTTGAGGGTTGTAATCATGTATAAATCCACGCCGAGGGCCTCGGATCATGAAATACGATGTGCAACAAAACCTTTGAAACATTCCTGGTCCAGTAATAGTGAAGCCACGGCGAAAGATAAGGAATTAAGAGATGCAACAGAAAATAAATGCATTACGGGAATCGGTTGTGATGTATAGCCAACGAACGCATGCGGACTATATAAAAGCCCCCAGTAAGACGACCAAGGGTTTGTTGCTCCAAGGCGATTTGCACAGCCTATCCAGGACCAGGACCAGGACCAGGACCTTACTACCCACGACAACCGTAAGGCTAGATCTAGATCGTATAGACTTTATTGAAAATTCTGGTTCATATTGATGGTTGTGATAAGATTCGTTAAGAGTCTTTGGGCTGCGAAAAGAACTCACATCGACCGACTGTAAGGTCCTATGTGTGCTACTAGCTATAATTTTTCTGGAACATTTGTGTTTGTATAAGCCGATACGGTTTCAAATATCCCAGTAACTCGAGTAGTACCGCATTGCAATGAAGATCTACTGTACTCATTCGTTACTAATTATAGTACCCGAGTACAGTAGTTGTTGAATGAATTAATTTGGGTGATTAGCGGCTGAAGGTTGAAGGCTGAACGCAATGATGGACAGAGAGAACTAGAACATTAATAAGAAACAAGGGAAAAAGATCCCTTTCCTTCATTTTCCCCGCAAGCAATAACAGCATCCAATTACCTACAGTATACCCTCATCGGTTCCCAGGTATGTGATTAATCGCTGCACGTCGTAGGTACCTGTAAGTCTCGACGTAGAGAACAGAGAAAGACAGACGAGATACAAGTCGCAGTCGCAGTTGCATAGTCAGAGTTATACTTCCGCATTAACTCGAGTAGGTTGCTCGGGAATTCCCTCTAAAGGAATGTTGGTTGCTAGGGATCTGCGCGGTTACACCGAAAAAAAAAAGTATGCCTTTTTTTGGTCACATCACATCGCCTCCTTTTCTTTTTATGGAAGGAAGACATGAGTAAGATTGATTACTTCTTTCGTGACTAACCTTCTCGTACTTATTGTCTTGACTCTTTGCTTCTCAAACACTCAATTAACTTCAGGAAATTTCAATTGAGACCTATTCACAAAAAACAGACAATCGGAGACGTTCGCAAATTCACTGTTTGCCGCATGCAGTACAAATATTGTGATAAAGATCATGTAGGATCCACGAAAATACTCGTACGACAAGATCTAGTTATTCTCGAAGGGATACATTACTCAACATAAGCAATGAGTACAAACGGGACTGAGATTTTCAGAAATCATGTAACCATGGACGAACTTACAATAACTCCTCAAATTGCGCCCATCTCGAGTTCGAGGAGAGTTTCGATGGAGCATTATTACAAGGGACATAATGGATCTTCAGATCAAGAACAGGAACCAGAAGTCGAGGAGGAACCAGAGGAAGAACAGGAACAAGAACCTGAGAACGAACTCGAGGACAAACCCGCGGATTCAGAGTCGATAGTAGATACTCTACTCGATTCTCCTCCATCCTACGATGCTTCGGTTCGATCACAAAACATGCGAAACCGTTTGAATATACAACCTCGAGAAGATGAGGGAAGGGAAACGCTCCCTGGATACTCTACTGGTATCAGTCTGGAAAATTTGTTTACGAGGAAGATGGAACTACAGGGTGCGATACACAGGGCTTCGGACAGGAATTGGTATCGAGTGCTGGCGACATTACAAGGCACACTTTTAACCTTCCACAAATTCAAAGGCTCGGGGGTATTTGGTCGTGAGCGTGGAGACCAAAAGGGTACACCAGATCTGCCTGCTGGCACCAGAAAGGGCAGTTTATTGGGAAGCTACAATTTACAGCATGCAGACGTCGGCATAGCTGCCGATTATGTGAAGTAGGTCCACAAAAAAAGTTATTGTGATTGCAATGCTAATAGCGACCAGGAAAATATATGTTATTCGAGTTCGAGCAGAAGCAGACCAGTTCCTTCTATCATGCGTCAAGATTGAAACGTTCGTCATCTGGCTACAATCACTCTCCACAGCTATCGATCTCTCTATGCCCCTTGATGAACGACAGACACCTCGAGATCAATCCATTCCACGTTCACGACGAAGAAGGAGAAGAGAAGTCAGGGGGGTACAGATTGGCGATGAACTCATTCGAGAACAACAAGAACTCATCCGAACACACTATCCCAACCTCGCCACTTCGCGCACCCCCGAAAGAACCACCACCGCCACCAGCCGACCATCAACCACTGCCCCCACAACTCAATCAACTCCCCCCCATACACCTCGCGCACCACAAGAATGCATCAGCGAAGCCGAAGCCGCGGTCGATGCACTCCGAGAAATGGGTCTCATAGGCGGCCGACCCCGTCGCCACCACCGCATACTTCACCGTCGCACACCCAACCCCACCCCCTCCCATTCCTTCTGTCCCGAAACGGGAAAATGGCAACCGGAGCACGCGTGGTCTCCTCGATACGACATGTTATATGCTCGAAAATGCATGGCGGTTCTCACAAGTCGCTCGCCCCGAAAATCAAATTTTTTAATCATGAAAGGTAAACAGTGGATTGTGGATTGGAATACTGGCTCGTTAATAAGATGCGAACCTCCGGAGTATGGAGAGGATTATTGCGGACGGTGGAAAATAGGACATAATGGGACGCCGGTTAAGGCTTGATTATTAGAATGCATGCATGGAGTTCTTTTTTTTTGGGGCTGGGACGGGATGGTAAAGGCTGGGTTAGTCAAAATAGGCGTCTAGATTATACAGGTCTTTTGGTTTTGGATGGACCCTTGGAAATTGTTATAGATACCAAGGCGGGAATATGGGGTATGAATTGAGATGTCTTTTCAGCGCTGGGCTCTCTTCTTTGTTTATATTCTTACATGGCGCGCTGTCCGTAACTGCATGGACTTTCAATATAGTATATGATATCCATGCTTCCTTGTTCCGTAACTTAAATTCGATGAGAACATCTCCTTGACTAACTCCTGTGAATTCCGATTCCGTCCATGAATAATGCGAACGCCGTGAATCCCGTTTGACCCCAAACCATCCTTTAATTCATGTAATCCTCCCATGCATTTTGACCAAATCCAACCTAAAGACTAAATACCACCCACCCCTCCATGAATCCTCCCTCCCCATCTATCCCTCACTCTACACCTCCCTCAACACCCCCTCAGCCTCCAAAGCTTCCCTCCCCAACCCATCCACCTCCCGTTCCAAAACCCCATTCGCCCTATCCAGATCCTCAACCACTGCCTCCACCCCCTGAACCAATCTCTCAATCTCCTCTCTCTGCTTCCGTATCTCTTCTGCTAATATCGCGTTTTGCGATTGTGTGGTTTGTAGCTTGGCGTTCAGTTGCGATTGTTGCGTTGTGTAGATGAGGGTTAGGTGCGCGGCTAGGATGGAGGGTGCGGGGAGTGTGTGTAGACTATTTATGGGGAGGGGGAAGGTTAGTTAGGTTTCCTGAATATATGTATATGTATAGGGGATATTCAACACAAGATTCCATCCATCCAACAGAAAACAAAAGCACAAAAGTACACAAAAAAACTCACGCAACACCTCCACCCCCCTTCCCCCCCTCAACCGCATCCGCATCCACACCCCTCGCCTTCCTCCTCCTCGCCCCCTCAATCACCCCCTCCAACCCATTCAACCGCTCCACCACTCTCCGCTCCCCCAAAATCATCTTGAACTCATCGATCGCAAAATCCCGCAGTCGCGATACCATCTGGCCGTGTACGGCTCGAAGCGCCTCGGGCGCATTGCGCGATATGCTTGGGAAACAGGAGGAGAAGGCGGGGTAGGAGATGGTGTTGAGGGCGGATATGAGGGATTTCTCGTAGACGTCGTGGAGGCGGTTGGCGCGGGGGCCGGGGGTTAGGGGGATGGGGGCGCGGGGAGGTGGGGAGGGTGAGGGTGAGGGTGAGGAGGTGGAGGTGGTTGTGGTTGTGGTTGTGGTGGGCATTTTGGGTTGGGTTAGATTGGGGTGGATGGTGAGAGAGAGGGTTTTGTTGATGTTTGTCTGAGAGAGATTTTGTTGCGAGTTATAAGTTGTATGTATTGTGGTTACGGTTTGCGGTAATGATGGTTCTGGGTATTGAATTAACGATTTCGGTTGACGCGACAATCGGCAGCGGGATAACGCCTCGCTAGTATGTTTTAGCGCTACTGTACATACTCGCGCTAGACGTTTGCAGAACATCCCTGTGCATAAATTATCGTGACTTTTTGTCAAGGCTATACACTGCATTGTATTTTGGATGATCTACTGACAGTATGAGATTCATGATGTTGCGGATGAAATGCTCACTCGTTGCATACTCGACTCGCTTTCGGATAATGAAATAACATCCGTCAGAAATTTGAGAGCACATCTCAGATTGTTCAAGTGGCATTTTCAAGCTGAAACTTCCTTTGCGGTGATTCTAGAGCGGTGAAAAATACATCAATGTATTGCAAATATACCAAGGGTATAGACATTGTTAATCCAACAAAAGGCAGTAGAGCTACGAAGGTAATCAGTGGGCTTCATCATTTCTGATTTGTTCTGGAGATGGCTTCTCATTCTGTATCAATCTGGCGCAATTGGAGTCTATAATTTATTCTGGAAGAATATTGCGACCCCCAAAGTGTTTCCAAAGCTGCTCTTGAGGCCGAATGCAGTCAGTTGTCACCTCCTTCCATGAAATGATCACCGATATGTGTCTATTGACGTCTACGTGTGTTTCGTTAGGTAAAAAGATCGTCAATACACCCTCTTTTCTTAATTCAAATATTATACAAAATATTAACAACAAGCAGGCCGATTCTGTTATGAATTCAGACTTGTGTCTCTCTCCACCAATGTCTACCTTTGTATCGTATAAAACTACTAGGATCTTACGAATCAAACCCGGTGTCAGATCAAATCTAATCCAACCCGATGCCAGCTTGAGGATGGTGACCTTCAGAATGAGCCTACGTGTGAGACATTTTCATCTGTTTGAAGCGAATCGGAACCAGCTCAAAATATCACATGCAATGGTCGAGGCATATTATTTACTCTGAATCTTTGGACTGCTCTTGAGCGTTTGGGGCCACTTGCAAAAAAACGACGTGTTTGAGTTGGGATCCCGTTAGGTGTTGTTGAAGCGGATCCATCATCAAACGCTAAAAGTAATTGTCTGGCTTGGGAAAGAGAATAACAAGGAGAGCTAGCTATTAAGATACTTGAAAAGGTTGCTTATTATGCTTACGTGGCAACAGATCGCGCACTTGGCGATATTGATTTCGAAGGTATAGTAGGTTTTGGGTTGGCTGTTGGCATAATGAAGTCAGCTATGTTTCCAACAATAACACTCGTCTATCTCACTCCTCTAATGTTCAATTTTCTCAGATGAGTTGTCGTTGAAAAGCGCTTCTATGGTTCTATATGAATTTAAGGGTTTCGAGATATGGGTTGTTCACCAAGGTTGATGTATCTCTGTGAACTGGACATCAAGAGGAATATTGTTGGGGTCACGGCTTGTTAGCTTCAACAGAATATTGCAACGGTAATTACAACAGTTTTTGGACCGGCCTCTTAGGATTTCCAGCATAAGATTCTCTACAGATCGACTTTTGTCTGATATTCCTCAACGATGTCAGGCACACCCGGACGACTGACCAACAGAATCATATTTATAAGGTGCTGGGCTTGTGTAACGATCTGTCCTTGGAAGATCACACGAACGAACTCTACCACATGTACACGGATGCAGCTCGACATCATACTGATAGAGAGGGCTTATGGCTCAAACCCTAGAAATCATTTCACGGCATTTTTTGGGAGTATATCGACCTACTAGTACATACATATCTTTAGTAAATTTCCCTTCATAGGTGCTACGCTGGTATCTGCCAGCATATCAGGATCCAAAGATGGAATTGGAGATGCTTTCCGTATGTCCCTGGCAGGTCGCACTTCTCAAAACGTACTCAGTCTAGACCGTAGCCTAGAGATCTATGCTATTCAGAAACTAGCGATATGTTACACAAATTGTCAAATATATTGGAAGCCTTGGTATTCTAGGATTGACGGGTTGATATCACACCGTGGCGGTTTTATTCATGCTAATCGGTATGAGATAAGAGTTGTACGGAGTAAATGAATGAAGCCTTTTGCGTTGATGTTTCTCAAACCAATTCTTCGAGCAAGAACTCATCATTTTTTACACCCATCTTGTATAACCAATACTATCATCCCATATGTTCTTGAGCTCTTTGTTTATCAGTCTGCTGAAGTAGTTTGATGTTAAGTGATATCTCGTCTGATATTTTTAGCTCTTATCTTCTTGGTCTTTCTCAACAATTCTGATCTTCCATGGTTATCTATCTCATCTCATACTAAAGAGGTAAATCTTCTTCTACGTTTCATTCCTTGAGCATCTTTCATTACATATCCCTTACTTTCCTTTAGAGAAATGGTTCGGCCTGGTGTTTCGATCTATTCATCCAGCATTCATCAATCACATTGAAGCGCACATCAAGTTGGATTCATGAAGCAGTGTTCATCATCCCAAACATCTTTGTTCATGTGTCCCATCTTGCTTCAATAGCATCTCAATATATCCTGACGACGTTGAGAATCCAATGAGTCTCTTTCAACTGGCTCCATGATTACCGCATCTATTCTCTTGTTCAACGTAATATAGTCGTTAGGCATTGCAATGCGCAAGCTAAGACAAGAGACAAAACCCTCTTAACCTTACAAGTAAAGTAATAAATCCTCTAGTCTGTAGACTCTAGATAACACTCACGTACTCTTTCTATATGAGAATCTGCGTGACAACTAAAACATATCACACACCGTAGATATGGCGCAGATATCATATTGTGATATATTAAATCCTATCAGACAATGAAGAGGTTTCAGACAACTTGAAGGTAATGTAGAATCGTAGATATTGAGAACGAGCCTACTAGTAATAGATAAGTTATAGTATATAAGGGCGAATGAGCTGGTCAATGAATCAACATCAGAACCGAAACAAGCAAATATGATAAGGGAAACACACATATACCAACAAATAACACGTAATATACAATATGCGCATAAGAAGAATCTAGATCGTTTAAAGAAGATTCAAATAATAGATTAAAGGTTTAATCTTTTGTACTACCCACTAGACAAGATTCGGAAGGTCTCTGTAACAATAATCACGCCGTTGCCTTCTTTCCCAATGTATCGCTAGCTAAGCCCTCGGCCGTCACCGCTGACGATAAAAAGGGGCGTACACATCGAACTGAACCTTTTATAAAGATCATAAAAAGATAAAAAATATCATCCAATAGAAGTGAAAGGATCTATTGATCCTTGCTGCATTTAATCCCCGTTGCTAAAACCAACATACGGTTCCAGGGTCCCATCCGATTTGCTCATATTTTCACTTCTCCTTCGCTTCCAACTGTTTAAGTCCTTGTTAAAGATAAGGAATACTTCTAAGTGTCAACCCTCGACCTTGCGATTCTTGTGAGCAGGTCGGTGAGGTTACGGCCGGCATTTCTTTCTCGTCCCGAGAGTCACTCATAGTCCACTCCCGAGTCTACTGCTATAATTCCTCATTCCCGTATATTTTAGCTTCAAAACCATGTCTCCGAGCCAGATCACGGGAAATGAAGGCGCAGTGGTCGATTTGAGCCAGTCAATGATACACGAGGGAGCTCGAGAAATGGAGGATACGACAAAGTATGTCAAGTTCTCAGGAGTGGTCTTGATCTCAATCGCATTGTGCTTGGCCACCTTTTGCGTAGCAGTGGACAATACGATAACTTCGACCGCTGTCGCTCGAATTACCCACGAGTTCCATAGTATTGAAGATGTGGGTTGGTATGCATCGTAAGTTTTTATCACTCATCAACTTCGAATGAGACTTTTGGAAAACATTAATGTATCAATGAATAGAATCTACCCATTGATGTCCTGCGCATTTCAACCGTCCTACGGCAAGATCTATACAATCTTCTCCAGCAAACTCGTCTTCATAGCATCGTTGCTAGTATTCGAGATTGGAAGCGTTGTATGTGCCACTGCACCGACTTCTCATGTCTTCATTCTTGGTCGGGCAATAGCAGGTGTGGGATCTGCTGGCATACAAGCAGGTACTACACTCATTCTCGCTGAGTGCGTTTCGCTACGCCAGCGATGGACTTGGAACAGCATCATTGGTAGTATTTTTGCAGTCGGGAGCGTAGCTGGACCTTTACTAGTAATCAGCATATTTCTTATCTGTAATCAATTAGTTGCAGCGATTAACAAGTTGTACAGGGGGGAGCCTTCTCGGGTTCAACTACATGGCGTTGGTGCTTCTACATCAATCTTCCAATCGGAGGCGCTGTCATGATTTTCATCGCCCTTTTCTACGATGGTAGTCGCGGCGGTAAGAGAGCATTTCAATCGACTGGGTTTCGCAGCCAAATCGCCCGGTTCGACTTGGCTGGTACTTTCATCTTCATGTCAGCAACAATTTGTCTTCTCTTGGCAATCTCATGGGGTGGGACCACATATGCATGGAGCAATTTTCGTATCATAGCCCTACTAACAATCGCTGGTGTCCTCTTTTGTTCCTTTTTCGGCGTCGAATACTTGAGGAAAGATAGCGCCATTATACCTTTACGCTTACTACGAAGGCGGAGCATAGTAGCAGCGGTCTGGTTTGGAATCTGTCTAGGAGGGGTATTCTTTGTATGTAACTCCAACGCACACATGACATTATATCTGGCTGACCAAAGATACTATGACCGTCTCAGGTCAATGTATTCTACATACGTGAGTGTCGAAAATAGTCGAGCTGATGAAGAAAAATACTGATCTATTTTTAGCGCTTTGGTTTCAAATTGTGGACGGCGTCTCTGTCATCAAATCCTCAATTCTTTTCAAACCATTCATGATCAGTGTCGTCGGTGGATTTATGTTCGCAGGCTTTGGGACCGCTGCAACTGGATATTACACACCTTTCGTTTACGCTGCTTCAATTCTCATGTCGATAGGTACTGGCCTTCTGATGACTGTTCAGCCTCAGCACACCTCGCGAGCAAAATGGGTCGGATTTCAGATACTATGCGGAGCCGGAATCGGCCTGGGAGAAGAGCAAGGACTATACATGGTGCAGACGACACTCCCGGAAGATGACGTGGCAACTGGTATCGGCATTGTCTTATTCGCGCAGACTTTTGGCGGAGCCTTGTTTGTGTCAGTTGCCCAGGCAGTCTTCCTGGAAAATATCGGCAAGGCCCTGAAAACACTGGCCCCGGACCTGGATCCTCACTCTGTTCTGGACGGGCAATCGACGGTCCTTTCGAGCTCTTCTACTCCTCAGGTATCAGCAGAATTGCAGGCCGTCTATGGAGTCGCGATTAAAGAAGCTCTCGGTGTTGGTCTCATATTAGCAACGGTATCGAGTGTAGGCGCCGTGCTGTACGATTGGAAAAGTTTGAAGACTAGGCGTAATGATGGAAGCGATGAACGTAGCAGAAACCATGAACTGGATTAAGTAGCGGACGCTTAAACAATGGCAAGTAAATAGGGTCCAATATGAATAACATCCCAAAAGCGGTTTTGTGGTGAGCAGTACTATATTGTGATTGTATAAACGGATTCATTTACATAGGATTGTAACGATGAAACTATTTGAAGGTTACTTCAGATACCGCGATGATTATCATAACATGGAATAGGCAAGTGAAATCACTCACAATAATGTTCCGGGCCTGTCAATGGATGGACTAAAGAGCAAGAAGGACATTAAGACGCAACGTTAGGAAATGGCACTAACCCTAAATGGCCATAGCTCCATATGCTACGACTACCTACCTACTGACTAGTACTTACTACTTCATTGTTGCACATCCGGATAAGCTATGAGGATCTTCAAGTCCCAGATCGCCATGATAGCGAGAACATCGAAACCGAACAAGATGCCAAATAATCCGTAACGTAAAAACTCAATGTGGAGATCAGGTGCTCTGTCTTGACTTTTGGCCACGCTTGACAATCAGATTAACCAACGACAGTGAGAGAATCTACCTCACTTTATTTCCTCGTTCAAGTGCCGTGTGTTCTTCTCGGCTGTCTTTACGCTGTCATCAAGGTATTGAGAAAACGTGGGGACATTGTTAGATTTGGTATTATTGGGAACTATTTTAACATTTTGGTGAGCTCCTGACTTACGAATTTCGCATTCCATCTTACATAGATTCGACTCGTATATCCACCAAAAAAACTTGCATTGCCAATAGAAATAGAAACGCAAATGAGAATAACACCCGATCGATATAGATGAGACTCGTCCAACACCAAATGTGGCTATGATGCACTTGTAGTACGCGAGTACGATCAGCCCAATGTAGAATGCGATCGGCACGTAGATTCAAAGCGTGCCTAGATAGCCAGCCTAGTACTCCTTATTTTCTCTCCTTTCCTGTTTCCTTTTGGCTAATTCGACTTGTTTGTCTTTATTCTGTTTCCTCCATAGGATAACATATCTCATGATGATGACCAACGCTGGGCTATATACTACGAATAGAAGAGCAATGATTGTGTATGACCACTATTAGAATGTCAGTACATCTCCATCTCCATCAATACAGGAAGAATTGTAGGTTTAGTCGAACTGATAGGAGTGTTTCAAACTTACCCCAGTACCAATGGCGTTGACCATAGGAACAATAACCGCAGTCGCAATTGCTCCAAGCTCACATCGTACCACATTATTCGCAGCAGTGGCCGTAGCTGGCTTTCCAGGATAGATGTCCAACATGAGAATATTCAGAACTTGAAAACTAGCAACCAGAGCATATCCAATCACAAATAACAATATTATCGGACCAGCAATGCTGACATGATGTCCCATTACCCAACCATAAGCAATGATGGCTAATGCACCGAGATAGAATAACGGAAGTGCGATTTCTAATCGCGCTCTCTCGATTGGAAAGTTAGTGAGATCCATTTGGCGATTTTTGGTGAGTGGGAAGTTGTGGATCTTGGCATGTCGGCGATAGTTGAAGTCCACGATCTTGCCGGTGGTAAAAGCTGAGATGAGAGATCCTGCACTAACAGGTATGAACATCAATGACACCTTGAGTTGTGAAAATCCATACAAAGAGCTGAATTGTGAAGAAGCGCCGGTGGAAATTGCATAATAGGATGCTAGACTAATCCCCGCAGCGACTAGAAGAAGTCCTGCCTCCTTATCGGCAAGAACTCTCAACGTTGACAGTGGGTTGGGAACTTGTAGCTTGTAGTCCTTTCGTAGCGCTGTTAACTTTTCCGCATCAACAGGTATTCCTCTCTTGCGTCGGTTGGCATGTCGAATGTAGTCTGAAATATTTATACAGAGAAAGGGCGGAGGTATGGAGCCATCGTCGACAAGATTGCGGCAGGTTTCTGGGAGGAATAGAATAAGAGGTATAAATACGACGCATGAAAATATCAATAGAAACCAGAAAATCCAATGCCAACCTGCATATTGTCCCAATACTCCTCCAATTATAGGAGCAACCATGTGCCCAAGAATACTGCCGAGAGACGCCCACGCTACGTAAGTTCCACGTTCGGAAGAAGTGATAATATCACCAACCAAGCCATTGGCAAGAGCTACTGTACCGCTACTTCCTGCACTTTGTAAACAACGTAGCGCCATCAGGGCTGGGTATGAATTTTGAAGGCCAAGACCAAGGGTGGTGAAGAGATAAATAACGAAGCAGATCATGTATGCAGGGCGTCTTCCAGCCTTGTCTGAAAGTCCTGCAATCATCATAGGTGCTAAACCTTGGATAACCTAGACACTGATTAGTCCAGCAAAACCAAAGAACGAACATCACATACCAAGAACAAAGTGACTGTAAGACTGATTTTCGCATCTGAGACATGAAGATCTTTGGCGATTTGACTGAGAGATGGGTAATATATGCTTGTTGACATGGGAGAAAAGAGGCTCGCCATGGATCCCGAAAGGATGATCATTTTCTTTAGAGATGTAGGAAAGACACTGTATAGAGCATCTAATGCTGCATTGGATTCTGGGATGCCAATTGTTTCCGAAGGTGGTTCAAGTACTTCAATATCATGATGTTTAATTGACTTTTCGACATTGTTATCGATATGAGACTGCCCGCTTGTAAAATCGGGGTTGGTAGTGTTCAATTGAGGATCGGAACCTTGCTGAGCACTAGTCTCGGTAACAACATCAAGTTGATAAGATGAAGATGGTATTTCGGGTTCTTTCGCCATGATAGAATCTAACAAGAGTTTGAATCGCTGCAGAGCTGTACAACATATTGGGATGTGCTGAGGTTTAAATATCATCTAACGATACTAACAGAATCGGTGACTCGAGCCCGACTATTGCCGGATTTAAACTATTATCTCCAAATATTGCAGGGGGAACGGAGCCGACAACTTGCGATGTATTGATGGAACAGAAATCTGCAAACATGAGGCAATATGACTGGTGACTAACCAGACCTCGAAACTTCAAATAAATACTCCATACTTCTGAGTTTAAGTAGTTTCTAGTTTACCTAGCAATGAGCCCCGGATATCTTCTGGATTGCAACATCATCCGGTACCGAAATTAATCAAATGGAGTGGCATCTTTGGAAGGAGGTCCAACTGTTATTGATGATTTGAGTCCCTGTATGAGAATTGTAAGTCAAGATGGTGATGCATCTTTGTCATCCAAACAAGTGAAGAATCGAAGGAGGATAAACTGTGATCTTTCCCATTCTAAGTGTGAGGCTCATTGATAAGATGCAGGTACCTTCATGCAATCACATATCTGCTAGAGAAACTTCTCCACATTTGCAGCCTTTCACCATATACTCATGGGTAGCTTTAGACAGAGTTATCCCATGATATCCCTTGAGTGATATCGACATTCATGTTTGACAAGCCTTTCACTTCTAGAAGATAGCCCGTACATAATACTAAGCCAAGCCATAGAGATCCATCATTGTGGCTGCATTGATCAATTGGTTGTCCGAGCTGTAAAGGCCCCATTGAAATCCAATGTTGTAATTGGTATTTGCTGTGTTGTTCTCAAGCTGGATCCATACAATATGCTGTCAAGCTGCAGCTACCCAGCCACCAAGCTACCTACCAGCTCAATAGAAAGTGTCTATTTCTCATCTCTGACATGCTTGGTTCTAGGTTGCTTTGATTATAGCTTGATTTATATCTTCAATAACATTGATGAACTATCAAAAGCTTCATAATTAAGAGAATCATTGTTTCTAGCAGGTCATTGAAGCTGCCCATTAGGTTTCTTATCCCTGTTGCCTAGGGAACAACTTATCGACATCAACTTGTTTACCGATAAGCACATTTTCACTGCTAGGAGAAAGAACCCTTCCAAGAAATACACACACCATCATTCCAGATTCACGAGAAATATCTAATCTATCCACATTCTCCCTTCTTCTGGGTCCGGTATCAAATATTTCAAGAAATATATATTGTCGCAATATACTTTACAAATTTTGCGATCATCTGCCATTAGGCGGCAGATCCGCCCGCCGCAATGGCGACTGATGATCTCTCTCCAGCGGGGAGCAGTACATATTCATCAGATACAATGTATGTTGGAGATGGGACCTGGGATGCTACCAAAAATGATTTTCTGTTACCCAATTTGATGGGTTTGAACTTCGAGACAATGAGATACAATGGTGAGTGAATCTTTGCAAGACTCGTATTGTTGACATTGGGATGGATGAAGGAGAGCTGACTGAGAACAGGAATGGGAAATCGATTTGCGACTATGCCTGGATACAAAGGTTTAATTACAGCTCACGGTATACTTGCTGCCATTACATTCCTATTCATGGTACCTGCGGCGGTAATAATTGCAAGATTTTACGGTCGAGATATACGAAATGCGATACGATACCACATATATTTACAGATCATGACGGTACTTCTATCAACAGTCGTTTTCACACTTGGTTGGATGGCAGTCGGCCCTGCTCGAAGTTTGACGAATCCCCATCACGGCATTGGATTGGCAATTTATGTCTTGATTTGGGTACAATTTCTATCGGGCTGGTGGACACATGATTCAGAGAAAAAACGAGTTTTGAGGAGGATTCCCTTCAAAGCGGTCTTGCACCAATGGATAGGTCGCGCAACAGCGCTTCTTGCAATTGCCCAAGTACCTCTAGGACTGACGTTATATGGATCACCAAAGTATCTATTTATACTTTTCGCTCTTTGGATGGCTTTCTTGGTGTTGCTATACTTTATTCTTTCATACAGAGCACTTCAGGCACTCCCAGACGTACTACGAGAAGGAAGCAGACATGGCGAAGTAATTCAGGAAAGGAGAAAGAGTTCAATCGGAGCAGGTATTCTTGGACCATTACTCGCAGGTGCCGGGGCTGCTGCTTTGCTTGGGAATCGAGACCGAAACAGGAGTAGAAGTCGCAGTCATAGCAGGGTCCGGGAAGAAGTCATACCTTCGCGTCGTGGCTCACGTTCCCGGCGCGAATCTGTAAGTTACGTCGAAGAAGAAAAATTCGAGGCCAGGAAAAAGGAAGGTGGCGGTCTCATGGATACGTTGTTCAAGGGGGCTGCTGTTCTAGGTGCTGGTGCACTTGCGAAGAGTTTTTTCGATCGACGAAAGCGAACAAACCACGAGGACGAATATTCTTCTGTTGCGCCCGATACTCCAGGTAGGAGGCCTCATAGACGTTACGACAGCGAGATTAGTGATTCTACCGTCACGACTGAGCAAACAAATCGCTACGAAGCTCGCCGAGGAAGCCGTCCCGTCTTGCCTGGCCCTAGAACTCCAGTGGCTGCAGCGGCTGCGATTAGTGCTGCTGAAGCACGTCCAACGACTCCCAAACCAGTAACTCCCGTGACTCCTCGACCAGTACAAAGTCAAGCCGGCCGCTCGCATAGCTTTGATTCTATGAGTTATTCTTACGACTACGGATCTGGTACTACGGTTAGTCCATCTCGAAGGCCACAAGAAAGTAATGGACTACGAAATGGGTTGCTAGCTGGCTTGGGAGTAGGATGGTTTGCTAAGAAAATGAAAGATCGCAGGGAGAAGAAGGAGGACGAACGTCTTGAACGCGAGGAAGACGAAAAATATGAACGAGAGAGAGCTTCTCGGCATATCAATCAAGGCTCCCATTTGACAAGCGACGCATTTCCACCAAGAACGAATCTCAAACGAAACTCTGTAGAGTCATCCGAACTTTCATCACTTGTTGGTCCTCACCCTGGACCCAGAGTATCAGTATCAGCGCCGCCTCCAATTCCAGTCAACATGGGTCAAACTCGTTCTCACCATGACGTCGTTGCAGAAAAAGTCTCAATGCCCCCCTTGCCCCATGATCCACGTGGTATCCTCCATCCTTCATCATCCGATAGTGATGTAACCCCTACTCCTGGTCGAAATCGTCGTCGATCATCCATTCGCAGAGAAGAAGGCGAGGCCGCTGCTGCCGCCGCTATAGCTGGAGCTGCTGGTCTTGCGGCAGAAGAAGAACGTCGCCGTCAAAGATCTCATTCTAGATCTGCTGTCGCAAGTCCTCCTGTTAGTGTCAAAGTCAAAGTGCACGGAGACAAAGATCGCAACGTAACTTTACGACGGCTTACTGAACAAGAAGCGGCGGCAGAGCGGGCCTCAAGAAGAGCTCGAGGTGGTCAAAGAGGTTCGCGAAAAGATTCCATAAGCGATCTTAGTGATGGCGAGGTATCATCCCGATATCGACGAGAAGCAGAGAAAAGGGCCGAAAGAAGAGCTGAATCATTGGTCAGAGAGAAGAATGAAGAATCAGGCCTCCCACCACCACCAATGGGACCTCTTACACCACCTCATCCTGCATTTGCAGGCGGAAAGAAGCCTAAAGATTCAGGTTACTACTCAGGAAGACCACAGAGTTCTGGTAGACCGAGCTCCGGTAGACCAGACCCTAGTTTCGCTGGCGGCAGTGTGTTTGATGCAGGGAAGAGTAATATGTCAGAGGATACTCATGGTACATGGAGTGCGATGAGTCCTGAATCGGGCACCGACCATGCGAAGGAGAGGAGACAAAGGAGGAGAATGGAGAGGCAAAGACAGAATATAGGGACGGGAACGGCAGGCACAGTTGATTTTAGTTGAGCTCTCAGTGCTCGAATTGTGTTATTATTTGGTGTTTGGAGTTGGCAAATTCGGGGTAGGACTTCTGGTTTCATTGGTGGTTGGTGGGGCTTAGGGGTGAGAAAGGGGAGGGGATATGAGGAAAAGGAAACAAATGGAAAGGAACGAAACGAAATGTATGAAGATGTTTAGGTCTGTTTAAGATTCTTGTATATGGTTGATTATGATGCAATCTCGAGGATGGGATATGGATATGGATACGATACGATACGAAATGTTTTCATAAAACATGTTTGGAGATGAGTTAGCAATTAGCAAAAGATGAGCGAGCAATTTCGCGTAGATACCTTTTCTGTATGGATTTTTTTAGCTAGCTTTTTGAGGCAATAATTGATATTGGTAATTATTTCATGGTGGGCTTTTTGGGGCTATTTGCTGGTGTGGTGTGGTGAGAGAGTGTCGTATTCTTGTTTATATGTTGGTGTTTGGTTTGAATTGTTTTGATTTGATGGATGTAATACTTGTTCATTTGTTCATTAGTTATTGGAGAGGAAAGTGGGAAGGGGAAGGGGAATCCAAGTGGATTGTAAAATTTGAGTTTTTGATTATAAGGGAGTGAAAGGGAGTAGATGTGCGTACGTATGTACAGGTTCTCGGCGAGGTTTGTGAGGGAGAAACGATGGGTGTTATGGTGTTTAGTTGATGTATCGGTGCGATAAGTCTGTATAGAGATTTAATTATAGTCGGCTGAGGAGTGGTTGTGAGTGTTTTCTTATGATATGATGCTTTTTGTCAATTTTTATTGTTGTGTTGTGTTATTATGTTGTGTTATTGATTCGAATTCATGCCAGCCAGTATATTTTGAGTTGAGTTGAGTTGAGTTGAGTTGAGTTTGAGGTTGTCAGGTGTCGATATATGTTGAAAATACATTCTCGAGAACCGACTTGACTTGGAGATAATTGGGTTCCTCTCTACCGGTACTTGTTTGTGTTTTATTTATCTATTGGAGCAGATTAGATTAGATGCTGAAAATTACTTGTTTAGAGTACTAAAGCACATTTTTATATTTTTTATATTTACTCGAGCAAATAAATGTCAGTGTATATATGGTAATTGGTGTCTTTTCATTCGGAAGTTGAAGTTGCGTGTTAGTGGATCTTTATTTGTGTAATGGTGGATGAATGGATGGATATTATGTGTATCAATATATTCATGGAGAGTCGTGAACTGAGGTTTCCTCGTCTCGCAGAGACTCGGACAGCACACTACTTACTATGAGCGTCTGTGCAGAGGGCTGATCTGACCGGATGCGTGGCCTTCGAGGTAGATTTGAATTAACGGCCACGCAACCGGTTAGACTGGCAAAATATTCACATGTTCACTGTCTTTGCATAGACCACAGCAGTAGTTCGCTGTAAGAGTCGCTACGCTCCGTCATTCTTTGAGAGCGATTAGACTAAGAATGATTCAAACATAGCTATACTCTACCCTTACTTGTAGTTGGTCTTGTATCTGGTCGGGTTAGTAATTGAACTGGAATTGAGGCGAGAAATCTGATCTTGCTCCGCGAAGTCGAACTTAGACTTGAATTTCTGGAATTATGTTGCTTGTGTATGTTTTATTTTCTTGGTGACGCAATATACATTTCAACAAGGGTTTGAGAAATGAGAAATGACTAGATGACGGCAAAAAAAAGGTGTGGGAAAAGAGCTAAAGTTGAGTTTGGTATGGCTGGATGCGATGAAGTGGTAGTGCCGACGTCTGTTGGTGAGCAGATGGTAGATCGGCTGATAGAGTGATCTTAGAAGCTAGAAACGATGTCATGAAAAAGGTCGAGGCGAGTAAGTTGGCGGGGTTGGAGTTCGATGTTATGTCCGAGTTGGGGCTATGAGAAGTATCTGTGGCGAGCAGCTGGTGGATAAAGTTTAGGGGAGGGGGCTGTGATGTGAATCTCAACGAATTTCATGACACTGGAGCAGGGCGTTTTTCGGTTTATGTATAGGAGGAAGATAGGAAAATTGCAAACTATACAAGCGATGGGAAAGCTCAATAACATTGTGCACCAAGTGATGGAGTCATTTGTGCTACGAATTTGCATACACTTCCAGATGGTACATTATATCCAATGTCCTTGCTTCCCATATATGAGTCCATTTGAGGAATTTTGAATCTAGAGTCGAGAAGTCTCGAGTAATTTCGTATCTCTGTCGATAATATTTGCCCACATGGACCCAACTGTCTCATTCGTAATATCACCATCATCAAAGTTGATTTCTCTCAGGTCCAGATTCACTAGGAATCAATCCTTCTATACCAGTAGCAGGATTCTTCGCTGTTAATGGGCTGATAGACACGTCATACAATATTTCATCAGACTCGAATTTGGAAAACAAATCACTAAATCTGCATGCTTCGAACAAACTATACCCAGTCATTAATTAGGAGGCTTCTTTGAATTCATACGCATATAACATTTACGGGAGCTCTGGAATACGGTAGGGAATTGATGCAAAATATATTAATTTTAATCATTCATATGTCTTTAAAATATGTTTGAATACCGGACCTCCAAACATATTTCGGACGGATGTAAATTTGGAGTTAAGAGGAAGACTTCCTGAAGATGGGCTCCAAGGAGTGAAAGAGCTTGCTGCTGAATATTTTCGAATCGACAAAATGAATATATAAAACTAAGGCTAGAACCCATAACGGATCACAGGCTATTTGGTGACATTCCCAAAATGGTTATCCCTTTAGGAAGTGACTCAATGTATCGTGACTCTGCACCCGAGAACGATAAATTGAAATCACAAGGAATTTAACTGAGGAACAGTCACCACCAAGTACCAGCAATGTGCGTCATATGGCATTACCTAGCTCAAAATGCTCCCTCAGCTCTGTACATAAAAGGATCGAGCTCCTCCCGCTTCTTGCTAGTTATTTCTTTCCTCCTACACATCAACACCTTTTTGCAAGATCCTTTTTCGTACATGCAACTCCAAGAATCTGATCTTCTATCTTGATAAAATATCTCATTGCATACACACAGTATTCACATAGTGTTCTGGCACCGCAGTTCTCGGCCCAGCACCCTTTGTCGAAAATTCGTTTCGATACTTCCATCGCCACTGGGTAGAACCACTGCAACGAAACAAGGCATACCAACGACAAAAGTCCTAGTCACAGTTCCTCCGTCAATCCCAAACCAACCAAACCGTGAGCTTTTCACTTTCTTCGCAGAAGCGACCATCGAAGACTCCCCGAACCTACGCGCTCTGTCTTCCTCGGGTACAAAAGCGTTTCGGGCTTTACCTTTCAGATCACCAGTTCGAAGATTTTGCAGCTTGATGCTTCATCGCTTAGTCGTCGCGGCGTGTCATCATGGAAGATCCTTCTTTACGCACCTGGGCACGCGCATCTGGCGAAGGCTTGCTTGTTTTCAATAATCTAGATATTTATATCTGTCATGATGATTATCAAAACTATCTCGAATGCGAAAGAAAGCTTAAGGAGAAGTTCTCACTTTACAAAGACAAGAGGTGGTGTAACCACCCTAGACACATAGAGGAGGCGATAGTAATCTCCCAAAGAAACATCGAGAATCACCACAAAAAGATGCAGAAGGTCCTCGACTTTTTTGAGGTAGAGAAGCCTGACACCATTGTAAACCAGATGATGAGCCGGAAATGGACTCGCATAGGGAGGCCGCTCTTCAATTCCGATTTCGGCCGCTTTGAACACAAGATTCGTAGACACCGCGACCTCTTGGAACTATCGGAGAAGTATATTTGGGATCATCCTAACATCGCTTCAACACCAGTACAATTAGCAATATCGAAACGTCTTTCCAGGGTGCGCGAGATGCAGGAAAAAGACTATAAGCTGCTTGGCCAAGGCCAGAATATAATTGATGGTATTGATTCTCTTAGCATGGTCAGATGGCTTTTCGATATGGTGATCATGGGCTTAAGATCTCTCGAAACACTCGTGGAATGGTCAGACTCGAGCTCTAATCTAATAAAGGTCATTCAGAAGTGCAGGAAAATCCTGACGGAATCACATGCTGTGAAAAGATTCCGTGATAAATTAGTAGATGGAAGTTCTAAGGAGAGCGACGAATCTATCATCGAGGCTAGGTCTTCGAGATTAATCAATCCAGTTCGAAAAGAATGCCTTCAAATCTTCTTGGAGATCTTGTTTATTCTTGGTGCGTTCGTTTGTTTCCTCTTTAATCTATAGTTGTGAATTAACACAGCCTGCCGACTTGATACATATGACCAAAGTTATTACTGGAAATATCGACGATTGCGCCGGGGATTATTGGACCTCTCTCGAGGCGATTGTTTACAAACCAACGATTAGTGCTGTATATTGGAGAGGCTTTTACGACTCAGAAGATCACGATTGCTCTCATCGTCTAAGAGAGAACTTTATACTGGAATCCACAGCTGATCAATACCTAGAGCGCATCGAGATTGACGTGCGTCGCTTCAAGTCTCTGGTCACTTCTGAGCCTGAAAAGGTTCTAATTATGTTTACAGACACTGTGATCGAAAGCGAAATTAGCGGGCGTCGTATGAAAGTGGATGCAGAGGTCATTACTAAAGAAAATGATGGAGACTTCAAGTATCTAGCTTACAAGTATGCAAAACTTGTCACTAAATCTCTCCATAACAACGCGAAGGACGACGATTTACTTATTGGGAATACCGCCCGGTACGATATCACCAACTCCAATAAAGTGTATTTTAACCTTGATATTGAGGCTCAAATTAAAACATACGAGTCTGCTGTGAAGGATCTCGAGGAGAAAAAATAAAGGCTCTTGCTCAAGAGTGAATTACCCCACGAATCTGAGAATCTAAAGCTCATTTCCATTCCTCCAACCGAGATTGATAGATTGGAGGAGGTCATCAGGGGCTTAGATAATCTGCTCTCTGACTACAGCCCTATGATCATATCGCATTCCTCTGACGAAATATGGAGAAAGGCATACCTCTGGCAGCACTTCGGATATTCTGAGTTTGACCGAGCTTTGAATGAGCTCTGTGGCCCTCATTCTCTCTATCTATCAGGTATCAATCTTGATACACTCCTGATACCCAAGAACCCACGTTGGAAACTCGTATGTCAGCTTAAAAGAGATCGCTTGATCGAATTTAAGGAATTCGAAAATAAGCAACGGGGAAATCAGTCAGGCTTGGTTGCTACTGATAACATTAAACTCCAATTTTTGTTCAATCGCACGCTTATTGGGATTGATAGTTTGCGGATCTCAATAGCGCGCGGAAAATTCGAGTTCGATATCAAAAGTCAGAGTATTCATACTACGCTTCAGAATATTCGAGCCTATTTACGTGATGATGCAACGACTCTGCATGATACAATCAAGTATGAAGACGAACCTAGCCTTTCTCGGTCAAAGATTGATTTCTGCAAGTTGATGATCGCACTTCTGATCCAAATCGGTATGATTAGTCCTCCTCCATCAACATTTATAGCCTGACAATCTTCCAGATTTCCTTCTCATTGAGACTACCGGCATCGATCAGGGTGTATGCTATAAAGACAATCTTACAAAGTTTCTCCGGGATGGGACATCAAGATATTACGTGGAGGCAATGCGTAGCATTTTCGAAGAGGAGTGTCAGAATTGCACTGAGAAATATCCTCAGTTTGAGAGACGCTCCACTGCTATGCGGAAGCTTGCCGATAAGATACATTACGTCAAATTCATATAACTAGACAAATACACACTCTGTCTGTAGTCTAAGCATTTAGCGAATATTATTAGGTCAATGACTAGCTATCTTTGGCTTGGAATCTACACAGAAGTTATAGGAGGATATGAAGCTTTGTAATATCGACTCTCAGTCATTCAGATAATAATAAAGATCGTTGCGTTTCAGATGTTTCCCACCCTGATTACCAGCACTCAATATGTAACTTTGAGCCGAGAGCAGGATAGATATCCCAGTTCTTCATGTTTTCCCTGATACCCGAGAACTGTCGGTAGAATTGGAACGAATAAATTATGTATTCAACGCTGGAGAAGAAAAACCTCTATCTCTAGGAAAATATGAAGAGAATCCAAGAGGATTGATAATCGCTGACTCGTTCCAACTTCCTAATTCTCACCACAGTCAACTCTCTTTCTTCAACTCAACTTGTGATCTCGAAGTCCCAAGTCTGAGTGGCGTTGTCGGCCGGCCAAGCTCGAAGAACAGTTGTTTCCAGTGAATTCTACCACCGAGAATGATAGCCTCGTGGAGGCGACCTCTGCGAGGATAACATAGTAGCCGCGCCCATCATTGTTGTTGTTGACCCGGTGAAGGCCGGGCCGTCGATCCCAAGTTAACTACAAAAATATGACTTAGTAGTAGGTCTCAGAGTAAAATTCCGTCTTTTTTAGATGATATAATCAATATCTATATCTCAAAGAGACCGGTGACAGTTCAAAGCTTGCACGATATTCCCATGAATTGAGGAAGGTGATGATCGCTGAACTCATAAGAGAACTTGCTGATTGGTATAATATTAGCTTTTATTATTGAAAGATGTCCGAAGCTTCTCGGTTGAAAATAAAATTCAACCAGAAAGCTCGAAACAGATTGGTTGGTGAACTGTAAGATATAAATACAATGAGCTATATTACCATTCCCTTGGAGTTCATTGCAAATAATCTTGGGCTGAATGGGCACATCCTTGAACTCGAAGGAGCTTCGACAGTTCCAAGAGGAAGGTGTGTTCCACATAATATAGTCTATGATAAATTAGAAAGCCTAATAACACCTATGTAATGGAAAACTCCTAGGCAGAATTATGATCACGACTAGTGCTATGGAGACCGGAATGATAAACATCATGCGAATCACTCTTAAAACTCGTTATCTAAGGAGGATAATTCTTTCAGCTCTCTTGCTCCTTTTGTTTCCAGATAATAACCATTCTTTGCGAAAAGAGGCTTCGAGCACAGAATCCGCAGAAATCTACCTACCTACTTAGACAAAAACATTATTGGCCATTCAAAACTTTTGAGATCCATTTAACTCCTCGATGTTGTAAGAATTCTCAATATTGTTGACCAAGAATCACTTATTTGTTATTTCTATTGCAAAACAGCTGTTTCTGAGCAACACAATAAACCCTTTTTCGTCACGTCTTCCATTATCAATGTACCAAGAGAAACACATCTCTACACACTAGTTTCTTCCCTCCAACCAAATTAAACTATGTTCGACTTAGACGCTGTGTATGCGAACTATGAAGCTGCCGTCAAGAAGCTCAAGGAATCAAGGAGGAGCTCAAGGGGGGCAGGCCACTTGAGGGACGACAAGTACCAGGCTACATAGCTTATTCACCTAGCCACTACTGTTCTAATTTCATTGCAATATAGTTCAATTAGGTGATATGAAACAGTATATGGTGTGAAATAGGTCTTCTTAAATTAAAAAAGTCCCAAAAAGTATCATGTGGTAAACGACTGAGCCGACTAGAACAAATTAGCTGACTGTTAAGAAGAACTTAGCCGAGATAACCGATTACGAGGCATCTCAGGTCACAAAGGGGTAAAGTCGCATTGTAAATGAGTATTTTTTGGCTTTATAAATACCGATGACAAACAAATATCGGAATCCTTTATAATCAAGCTCGAAGATCGCCTCAGGGTAGAGGAATCAGGGTTTTTGTCTTGTTAGTCAATGTACGTTCAAGAGAAATAATTCAATTATCAGTTAGAAAGGCTAACGATGTTTTACTCGTATTACTATCTGCTACCTTATGATTATTCTATAGCTGAGTAGATTAAATATTTTGAGAAAAAACTAGAAATCTCTCAGCGTTACTCAGCATTGACATTGAGATTGTATTACGATGCAATCCTCTCTCGGTAAATAAGTTGAGACATTCAGCTCCCCTCATAAAGAAGTACCATTGTCATGAAAATATTTCCAGAGTCCAGACAAATCACAGACGCAATTTTTTATACTCGAGTAGTTTTCAAAAGACAGGAATACTTGAAAAATCATGTCTAGCCAGGTGTTTCAAACGGTTTTCTTGTGGTCAGGTGAAGACTATAATTAGAATGTTTGAGACATTGGAGGCCTCCATGTCAGGAGACAAGGACTTGAAAGGGTCTTCAAACTCTGGAATAAGAAGACGAAAAGCTCTTGTATCCGATCCAATCCATCTTGGTGTCAGGAAGGAATTATTCTTCGGGCCATCTCCATTTCTAGGTTAAATCATATCACTTCTCGTCGCGAAGTTTCATCATTTAGTCCCCCAATTTCTTCAACGAATACCTTCCGATCAGTCCCCCTTTACATACGAACTTTGCGCAAGTTATGTCTAGAGAGCGGGTTTAAAAAGTAGAAATTTTTCCCGAATTCTTGCTGGCTTTTGTAAATATCTGCAAAGTTTCTTGATCTTTGTTGACGAGGAGATCCCGTATTCTTCGATTCCAAGCATCTTTTGTGTTATACAAACAGCAGTCTTGTAAACTTTGCATGCAAATTCAAATCCTACTCTAAAATCTTCTTACTCTCTAGCCTCATTTTCATCCCCGCATCTATCTTCACATCTGGTGATGTCTGAAAGCATGATGCTTCTTGGGAGTCACCAGGCCTTCTGTGAACACGATACTACGAGAGTTTGCGTTAATTTGCCATAGACAGGCCGATGAATTCAATGACGACGATATTATTAGATGAACTCGATCGATGTGATGATGGCAAGAGGTACTTAATATACTCGAGTATAGTATAAACCGCTCCACAATGAGGATGGAGATTTATTTGGGTGATGGTTGAGGAATTTGAGGTCAGATTCGGGTGTACCACTTGCGATATAGCTTTCTCCCTTGAATACTTGAATTGTCCGTTCAAGATTTGTGAGTCTTAAATATCTGTGACAATCATTGTAGTCAGTAGTTTGAACCAGTTGGGTTTATACAAACTAAACCGACTGGCAGCCTGGACTCAACAAACCGAACTGCCAGTTGAATCAGTGCACTAGTTCAACTGATCAACTACTGACTAGACTGCCGACAATGTACATGTAGATTTCAGAATATCGGCAGTGTTATGAATTACTAGAAAGAGTTATCGTAGGATCATCGAGTTCTTGAGTTTTTCGAATATTTGTTAATATGTGAAGGAAAGGCCAAAGAAAATAGGAATGTTAGTACCAAATAAAGCCTAATCCTTTTTTTTGTATGTGATATGAGTGCAAGGAGTCATCTACTCGTATAAGCACATGATAGCCTCACATACCACTTAACTTAAGTGAATTCTTCTTCCCGTTAAAGAGTTTAATAGACGACATGATGAGGTTTGTTTGTCATTGATACTGTGAGCAAGTAAATGGAATTTGGGAAGTATGTAGTACTGACTCCAACCATCTCTAGCTTCCTTTTCCAAAATTCTTCTAAACTCTCCCCCAAAAACACAACCATTATCTCATCTATTCCCCTCCCTCTCCTTCCTCTCCTCCCGCAACACAAAAGTAAATCTAAAACAACCAAAGCAAAAAGATATTGCGTCCGCCGGAAATCGAATCCGGGGCCATTGCAAGTTATCAATTTATCATGATGAGTTATCAAGATATCTTGGCAAGCAACGATTTTACCACTAAACCACAGACGCTTATATATGGTTGGCTATTGTTGAGAGTTGTGCTCGGTTTTGTATCATATACAGGAAGCAATTCTTAGTGGGGAAAGAAAAGAACTTTTCAAAAAAAGTGGAGAGTTGTAACCTAGTGGGGTACGAGAAAAACGAGGAAGAGGGGGGGTTGATTGGTGATAAGGAAGGGACTATGTGGGGTGGGGTTGGGTATGGTATTATCTATCGTTGACTTGGAATAATGAAGAATGATTCATAGACTGAGTTCAATCTAGAAGTAATTTGAACATCTTTGGAAAATATTCTAGTATATGGTATGCTAGGGGGAGAATCTTTTATAGCATGTATTGTGTTTAGAACAAACTACTAAAGCTCAATCTAATACGTGCTATCAGATGAGCTAGTAATACTACTCTACTCGAGTAGTGTTCGAGTTATAAGTTCAGGATTCAAAATCTCATCGAATGAACACCTTTGAATACCTATAATCAATATACAATCATTAGTAATTTGATAGTATATAATCAACTAAACTTGAAATTGCACGAACATTCCTAATGTTTTGATAACTCTACTATATCAACTGCCACTGGCACTAGCAGTCTAGATACCCCTGGTGTCTTTCTTAATATGATCAAAATACACATCAATCGTATCGTTGGCAGCCGAAAAATTCGGCTCCTCCATGAACTAGACCCTTAAATTCTCATAATACACTACACATCCCGCACAACATCATCTTCAAGACAATTGCAAACGGCATTAGTCTTTTCTAACAGTCGATTATATCGAATACTGCTCGATCTAGTCTTGAAAAGCAAAAAGTCCCCATGCCACATTAACCAATATCTTCAAGTAGATCTCAATGTCAAACAAGATATTGACGAGAGCATGGTAGACGTATTTTATATGTTTGATATCTCCTGTCCTAAATCAAGGAGTTCATAACAAAAATTCAGACCCTGCTCTCTAAAAATATACCAGTGAGGATCAAAAAGCTCGAGACCTTCGAAAACATTCGTGTGGATACTTGCGACCGAATATGATTCCTTCAGCCTGCACAAAGTAGAAGGAATCGATTCATTATTTGTAACCCGGCAGTTAATTCACCAGAACGATCGACCAATAAATAGTATTGCTCTTCCAAGTTCTCACCCGACTAATTTCAGATTTGCAAACCTTCGATTGGTCTTTCACAGGCTCCAGTCGAAGTACAGTTACTTCACGATTCCCCATCCCCAACATCTCCCATCCCCCATCCACAATACCATGCCCTGCGAATTCTCTTCTCAAAATCCTCAAGACTCAAGAGTCAAATACTGGTAACGCATATTCCAATCCTATCATACATACAAATCAGACATCGGCTTCGGCGTTTCGAAAAAGAACTCTAATAACGATATAATATTAAAACTTACAAATTTCTTCCCGGATCATCTAACTTTCAATAAGCTAATAACCATTCATTTATTCTACTTGCTTCGACTTCGACTTCGACTTCGACTTCACAGCTTTTGTTTTCTATTATATTCCTTATAATCATCTCATTAATATTCTTGAAGTCGTATCTTGGGGTTTAAGTTCAGATTCAAACTCAAGTATTGTAGTCCATAAGACCTTGTTATAAGAATCATAAGAATCCAAAAAATTACAAGATTCATGATGTCTACTTTTGAATATCAGTAAATTGTGCATCTGTATCAACAAATAAGAGATCGAGGGTTGAGAATAGTACACTGGAGTCTGGGGGTCACTTAAATTTTGGTACTGTACACGAACGAATTATAAAGCTGGAGATCCGGTTCTACATAAGATCTGATGGGCCAACTATGAACCAAAAAGCTTAAGATTTGGTTGATAATTTTACGTCAGAGTAGTATGATACTGATACTGACAATACCGTGTATCAAAATATATTGAAAGAAGAAGGAAAGATATCTAATAAAGTGAATGTGATGGTAGTGATATTCAGACCCGACAATATCGTTATGGTGTTGAGCAAGTATATACTTTACTACTTTACTTAAGTACCGGTATTTGAAAAATCAACAGTTCTCTGTAACGAGTTTCTTCCGGATTGAATGATTTGAATCTTCGAGTTGTGAGAAATGAAGATATAAATAGAATAGAATAGAATAGGGAAGCTTTCGTTAATATTACATGATGTTACTCTAAAATCATAATATCATAATGTTATAGCTTGCGTGATTCATCAAGCGAGTTATTTCACTTCACCCCTGAGAATGACTGCGAGACTCAAGTATGAATCGATGATCAGTGCAATTATTCAGTGTTAAGAAGTGTTCGATTTCCTCTTTGCTTGACTTTTTTTTCTTTTCTTTCTTACTTCTATTTTCCCACCCCCAACCCAAATTTCGAATACGCATTTACAACATAACAACTTCTTGACTTACGACTACACTTTGCAGGGTTTATTCTCACAAAAAGTTTACCAAACATATCTCACCTACAAATTTCTAATCCCTAAGCCTTTCCTACATACAAAAAAACTCTCCTTTGAGTCCTTTCCTCGAAGCTCCTCAAATCTTCACTCCTCACTGAGGAGTCCTCAGTGAACCGACACGATGTCAGAATCCGTGGACCAAGTCCCTGCACCTCCATCGACCAAAGAAGAAGAAACCATCAAGCCCATCACCGAACGCGAAAAAGAGAGAATGAGAGATGAAGCCGTCGAGCTCATGGCGCAATACAAAAAAGATTACAACAAACAAAGGGGTCGGCACCTAGACCTATCGTGCGCAGACTTTCTCTTCCACGTCACCATGCCTGATGGTGCACCGCCAACCGTGAACTACATCGATACAGCCGAGAATCTGAGAGCCCAAATCGACTCCATTATGCGCGTCTTCAAGTACATGGATACGGCGCCATGCTATGAGGAGCATCGGACTAATCGGTTTCATGTATACAGACCCCCCGAAGAGTATATCCGGGACGCCGAGTGGATGAAGAAAACACTGGGTGAATCCGTCGAGGATGCGCTGGATATCTCGACCGGCTCATTAATCAATACGGATATTTGTGTTTGCTTTCCAACATACATCATGGGAACTGGACTGCAGAGCAGGGATACTCCGCAGTCGAAGCGGTGAGGAGGGCCCGCCTGTTGCAAGAACAGCGAAATCCCGACTTTGTTAGAGAGGGTCGTGTTCTGAGATTGAAGTCTCTGCACGAATTTATGATGTGGGGGAGTCCGCTCGATCAGATGGCGCTCGGAATTGAAGAGGGGCCTCTTCCTTACAAAAGTGAAGATGACGAGATTGGAGATCTACTAAAAATGATTCTCCGAGGATTGGAAATCTTTTGGCACATTCCTGTCGACCGTAATATACACAAAAGACTTGGAGGTACTCACATGTGGCCCCACTTGATTGGAGAATGGTTTTTGGATGCGATGCGCGAATGTATAGAATGTTGGCCAACCGTGAAAGAAGAGGAAGAAACTATGATCCCTATGAGAATCCTTCTGCGGCATTATGCTATTAGAATATTAACACAGTTTGGTATGCCAGATATAGAATATAGACTTGAACCATGATTCGAGAACACACTAACATCACTTGCAGATTTAATGATCGCCATGATTCCTATTACCGTTGAAGATCCCAGCACCGTCGAAGAGCCCACCACACCGACCTCCCATAAAAATGTGGCACAGAAATCGCAGAGATACCAAGAGGAGCTTGGCGAGCTTCTTCTCAGCCGCCGTTGGAGAAGGATCTATTGGGAACAATTTTATGGTGTCGAAGTTTATGGAGCGAGGTCAAATCGTGACCGCATGATTTGTCGGATGAACAGGGAGTCTTGGACCAATAAGTATTCGACTCTATCGACTTTGAGTGCTGCGGAGAGTGATATCAGGACCCTACACAGTTTGTTCATGACTTAGCCGCAACGTAGAGCAACAGCACGCGCGGACAACGAGACCCACGTTGAAAAAAAACTTAAACGGAGTCCCATAAGTCGAGCAAGCAAAAGACACACACAAGTACTTTCCAAGAACGCAGGATGAAGCATACAATATTCAATTTTTTAATTCAAGCACTTTATCACATTAGATAGCATAAACCACAAAAAGAAAAGAAATCGTTGACCTTTTAACTAAAAGCAAGTCCACTCTACGTTCCTAACTATAGGGACAGAGATCATGTGACCGTACGATATACTCGAGTACTAGTCTCTCGCACCTCTTTTCAAGGATTCTCCAATTCTCAAATAATCAGGATAATTAGAAAAGACAAGTACCTGTATTACACGATGCTCACTACTCACTAGTCAGGTTATCAGCATCTCCCAAACAGTCAACCATTTTAACATTGAATAAAATATTATTTCTCCCCTATCTCCTCACCCACCTGGATAAATCCCTGGCTATCAGTTTTCCTACTAGTTATATTTTTCCCCTACCTAAGTTTTGGAATATGCACTTTGCTCCCAGACCTAGTTATCGTATCTTCACCTCCGTTCCAACGCCATGCAAAAAATATAAAAAGATGATAGTTCCTCTTCTCTAGTAACCAAATGATTTGTACCAAACTAGACTTAACTAGTCTTAGCCTTCTTAGCTGGTCTTTCTTCCGCATCACTACCACCTCCTTCCGCATCACTATCACTTCCCGAACTTTCATGAGCAGAATCAAATTCTTCAGCGACATCACTTTCACTGTCCGTCTTGAAATCTTCATCCACGCTCTCATCGTCTTCATCAGCGCTCCCTCTATCGGCTCTGGCAGCTACTACTTCTTCATCTGAAGATTGCATATCAGGTTCCCGGAGAGCGGCGGCTAGGAGGGCGGAATTATCGTCGTCCATTTCGTTCTTGACGCGGAGGCCCTTGACCTTGAAGAAATCCTCGAGGGGTTTCTGTTCTTCGCGATTAATGTTGCTGAATTGTGTTTCGCCGGCTCCACCTTTGAGTTGAACGGCGATATCAAAGGTACGGGAGGCGGAAGTAGCACCGCCAACACGGGAGAAGGTTATGGTGTGTATCTGTTCGTAGGTTATGTATGTAGCGGGTTTTGGAACGAACATAAAAGCTTTCTCTAGGCAATAGAGGAAACCTTCGCTGGCTTTGATAGAACACTTGATACCATATTGTTGGTGGTGGCTGGAGATGTTAGTTAACAACATGACAAATTCTAGAACAGTGGCATACCTCAAGAAATCCTTAGCTGGTTGATTGATCTTCTTCCCAGCAAGACCACGGAATACTTGTGTGACGACTTCATGTAATGGCTGTTCGTAATGTGCGTTTAATCTTCCTCCATATTTTTCATGCATGGCATCTTCCGTCATATTCAAATCGATGGTAACTTCTTCATCCTTCTTGAATTGCATAACCAAGAAAGGGTATCTAGTTTGACCTTGTCGGAGGGGTGGATCTAAACCAATACAGATCATAAAGTGTAATTCATCGGGCTTAGGTAAAACCATAAACTTCTTGATATGGTCATATTGAATTTTGTAATCATAAGTTTTACCACGTAGTCGGAAAGAGTTTTCGTACATATCGATATCGAAACGTCCTCTGCGAACAGTCAGCCATGCACAAAAGCATTGAAAATGCGACATACCTTGGGGTGAGATGTAGAACATCAAGAAAGGTAGCAACGGTATCTCCAGCGACATCACCAATTTCAGCCTTCTCCATCAAGGTATCATAGAAAAGGTTGGAAGCATTGTGCGCCTCCTCATCAGCATCGCTTCCAGCATCCTCATCTGCCTCACGAGCTCCCTTTCTTGTCGCAACTCCGGGAATGTAAAATCTCATCTCAACGAGCTGATCCTTTCCAGCGCCAGCCTTCTTTCCTTTACTGCGCGCACCACCCAAAGCTCCATTTGTGCCTGTATCATCGCCACTTGCAGGCAGGGAAAATTCGACCGCGACTTCATTTTTTCCTGCCAAATTCGTGTTTGAGATCTCGGTGTATGGGATTTCGAAAGCAGGTCGATTTTGAACGTTGAATACCAATTCTGACTTTCCAAATTCGCCTTTGCCCCAATTCCATCCTCGTAAAGCGTGCTCCTTGTGTTCCAAATTTGTGCTATACCAGTTCTTGAAAACTTTACTCAATCGCTCAAAGTCCTGTATTGTATAAGAAAGAGTGCGCCAGTCTGAGAGAGTATACTAACATCTTGCAAGAAACCATCAAGCTGACAAATGTCAGAATTCCGCAACAAGAGCTTCACCTCAAAGCCCTTTGATGCCTTGCTCCATTGCGCGCCTGCGATGTTGCTGTTCTCGAGTGTAAATGTATCGCCGCCGCCCGATGGCTTCCATCCAAATCCAGTTTCAGCGAATCTGCATCGGCCTGACTCTTTCGAGAGATCAAGGTAGATATTATCGAAACTCTCCCTAGTGTATTGAATGATGTTAGAAACCCGAAGCTTCTTAGTGAAAGCATCCATGTCATTAACCACTAAAGACATTTTTGTTGATGGCAACAATGCGATTGAGTCTGTTTGATATTGAAAAGAGGATAACTTACATGGCCATGATTTGAGTTTTGGTGATAGTTATTGCTTTTTGGAAGTAATGATTTTTTTGCAGGACAGTTGAGATAGGTAGTCGCGGTCGCGTCAGGTACGTATAAATTAATTAAGCTAAGAGTCACGTGTCCGATAATGAGTTTGGTGATATAGTCACTTTTTGGATTGAGCTCGAGATGAGAGATAAGGGATTTTCAATGGATGGTCTTGATATGCTGAACTTTCCATGTAATAAAGTTCTATTCATCAGTACTAAAAATCTTAGAAGTTCCTATAATTTGCCCACCTAGAAGAAGATATCTATCGGCCTCGAGGCTGTAAATCTTACAAGACAAAATGAAGTAAGACGAGATCACGAAATATCATTCTTTCTAATAATAGCAACGCCATCACAGAGAGCATACAGGTCAGGACACAATGAGGTATGGTTGGTTTGAGCTTTATATTCCCTATGTCTACTTGCTTCTGATGACGAGCAAGTCACATACCAATCTACAAAGATCATCTCTCGCTATGCGTGCGCTGGTGTGGTATAAAAGCTTTGAAAACAGTTGTCGACCTCCATCACATGAAATGGTATAACGGTTAGAGTTGAGGTGACGCAAAAGAGAAAACATAACGCAACGCCAATTGATGCCCATAATTGTCCGGGTGAAAATCCTTAACACAGTACCGGTAGTCGTCCTCCTATCATAGCAGCCATATCGTCCCCAATCCAACATCCAACATCCATTATGCACTCTCCTTCTCACTCTCGGAGAGAGGAACCTTCTCGTTCATGAGCGAGGTAGGTGAGTCGGCGGATGATTGTGATGGTGACTTCTTGCGCATGACGGCGTCTTGTCCACCCATTCTTCGACCCAGTGCTCTCTCCAACTTGGCTCCCAACGCCAACTTGCCCATATTATCTCTCTTCTCAGTTGTCAAGTCACAACGCTGACTTTCCAACTTCTTGTTCTGTAACTTGTCAAGACCTTCCTCGATGGCGATGAACTCTTCTTGGGCAGAGTCGGTGGTTGTGACAGAGATGGCTTGACTGTAGGTGCTGAAGCGATTGCCTTTGGTGGAAGAGACCTTTGTAGTCATTTTTGTTAGCAAAGATCGATGATGATTTATGGAGGTAGTTTATGCTGAAATCTAGATGATGAAATGACGGGAAGATTATGTAGAAAGGGGAAGGGAAGTGAAGGAATTAAACATACACTTGGTGCCATAATAGGACGGGAAGACTCTAGAGAAGCAACCATTTTTGCGATGTTCGTTTCAGATAGACACAGAACGGGATCTTATGACAGGTTTTATCAAGGATTGTTTTCGTAGTCAGATGTGGTGGCCCCTAATAACAACGGCTTGTTATGATCGAATCGCAGAGTGGCTCGAGGGAGTGGAAAAGTATGGGTTATGTTATTTCAGGCTATTTCGGTCTCGAACTGAAAGAGATGGCGTTGATCCACGTCTTTGGTTTTTTTTTGTAGTAGGCAGGTATCGAAGCGGGTCAGGCCCTGGGTGCCACGAGGGAAGAGGGAATGGGGGGGAGGAAGTGAAAGGGTGGTTATCTCCAAACAGGAGTGAAAAGAAAGTCTTTCAAGGGGGTTGGAAGAGATTCAAGGGACCCCTTCTCGAAGGTGGATCAAACTGCTTCTAAAGACGGCAAAGCACTGACGAAATATGGCATGAAGCACTTGCAGACTGCAGTGAAATTAGAAAAGAAACGGAGCGACGAAATTTCTTTATAGTTGGTGAGTTGATGGAATGTTTTTTAAGACTCAATTGAGAGTAGAAAGGAAGTAGTGTTGGTAAGTGCGGTTCGATAGGATCTCTGTAGGATCGGTTTGATGCAGTCAGCTTTTAATGGTAAGGTTTCACAGAATATCAGCAAAGATAGGAAAGATTTACCATGTGGGAGGTTTAGCAAGAAACGTGGTAAGTAGGGATTCCTAGATTCTTAAGTTACTCGAGTATGATTGGGCTGTGTACCGTCTTATAATGTGAAAAATATCGAAAGTTCAGCCCCTTGTTTTGGTAGAAGTATAAGAAGACTCGAAGTTACTGTTACTGTTACATAAACTGAAGAAAATAAGAAGTAAATATTATTTTTGGGTGATTTATGTTTGCTATTTTATTATACACCGAAAATGGACATTTAGTGAATATCAAATCTCAATCCTCCTTCCTTTTTTGTAGCTGATTAGATGTTGCTATAGAATTGGAACAATTAATTGTCGATCTTGAATGCCTACTAGGTATCTGGGTAATTCTTGTCGTCTGATGTTTGTTCACAAGTTATGAAACCTTACAAAAGTACTAGGTATATCCATCGAATCATCGCCAAGCCCAAACTAGAGAAATTATATATACTTGAGTATACGCGTATGTATATATATATACAGTATCAGTTTGAACAATATCTCATGATAAGGAAGCATCGGAGATGAAGGACCCGGCTTGAATATACCTACCTAGGCGGAAAAAAGAACAAAGTTTACCAAGCACATGGCAAACACGATACAGTCCAGATTAAGAATACCTAACGCGGTTGCATTGGGTTGCATTGGATTAGATTAATCATCTAGTAACAAAGTCTTTGCATTCTGTGGGTAGAAATTCATCCATATACTGCATAGAGCCAATTAGACACATCAAAAGTAATTTGAGCATCATATTAGTTGTATTGGATACTGCATATGATGCAGGATACCGTCGGGAGTACCAAAATCAATAAGTGCGAAATGCTCTTGAGGTTTTAACCAATCTTCGATATTCCATTTTTTGGGTGTTTGATACCGTGATAACAAGACCTCGAAGAAGTGCATTTCTTGGTAAATTATTGAGCACAAGATGAGTAAAGCATGATGAATAAATAGATCTCTGTGATTGTTGAATCATTACCAATTGCCATTTCTCCCAACAAACTCATCCCATAGATTTTCGATAGGTAACCTTAACATTTCTTAGTCTACTAGGTATCATTTATCGACCCCACCACAAAACATCAATTTTCTTCTACTCGAGTACTCATACAGCTAACTAACAATACAACTGATTACAACATTAATTCCAGATCGAACTATAATTCATCATTGTATTCTTCAATAACACCTAGCCAACCTTTACAATGGTTAAAAGGGAATTTTTGAAAGATAACAAGAAGAAGTCCAAGCATGTACCACAGGTAAGGCTCCGTCAAAATTAACCAATGATTATACGGCTAATGTAATGTAACACACGCAGATCCCGGCAAATGCTGATGAATATCTCGCTGGTATGTCATTATTTTCTTCGTGAGATCAAAGATGAGGACGAAAGCTGAGACACGTTGTAGCCGGGGTTGATTTCGAAGAAGCTGGCGAGAAGTGGAGAGGCGGTGATGCTGTAAAGGTAAGGTCTTCACTACCTCTACGAATATCTGTATGGCTCCTAAACTTGGATCAACACAGTCTACCAGATTTTTCATCAGAGCAGTAGATAACTACGAAGAAGCATTGCAAAAGTTTCCAGACTCTTTCGATCTTGCTTACAATAAGTGAGAACCCGTCATTTTCAAAGTCTTGGGACAAGCATTGACTGACATCTGACAGAGCTCGAGTATTGTATGAACTTACACAGTATCCGAAGCTCGCAGCACAACTTCCTGGGACCCCTTTGGATCTTCTAGCCACTGCATTGGAAGCGAGTCGGTATGCATTGGGCTTAAAGCAGGACAATGCCGACGTTTTGTTGTATGTTGTACACGAATCCCTTCGTGCTTTTCACGGCTAACGACATTAGTAATACCGCTCAAGTTCTCACTAGTATTGCCGAGGTAACATTAGAAACGAGGAATGTTGGCAATGATGATAACCTAGCGTTACTCGAGGAAGCTATTGAGCTCTTTCAGAGATGTTTAACGTTACAGGAGTACCAATATACCGAATCGGAAGTCCAAGCTGAATCTGTACCGACATCAGGATCGCTTCCAGAGGATACAGATTCTGAGGAAGGAGGGGTTTCATTATCTGGTGCTGATTCTCAACCCCCACAAGATGATCGATGGGCGACTATCGTTGAGCCAGTAACCTTTGATACTTTACTCGATACTCTAATAGCTCAACTCCAAACAATCACCACGTTATGTGGGCTGGTGAACGTAGATGCTGGTCGAGGACTGGCATGGATTGAAGAATATTCGACCCCACTCATCGATCAAAAATTACAAAGCTACCTTCAAGGCACTACAAATCGAGAGCTAGAAGCCGGTCTTGCCAAGTCAGATTTCGTCGCTGCTCTCGCCGATGCCAATTTCCGAGTTCAACGAATTGATCTTGGTACCTACGAACGAGTTCTGAATGATGCTTATGCATCTTTGAACCTCGACGATCATCCAGAGGGGCTTTGCGACAAAGCTGAAGCATTTATTTCATACAATGCTTCCCTTCGTCTGAATTATAAAGCAGCCCAATCACCCGAAGTTTCAGCATCACGTTGGAAAGTTCTGAGTGCAGCGCTCGATAATTTGACTAAGGCTTCGAAACTCCCTTCTGCTGATAACCTACCAAAGATCCATATTCTGCGAGGTGATGTCGAACTTTTGAGAGTTCAGCTAGGACAACCACCAAGTAACTACGATGTTGCTTTCAAGAACGGGACAGTCTTAGCGAAGAATGCGGAGAAATTCTACCGTGGTGCTGGGGTCCTAGCGAGAAACGAGGGGTTGAATAAGGAGTTAGGGGATGCTGGAGTCAAGGAAGCTCTAGCTATGAGTTTGTATGGTGAGAAAGCCAAGTTGTTTGAATGTATCAAATTGCAACCTGATGTAGTGAGGGGTGTTTTGGAAGACGCTCTTGATGATGGATTGGTCTCATTTGAAGCTTTAGCTGCCATGGGCATTGCATAAGGACCTTTTGTGGCTATAGAGTCCTGGATATGGCATTAAATGGGCAGGATAGTAGTAGTCTATATCTTTGGTTTCCTAAATCAAAACATTTCCACACTCAACTTTCATATCACATATATCTAGAGGTGTGCGTGATAATCCAGATAATCATACCTAGCTAGAATCACAAGTTGTTCAGCAAGCCGTGTGGTTGAATCATGAAGTTTGTTTGTTCTATAGACTCCAATCATTAATTAGAGTCGTTTTTCCCCCTCAACTATCTTCAACCTTGAATATGAATCGAACAATACCTAGGTAGAGGTCTGTCTATCTAGTAATTAATCATTTATCACTCATATCTATCATTCAATCCCTGCAATTCCATCCAATCGTGCACGGACTAAGGTTACGATGCCTAAGGCCAGGGATCGGAGTTCTGATTTTCGCTTATGAATATGAAAAATAATGGAGATTTTGAACGAACAGCTTCAACTCCTCCCACCATCCATCGACATCTTCAAGAAAAAATTCTATCTCGATATCTTTTCACACCTCAAACCACATTTACCTCCAATTTTAGAAAGCTTCTTCTTGTCCTTCTAATTAAATTCTCATCCTTCTCCTCGTAATATCAACCTCCCAAATCTTGAAAGTGGTTATCTTCAGATTCATCGAATTATAAAGATACCTTCAACAAACGCACCAAATTCATAGAAAAACGCGTACGATTTCCGTGACAAAACTTGATCTCACTCTTATTCACCAAATTTTGATCTTTCTTTGGAACTATCTGCGACAGTTCACTTCCGCTGTCCCGAATTTCTCAACGACATCTCTACGAACGAGACCCCTCTATCTTCTAATTATTTTTGAGGTCGACAAAAGTCTACCTTCCCCACCTTTTTCGAAAATATGGCCACCAATGGTAGCTTCAATCAACAAGACCAATACAAGACCACCACCACCGAACAGTACCCAGCTACTTCAGGTGCCACTGGTTCTTCAAGCGGAGGTGCTTCCGGTGGAGATCTCTCCAAGGATGAAGTCGGTTGGTACTTTGTTGAGCAGTATTACACTACTCTGAGCAAATCACCAGAAAAACTCCACGTAAGTTTGATGATTGCCCCTGTTGAAATCAACTTTGCGCTAATATTGTATAGCTTTTCTATGGAAAGAAATCTCAATTCGTTTCTGGTCTTGAGGGCGCTCAAGCTCCAGTATCTGTCGGCCGAGCTGTAAGTTTTTCGCTTTCTACTTTGTAACTGTAGCTAATTTGTTGTAGGGCATCCAAGAACGTATCCGCGACCTCGACTTCCAAGACTGTAAAGTTCGTGTCACCAACGTCGATTCTCAAGCTTCCTTCGACAACATCGTCATCCAGGTGATCGGTGAAACATCCAACAAGTCTGCCGAGCTCAAGAAATTTGTTCAAACCTTCGTTTTAGCTCAACAACCTACTGGATACTTCGTTCTCAACGATATCTTCAGATACATCAACGAGGAGGGTGAAGAAGAGCAAACTGAGGCTCCTGAGGCCAAAGAGACCAAAGAGGAGTCTGCGCCTGCTCCATTGGTCGATGATGTCGAAATGCCAGCTGCACCAGCTGCTGTCGAGGAGTCCGTCACTCCAGAAGCTACTTTGGACGCTGAGGTAGTCGACAAGAAATTGGAAGAGACTATCGAGGCCGAGCCCGTCATCGCCGAACCTACCACAAATGGAGACTCAGCCGAGGCTGCTACCGAAGTGGAGGAGAAGCCAGAGGAGCCAAAGGTTGAGGAACAAGCCCCTACATCAGAGGAAGTTGAGAAGGCTGTTGAAGAGGAAGTCAAGGAACCAGAAAAGCCAAAGGACCCCGTTCCAACCCCAGAGCTTTCCAAAAAGCCTTCTGTTACCAAACCTGCTCCAGTTCAACCAGCCACCCCAGCTAAGCCTTTGAGTTGGGCAGCCCGTATCGCAGCTTCAGCTGGCTCAGCACCAAAACCCGCTGTTCCAGTTGTGCAACCAAAGGCCGCCGCTCCAGCTGCACCAAAGCCTGCTGCCCCTGTCGTTCAAGCAGCTAAGCAACCAACAACTCCAGCAACAATCGCTGCTACTCCCGCAGCTGAGAAGAAGGAAAACTCCCCAACAGGCTCTTCTGGATGGCAAACCGCCGGAGGTGATGCTAAGCGACAAAACCGACCTCAATCTATCTCCCAACAGCCAACAGAGGATAAGGGAACTTTGGGATATGTTCGTAACGTTAACGTTTCGGTCGAGAATGATGAATTACGCTCAGTTTTGAGCTCTTTCGGCGAGTTGGTGTACTTCGACATCAACCGTGCTAAGGTATGCCATCTTATTATCTGTGTTTTGTGATCATGACTAATTCCTTTTCAGAACTGCGCCTTCGTAGAATATGCCAATGCCGCCGGTTACCAAGCAGCAGCTCAGGCTAACCCCCACAAGATTGGCGAAGAAACCATTTATGTTGAGCCCCGCCGACCAAAGTCTACTGCATACGGTGGAAATGGTTACTCTGGAGGTGGACGTGGTGGAATGAACCAACGTGGTCGTGGTGGATTTGAACAAGGTCGTCCTGGCAACCAACCTGGTCGAGGCAGCTTTGGAGCAAATCGTGGACGCGGAGGTGCTAATGGACCAAGAGGAGGTCGTGGTGCCAGTCAGGCTGCTGCTTAAATGCATATTTCAACAAACCACGTCCCCTGTCAAAACGTCGGATTCATCACTTTCATGCCCAGGAGATGAAAACTTCGACGATGTACCATATTCATTCACCTTGGACTACGAGACCCAAGACCCTTCCTTGTACTCTACTTGATCACCAATACTTCTCGCACCCTTCTTTTACATTCGTGTTTTTAGTACAGCAAAAGTTCAGCAACTTGATTCATGGCTCATACTTTATGTGGTATCATATGGTATATTGAACGCCATTATGCTTTTCTTTTTCACGTCAAAAAATTTGAGGATGGATTGGGTGCAACTTTATTTCATGGGCTACAAATTTACGCTATTTATGATGTACTCTTTTGTCTGGTTTATTTGGCATTGCAAGAATCTGATTTCCCGCAAGCTCGATTTTCTTTTCTTTGCCTGTTACCTATTTCCCATTTTCGTCTCCTTTCTTTGAGTCACAATGCATAGCATGTTTTGATGGTTGAATGATGATGGATGGATGAATGGACGGTGGATTTGGTAATGAAAAAATGTGTGATAGTGGGCCTATGGGTTAGCGGATTGGGTTGATGGGTGATGGATGGAATGGAATAGATTGATGAACGGATGGCTGGATATTCCGGTGTGTTACATTGGCATGGATGGCTGAATTGACGGATATGCAGGGACTCGAATGATATGACATGCATGTAACATGTATGGCATGCAGATTGATGGTCAAGGAAAAGTGTGCAATTTTAGCCAGTTGCTAGTGTTATAACGGGGGAAGTAGATAGATAGTAGATAGAGTGAGCAAATAACTTTTGATGAATGACAAAGAGACATTAGTATAAATAAGAATAAGAATAAGAATCAGTAAAATGGAATAGATAGATGAGTCAATGAATGGATGAATGGATAAGTGGTGTTGATATGATTTATGTATGGGGAGTGTTTGATCGTAGTTGATGAAGTGTCGGTATGTCGGAATTTGAGATGGGATGGATGGGATATTGGTATTGGTATTGGATTAGATGGGACGGGATGGGATAGTGTCTGTTGGATATTGGATATCGGACGTTGGATGTATATATATTGTTATTGTGAGATGAGATGGTATGGGATGGGATGGTTATTGATTGGAGATTGAGGACTGAGAGGAGATTGGAGGTAGAGGAGAGAGGAGAGAGGAAAAGGAAGAGATTAGAGATTGAGAGATTAAGGATTGAGGATTGAGGATTGAGAGGAGCGGTAGGTGAGTGAGGGATTTTAGGAAGGAGAATCTTGGAGGGGAGATGGGAAAGGGTGAGGAAAGGCAGTGGAGAGGATGGAGGAAGGGGAGGGAGAGGAAAGAAGGTGGGAGATGGGGAAGGGGAGGGAGGGGAGGGATGGGAGGGAAAATGAAATGTGGAGGAGAGGGGAGGTGAGATCGGGAGGGAGAGAGGAGATAGTAGAATAAATAGAAGATATAATATGCAAATATTGAGGATTTTATATTGAAGATATTATAAGAAGTGTAAGATATAGTAGAGAGGAGATGAGAGTGTGAGAGAGAGAGAGAGAGAGAGAGAGAGAGAGAGAGAGAGAGAGAGAGAGAGAGAGAGAGAGAGAGAGAGAGAGAGAGAGA